CATGTCATAAGACCCTCCATATTCTTAAAAACAGAGGGTCCTAAAGACCTTTTATTAATGTGGTTTCTATCCATCAACATTTACCATTTTAGAAATTAAAAGTGAGAATTTTCAAATTTGATAAAATACCTTATTAAATTTTTTGAGAATTTCATACACGAATGCTCAATTTACAGCATTTCCACCCCCTCCCAGGCTGCCCCCAGCCCCCTCCCCGAACTCGCTCTCAAATTCATGACCTCCTCTTTAATTACATTATATACATACACACATGTATATATGAAGTCCATTTAGCATTGCTTTTATGTTCCGGGCTGACCACTTCGGATTGGATAACCTATTAGAAGGATGGTCCCTAGAGAAGACTCAATTGCCCGCTCTCGGCAGCCATTGATCCCCCACAATTCTTCACCTAGGGGTGGGGCCTTGTGAGATTTCCTCCATCAGCATTGGCATGTCAACCGGTGATGTCATTACGCTGGTCTTGTCTCAGTGACCGTCTCATTGAGATCTCATGGGTGTAGCTTTCATCATGGGTATAGAAGTCACCATCTCACAGCAGAAGTCCTGGATCTCTGGCTACTACAATTTTCTACCCCCTCTTCCACAATGTTCCTTGACCCTTACTTGTAGGGGTTGTCTTGTAGGTATTTGATTGATGCTGGGCAACCCGTAGTCAGTTCTCTGCATTCTGGCCAGTTGGGGATTTCTGTAAGGGTCTCTGACACTATGCTGCTGAGGGGTGAGAGCTGCACTTCTCTGAATAAAAGAGTAAGTGTTCAGAGTGGAGTTAGAAAGTGCACTGGTCTAGGAAAGCAGTGGGGTAGGCGCTCCTCTAGGATCCATGAACATCAGCCATGGTAGTTGGCTGGGTTTATAGTACTGGATGTGAATTCCCTCCAACTAAGTGGGCTGTAAGCCCCTTAGACAGCTGTTGGTTACTCCTGAGATAGAAATGTCACTACTGAACCTTGAAGGTATCGTGTCATACTGGTCACAGCCATGGTTCACAGGCTTCACAACTGGACAGGACTACTGATTGCTCCTCATTCTCGACAGTTTGCACTGCGCCTTTCAGTGCTAGGAGAGCTAGTCCCCAGGAGGAGCTTCCATGTCAGTTCCAGTGGGGTTTCTCCAAATCTCATGCCCAACGTGTGTGGTGTCTTCAGTGACAGGCTCTTACCTTCAAGCTCCCGGAGGCAACTGATGGTGAAGGTAATAGCCTGTATTGTTTGGGGAGTTGCTTGGACTTCACTGTCCAACAACTTGAATGGAGGCTTCTTATGCTTAGCACTGGAGGTTTTATAAGCAGTCTCTAGTTCCTGAGGGGAGGAGCATTGTCACCCGAGGTAGCATAACTTTATTTAAACCATACATGAGGGAGGAAGGTCATTGGCTAATAAAGGAACTGCCTTGGCCCATTTTATTGGTTAGAAGATAGGTGGGAGGAGTAAACAGAACAGAACGCTGGGAGGAACATGAAATGAGCTCAGACTCCACTGCTCTCCTCCTGGGAGCAGACACCTGAGAGAGATGCCATGCTCCCGGCTCCTGGGCAGACACACGCCATGAAGCAAGCCGCCAGGTTAGACATGCTGAACCTTTCCCGGTAAGACCGGTGCTCACAGATTATTAGAGATGGGTTGATCGGGATAACAGAATTAGCCAGTAAGGGCTAGGGCTAAAGGGCCAAGCAGTGTTTAAAAGAATACAGTGTCCGTGTAATTATTTCGGGGCATAAGCTAGCCAAGCAGGCGGCCGGGGTGCTGAGGACACAGTCCCGCCACCCTTATTACTACAGATTGGTGCCCACGTGGACAACTGAATCCACAGAAAGCCTGAAAAAGCTTGGGAAAGAGTAAAGCATGTTTTCTTGATAGTGACAATTTCTCAGATCTACTCTGCTTGCTAGAGGCAAGCAAGCGCCTCATCTAAGAGAGGCTTCCTGACTCAGCTTTAGCTGCAAAACCCTGCAGCTCATTAAGAGGTCCTGCCACGAAACACTTAAATGGTGTTGACGAAAAGCTGAATGCATGCTCTTCGGTTTTCAGCCATAGCAGGAAAAAAGCTGCGCCGTTTAAAAATGCCGGCTTTCTGGGCTGTCCTGCCAGGGCAAACTCTTGACAATTATGCAGGCGGTTCGTGCAGTTTGCAAGCACAGGCTGCTGAAGCTCGCTTGCTGGCAGGGACCTTGAAATGCCATAGAGTTCTGGCAGTAAACGTGGCTATAGCCAGTACCTCAGCCATGAGGCTGGAAAGCTAAGGAATGGGCTGGATCCAGCCGGCAAAGCCACGCCTTTAATCCTACTGAGATTGCTTGGTAAATTAAAGACTCATGTGGTCAGAAAAAGAGAGATATACAGTAAAGAGAGATTCAAAAACAAAGAAAATTTTTAAATGGTTTACAGTGTGTTAAAAATATATGCAGACTAAAAGTTGAAGTTCTTAAAGTAAAAAACATAAAAAAGGAAGAGAGTTGTTGTGTGTGGTAGTACACACCTTTAATCCCAACACTTGGGAGGCAGAGGGAGATTGACCTCTGTGACTTCAAGGTGTGGTAGCACACGCCTTTAATCCCAGTGCCTAGAAGGCAGAGACAAACAGTTCTCTGTGAGTTCAAGGTGTCCTAGCATACATCTTTAATCCCAATGCCTGGGAGGCAGAGACAGGTGGATCTCTGAGAGTTCAAGGACAGCCTGGTCTACAGAGTTATTCCAGGTCAAAGATATACGCTCAAAAAGCAAAAAGTTAAAAGTAAAAATAAATGAAATAGAGGTTAAAACAAAGCTGCACAAAGATGGAAGATACACAGAGACTTTTGATACTGTATGCTATTATGCTCTCTTTAAATTATTTAAATGCTGAGGAAGGAGCAACAGATGCTAAAAGATATTTATTTATAAATGCTGCTGAACTAATCCAACATAGATATTTTGATGCCTTGACTTTGAAATTTGGATCTAAGGACATGATGCTTTGGAAAGGAGTTTCTTATTTTGTTTTCACAGAGGATGAGACGCTGTTCATTTCTTCTATTCCGATTTGGTATGATGGACCACGCCCTCCTGAAGGGTTGCAGTGAACACCTTCAGAAAATTGCTTCACTCAACTGCCAACTGAGCACACAGGTTATACCATGAAAGACCTAATTAACGACGCCCCCATTCAGCAGGAAGCAGTTTGGAGAGAAAAAACTGCGCCCATGTTCCCAAATATGGTTTATAAACGTCCTTTTACATTTAAAGGGGGATATGATATAGATATGAATAATTTACATTAGTATAGATTTTGCTTTATTGACAGAGATTTAAGGTCAATTTTGTTATATATATAAGTGTTTCTGATTTTGATTAAGGTATTGTGATTGTGTAGTTCATTTAAATATGTACTGTATAATTAAGAAATATAGGTTGTTAATGGATAATCATCGATAATAGTAAAGCTTGTAGTCATGTTAGTTAGATTTTCTAGATATATAGAGATATATTTTAGATAGACATTCTTCATGTCTTTCAAAGATTACAGAATAGGACATTTAATGTTTTAATAACTGAGGATTTTTCATGACAATGAGACACTCTGCTCCTGGCAGCACCAATCTACTTCAAGAGGAAGATGGGCATCGAAGAGGCTCGTTATGGAGTTTGATAGCCATTTGGGCAAGAAACTGCCCTTGCCTGGACTATTGCATACACTGGACACAGAGAACCCACAGAGAGAGGACTACTGAACTTGCCTAAGGTGAGATGATCTTTCGGGGTTCCTGATTCATGAAAGAGTCTGCGAGACATTCTGCAGGACACAACAGATAGTGACTGAACTGACTTTGAATTTTCCTGCTTTATGGAAATGTCTGCTGGATACCATGGGCCTGAAGGCTGAAGATGGATGCCCCAACGGTACAGAGGAACTTTGAGTGACTGTCTAGGCAGCGAGATGTCTCTGTCATTTCTAGAGTTTAAAAGTTGCTTTTTTCTTGTTTGCTTAGGTCATATTGTATCTTTCTGGAGTCTTTGATGGAGTTAAGAATAGTTAGTTATAGTTTTCCTTAGTTATGATAAAGATTATCGTAACTTTTACTTGATAACTGTTTTGTTATATGTAATTTTGCTATGTTAAAGCGTTTTTTTTTTTTGTTTAAACAGAAAAAGGGGAAATGATGGAGGAAGGCCATTGGCTAATAAAGGAACTGCCTTGGCCCATTTTATTGGTTAGAAGATAGGTAGGAGGAGTAAACAGAACAGAACGCTGGGAGGAACAGGAAGTGAGCTCAGACTCCACTGCTCTCCTCCTGGGAGCAGACGCCTGAGAGAGACGCCATGCTCCCAGCTCCTGGGCAGACACACGCCATGAAGCAAGCCGCCAGGTTAGACATGCTGAACCTTTCCCGGTAAGACCGGTGCTCACAGATTATTAGAGATGGGTTGATCGGGATAACAGAATTAGCCAGTAAGGGCTAGGGCTAAAGGGCCAAGCAGTGTTTAAAAGAATACAGTGACCGTGTAATTATTTCGGGGCATAAGCTAGCTGGGCAGGCGGCCGGGGTGTTGGGGATGCAGCTCCGCCACCGCCCCTAATACTACACATACACACACACGTGTACACACACACACACAGAGGGAGAGACAGAGAGAGAGTGCCAGGTCAGCCTGTCTACATAGTGAGCTCCAAGCTGAACAAGCCTATATTGAGACCATCTGAAGAAACCAAACCAAGCCCAATATGTTTAAATAATCATAAAGTATGCTTCCCTGTGGCTTTTCAGACATTGTTAGTGCTAGTTTTGCCCCCTCTTTCCCTCTTCCTCTCGCTCAGCAGTTAAAGTCCCTGCCTTGTTCTTCCCACTGCCCTTCACAGCACCTGTGTGTTTCTACCCCACACCCACCCCTTGCCCCGCCCCCAGGCTCCTTCTTCAGTGCCCTCAAGGTTACTTTTGACTTTCCTGGTTTCTGCAGTTACTCAGCATACACTCATATACACAGATATATTCTCAGATATGAGACTTTTTCCAAAGATTTATTGATTTATTTAAAAACAGCCATAGTAAACCAATTACATTTTAACATAAATACTGTTTGTTTTAAAGGGGTATTTTCATCAAAGCTTGACAAGGATGGCATTGTTTCATTTCTGTAAACTTTCTCATTGTGTAGATGAGCTTAGAAGAAGAGGCTGGGGTCCTGGCCTTTGCATTTTGCCTGAGCTATGTGAGGAAATCCCGAGTTCACACAAATATGTGGTTGGAAAAGACAGGGTATTTTATTCAAATAACAGTAGAGAATCTTCTTTGAAGCTATACCAAAACTGTAGATGTTTCTTAATGATTATTCGTGCTGTGCAATAGGAATCTACAGCCATCTTTTCATTCTTGGTTACATTGAGATTTGCTGGTCCCTTTTCTGCCTCCATCAGGTCTGGTAAACAATGTATCTCTATATTACAGCATGTCTGTCATCCATACATAAAACACGGATTTCTTGGATTACTTAGATGCTCCAGATATAGAAAAAAACTTTAGATAGCATCAAAAAAATCAAGTGTTTATTTTATCCATCTCATTAGAAAAGTCTTCAGGTCAAGGAAAGCTGCCCAGGTAGGTTCCCAGTGAAGGACTTGAGTTCACCAAGATTGTAAGATCTACTAGAAATTTCAGTTTTATTACTGAGAATAAATGCTAGTAAGTAATTTTCTTTAAAGCAATAGGCTAACTTCATTCAGTCTTGAGGAAAACTCTGCTAAATAACCAGGTCTAAAATTTTTGCCAGCAAATTTTGTTTTTCATTTCCATTTAAAAAAACTATCCAATTCAACACATAATTCAAATAATTAAGCAGGTGTTTTCCTAGAGACGGCCTCTATATCCAGCATGAAGTTTGAGGTCAGAGAGAACACCAGCTCATATGTTGTGGAAGCACACGTTAAGGCACAGACATATAGAAGTAACTAGACAATATCCATGGCAAACTTAATGGGAGCTACTGTCTGTAATGGGAAGCAGGAAATTGAAAACATGGGGATTTTATATTTAAGTATAATCTGAATGTTTTATGATAAAATTCATCCACACATTATAGGTACAATAGGTTAAGAAAATACATATATAAAATTCTGGCAGGTTACAAAAAGTGGCTTTGATTATCTCCCAGTGGAACCCTGGGTGGCTTTTCCCCCAGCTACTCTGCATTTCAAGCATGTATTTCTTCTGTATTAATAACAGTCCATTTCTATTTACAAAAAAATTAATCGAAGGTTAAAAAAAAAATAAGCTATATGCTAAACTGCCTAAAGTTAAATAACAAAAGTTTACCCCGAACAGAGCTGAGTTTTAAATTTTTAAGTTCTTTGTGAAACATAAGATATATTCATTTTTGGCATCTTCAAACATTGAAGGTACTCATTGTAAATAAATAAATGAAAATTAAATATATTTAATATTCAGTATGGAGGACATTGATTTTACTTGAAAAATAATACACATTGTGTGGAAAATGCATAGCATTTAGTTGCCTTTGTAACTGGAACCCTTCCAACACTCGCCAATGTGTGGGGCGCTGGCATCGTCTGGCAGCGCACACAGAAAGGAAAGGTAATCTGTAAAACCAGCCTGCTGTCGTCATTCACAGGAAACCATCTGGGCAACTCAAGGCTGCTTCCTATCAGTCAGCACACAGCTACTAGCCCGCTCCGAGGGCAGAGACACAGCCTACATTCCCCTAGTCCATTACCGGGGGAGTAGAGAGACTGTACCGTGAGACGGAGGCAAGGGTTCTGAAGGAAAACCAACATTAAGACTCCGGCTTGTACTCGGGGTCTCTGATGATTCAGATGCCTTACCTCAACTGTGGACAGGTGATTAAAGACTCAACGCTCGATACTTAAGTGGGTTTTACTTTGAACCTTAAGAAATTTTAAAGTTAAAATATTTCTTTGTATTCTTTACAGGATGAAGGACAGCAGGACACACAAGTTGTTCTGCAGCTGTCTCTTAACTAAAAAGACCTTTCTTTTTCGTCTTGGCCATTGATGAGCTGCCAGTATCAGCTGAGGACATATTTCCTTTGGCAAACCAGTCAGGTAATTTTCTTTTTGACATTTCAGATGACATCTACAGAGAATAGAAACACAAAGAAATATTCATACAGCTGAAAAAGCACAAGAGCTATAAAAACAACTCAGACACCCTGAACAATTTTCCTCAAAGTGAAATAGAAACATCTATAGAATCCTTTTGGGGATGAAAAATCTAATAAATAAGTAAAAGAGAAAAAAATTAATCATTTCCTTAAGAATTTACTTATAATCCCAATACCATTCACTTTAAAGATGATTTGTTATTATTATTAAAGTGTGTGTGTACATGTGAGTGTGTGTGTGTCTACGTGTACATGCTACATCGACTACAATGGCCATGTGGAAGACAGAGGCATCATTTAAGGCTTCTTTCTCTTCTTTCTAGAATGTTGCAGGACAGTCTCTCTTATTGTTTCTGCCATGCTGTGAACTCCACGCTAGCTAGCCTACAAACTTCAGGGATTTTCCTTGTCTCGACCTCCCTATCGCCATAGGCGTACCAGGATCACAGATGCATGCCACTGCATCTGCCGTCTTCATACGGGTTCTAGGAATCAAACTCAACCGCCGGCCTCACGTAGGCAAAAGCCTTTGCCCACTGGCCATCCCACTGGCTTCACTATTGACTTTTGAGATACTCAAGTTCAGGTACTCATTTGCCACATAAAAACTGGACATTATTTCTGATCTACACAGCATGACACATTTATTTTGGGTTGAGCAAAGTGGTGAATTTAAAGGGTTAAGTGTTATAAGACTCATCTGACATGCACAAGGTCCCAAGAGCTTTCACAGAAAACAATAAAAACAAAAACTCTAAAGATGACTGTGATGCCCTGAAAAAGATATATATATATATATATATACATATATATATATATATATATATATATATATATATATATATACATGTGCACACAGAAAGTTTATTGACCACATGAAAAAGAAAACAGATACAGACATCTGTGGTGGCAGGCGGTCAGGAGACTGACTCAGTTGGTGTTCGGCTCCTTGTGGGCGGTGGCCAAGAAGCAGCAAGCGCTCAAAACCACTCACTGAATAAATAAAAGAAGTCTGAATAAAATAAAAGAATGATATGAGAATTTCCTGATGACTGTAGATCCCCTTCTCAGAAAGAACAAGTACACACATGCATAATGCTTTGCATATGATTTTAGGGTCTCATCTACCAAAATCCTTAGGACCTGGTCAAAAGTCTCTGAGAAAAACATTTAATAACATAAAAGGAATGTTTTGTGCCACTCCACCCACACATGATAAAGCAAACAAAAATTACTACATGAAATAGGGAGTGCTCTACAAACCGACAATGGTACAAATATGAGCACGAAGCTGAGTCTCAGTCTTAGAAAGGAAATCATGCTAATCAGAACACTACTCAGAATTTAGCCAAGTTAATTTACTTACTGGAAACATTTGAAGACTTCTATAATACGGTAGCTTTAAGTTAAATGTACATAACGTATAACTTACACCATTTTAAGAATGATAACTTTATATGCTTTATCAATTACTTGCTATATTTTATTCTGTTTACTGCCTTTAAAAGGTTTCAAAATATTCAGTTAAAGGGGAAAAAGCCAAAGGTAATTAGGAAAAGGAATTGTATATTGAAATTTCATATTGAATATTAAGATATTAACATTTTATATTTAAGAAAACAAGATAGCACACAAAGCTAACTAAAGTAAAGAATTTTAAAAGACCAGTTTAATTTTTTAAAAATATCAGTTCCCTTTATTTTGACACTATTGAGGAGAGTAAGAGCCCAGTGCTGGAAACCCTACAAAGATTACCGTAGTGCTAAAGCGTGGAGCCTCTTTTCTAACTCAAGTGTTAACAGCTTCAAGCCACCACAGCAAGCTTGCCGTGGGAGAACTAAAGCACTTAGTGAGTTATTAAGAGCTCAGCAATTACTATCAGTGTGTCAGGTATTAAAGGTCACACCTGCAAATGTATAGTTGTTGGGACCATTTGGAGTCCCGGCCTCCAGCTGCTCTTCCCTGCTAGAGATCTTTACTTTCCTTCTGATTTGAGTTACTGAAAGCTGTGTCAAAGTTGTTTACCAGCTCTGCTTCACGAGCACGTGTTGCCTTGGCCTTGAGGATCAGAGGATGAGGTTTTCACCTGTTGGCCCACCTGACTTGTGTTGGGTATATAAGCCTCCAATGGCGCTATTGAAGAAAGGGCTTCTTACCAGTGGCTAGAGGTCCATGTCTCTGTCTGTGTGTGTTTGTGTATTTCAACCTCCAGCCCCTTGCCCAAAGCTCGTGAACTGTATAGTAGCGCATAGAGTGCAGACAGGCATTGTGTGCTGCATATAGTCACACCAGAGAATGATTCTTCTCTGGTACCATCTGCCATATAGCACAGATGTCATTTTTTAATATCATCTAAAATAACACTGAATGTGGACTTTTTCTAACTATGCAAAAGACTTCCTGTGTTATGCTCATAACCATACCTATCAACATGTAGAGTACAAATCTTCACACGAGAGCATGAGGATGACAGATCAACTGGCGGGAAGCATCTATAATCAAGTTTGTCTTCATTTCCATAGACCATATACGAGGCCATGCTACACAAAGCTAACTCCATTAACCACATCTCTGGAATGAGGTATATTTCTCCAGATCACAAAGACAATACAGGTAAAATGTAAGCTGTGATTGTGTACAACAAATTATACTTGCTTTACTGTCTTTTAAAACTAGCTTTTCTCACATCATATTTTGCAAAGCAAAGGGAATAGCACACAGAGATTTATATATTACACAGATCAAAGTGTATCCACTGTGCATGCGAAGGGAACAACGTGACACTTTGTAAACATGTAATAAATACCTTGGTATCGGTGACCACATCCTTGCTTTTCTTAACGCTCACACTGCTCTCTTCGGAGCTGGGCAAACATCTCTTTCTGTTGGGGTCACAGGAGGGCTGGCTTCTGCTGTCCCCACTCTCAAGGATCTCAATTACCATGTGGATAAGGTACGTGTCAATATTCTCAGGAACTAACATTCTAATGAGTTTAACTTTATACATATCTGTAAAAGATAAGAAAACCAAACCAACAAAAGTTAAGCAAAGCATTTAGAAAACTATGAGGTGGAAATGATGAAATACTATATGGGAAGAAAGAAAATTGCTTAAGAAAATTTTTGTCTTTCACATGGTAACAGCGTTAAGGAAAATGGGGTAACCTTCTGGATCCTCCTCATGACTCCATGCAAACTTAGCTCAAGGACAGGTCAATATTAAGAATTCTGTAAGCAGTCTTTCATAGGGTTCCCTGCGAATAACAACAACCATGCACAGACCCTTTGTTAAAGGAAACTGTGCTTCAATTTCCAGATGTTGGTTACAAATTTATTTCCCTTAAAAATATATTCTCAGGCCTGGAGAGATACTCAGCAGGCAGGAGCACACCTGCTCTGACAGAGGACCCACGTTTACCTTCCAGCACTCACAGAGTTAACAACCACCTGTAGCTCTAGCTGCAGCGAATCTGATACTCTCTGCAAAGACATGCCCATGGGCACACACACACATACAAAAAACAAGCCGGGCGATGGTGGCGCACGCCTTTAATCCCAGCACTCAGGAGGCAGAGGTAGGCGGATCTCTGTGAGTTCGAGACCAGCCTGGTCTAGAGAGCTAGTTCCAGGACAGGCTCCAAAGCCACAGAGAAACCCTGTCTCGAAAAAACAAAAAACAAACAAAACAAAACAAAACAAAAAAAAACAAACACACAAAAACAATAAATTAGTTCTTTTAAAAATTACTCTTGCCGGGCGTGGTGGTGCACACCTTTAATTCCAGCACTCAGGAAGCAGAGGCAGGTGGATCTCTGTGAGTTCGAGGCCAGCCTGGTCTACAGGGTGAGTTCCAGGACAACCAAGGCTGTTACAGAGAGAAACCCTGTCTCAGAAAACAAAACATTCTTAAAATATAAGTAATTGACACTTGTAAATAATATCCTAAGATAATTACATCAATAATAGATAAGATAACAAACCACACTATTTACTTAAAATGCTTATCCTGGGTGAATTTCCCAGGAGACTATGTTCAACATAACATTGCTTTAATGAAGAACTGGAGACGTGCAGAGCTCAAAGTCGACCCTGCTATATACACAGAACAGAACACCCCGTGACAGTTCTGACACAGGATTTTGCTTCAAGGAGCTTACATGTGTTGTGGCAACACGATGAACGCATGTGGTATCAGTCACTCCCATGTGTGCACCATGGAGGGTCGCCTGCAGATGAAGGAGGACTTCCACTGGAACACCCTCTCCTTTCCATGCCGTTCTCATCGTCAATGTCAAGGACAAGAGGACTAAGCAACCTAGAACCTTTGTACTCCTCTCCATTTTTATAAAATACATCGAGCATTCCTGACACTTAATCCAACTTTGTGATCAGAAGCCAAGAAATTTTTTAATGATACCTTGAAAACATGAATTTAAAATGTTGATATTTTCAAGTTTATTTTTTTCTTTTCTCCCAAAGACTGTGGCTTGCTACTCAAGGACTCATCCAAAATGGCATTTTTTTTTCTTAAGGCACAGATAAAAATTATATACACCTAACAAAAAGTAGGCTACTTACGTACATTACAGGTTTAGAATGTAAGACTTGTGTTAGGCATAGTCTTAGAAAGGACTATGCACAATACGTACTGAAGCATTAATGAGCTTATCATATGACCCCAATTCCAATCGTCTTCCTGGGGTCAATGCACCATACTAACGATCCCAAACCCACCAGCTCTACTGCCGCGGGTGAGCACTCTGCTCTCTGAATGTAGCAGGCTCCACTGTGAGAACCCGGCTTCAATTTAAAAAAAAAAAAAAAAAAAAAAAAAAAACACTATGTTCTGATGAACATCATAGTACATGTATTTTTTCCATATCTCTGGACTGCTGGAGGTGGGGTTGCTGGTTCACAGGTTAGATACATTGTGGTTTGATGTATACTGGTAAATTATGTCTAGATTGTGCTGTATCTAATACTATACCCATTAACCAAGCACATACTACTGAGCATCTGAAATTAAGTAATTCAAATTAATCATTAAATTTAAAAGTCAATACTATACCAGTTCACTTTGTTCAACTTCAAAGTTTATGAAAGCTAAATATGGATCGCTATTTTTTTTTTGATGCTGCTATTTTCTCATCTAGCTCAGGCTGACCATGCACTCACTGTGTGGATATTAAAGACCTTGAGCTACCAATGCTCTTTAGTCCCATTTCTTGGGCTCTGGGATTAGACACACACACCAGCACGCTGGCTAAGTATTTCTAATTAAACGTTAGCATCAGAAAGCATGTTATGAACATAATCGCATGCCTGAGAAGGCTTAGTAGAGAAAAAAATGTAAAATAGCTTGCTAAAAACTTTGGATTAATTGAACATTAAAATTATATTTTAGTATACAGGACAGACTAAACTGTTATGAAAATTAATTGTATCTATTTAGTTTTTAATGTAGATATTAAAAAATTAAGCTGTCCTTGTGGTTAACATTATATTTCTATTGGGTAGTGCTGTTCTGGAGAAATCACTGAATTTTCCCACATTTCAATCAATTAATATAACAATACTACATTATATCCATTTTCTTCTGAGTTATTAACATTAGATAATGAAAATACATATCCTTAATTTTATGGTGGAAGTATTCAAACTATTTTTTTAGAAAATCATAAAGCTACTGAACTATAATGTTATATTAAGATTATTTTAAAAGAAACTTACTTCATTTTTAAATAAAATTCACTTCTAAAATTAAAAAGGGTTAAAAAAATTATAGCACACAAACATTTACCTCTAGATTAACTACTTATAGTGATATTACGTATAGAGTCTCATGAACTAGACATCAGTGGTATGTGACACACTTCTGCATGTTCTGTCTTTAAGGTATGACTGTCCTGAAATCAGCCTGCACTTGTCACTTGCAGTTTCGAAACTACCGATCTCCACTTCACAGCACGAGCTGTGCTCCTCCAGTGCTTCAGAAGAGATCATGTTACCCCTTAGTGCAAGGTCCCTTGGAAGCTACCCTTAATTTTCCAGTTCCATGCACATAAAGAATGGAATAAATTATTCTGAGTATTATCTAGGTACCTCATTAAATAACTGACTTAATGTATAAGCATAGTTAAAATACTCAGGTAAAAAAAAAAGAAGTTTAAAATTATAGACACATAGACAAATTAACAAAAATCACAGAATTATAAAAACACAAAGTTATAAAATGAAAATCTAGATGGGAAACAAGAGTGCACAAAAATAAGATTTCAATTCACAGCTACTCTATTTTTGAGTTAATATTATATTATAAAAACTAGAGAAAAAAAACTAGAAAAAATCAGTTTAGGATTGTGCACAATTTAAATTTCAAACAAGCTTGTTCATTAAAATACTGAATTAGTTTAAAAAGTTATCAGTTTGGTCCTCCCTACAGATATGTACACTGAGAACATTAAATGAACTCAGTAGATTCTGTGTCTATGGTGTGTGTGTGTGTGTGTGTGTGTGTGTGTGTGTGTGAGCTCGCAAGTGTGCATGTGTGCACATGAATGACAATACTTAAAGAAGAGGTCCTGATTTTGAGTTGGGATGGAAGAAATGGCAATGAATTGCACAAGAGAGAGGAAGGATTGGAAATGATGCAAATACAGTATTTATACATAAAATTCTCAAAGATAAATATTGATTTAAATATTAGTTATCTAACACCATAAATTGATATTACTAAGCTCAGACTATAGAGGACACTAGTTGGTACACAATATTTAAAGACATCAGAAAATATTAAAGGAAATAAAATGAATTCACTTTAGTCAAACAAGAGCCTTAATAAACCTGAATCTTAATAAAAATTGCAAGTTACATTTTATTTTGATAGCTTTTAAGTTATTTGGTAGTATGACAAAGCGGCACAGTAAAAATTAAAACTTGGTGCTGAATTATGGTATTGATGAGGCCCTGGTATGCCTTCACAAAGATTAGTATGATGTTAGGAATGAGTAAGCAGAACTCTTCAAACACACTGGGTGTCAACAAGTGAGAGGCCTGGTTTAAAATGGTTCCTAAAGTAAATTGGTTTGAAGAAGGCACCAGAATTGTTACGGTGAAAAACTGAATTAGTCATGAGTGTTCTGGCTTAAATTCAAGGAGAGACGAGAACAAAAGAGCTAAAGAGTACAATCAGACAAAGTGAAAGAAATCTCGAAACCATGTGACTCAGGATGGAGAGCAATGAAATAAAATCCCTTAAATAAAAATTTATTTACAATAAAAAAAAATTAAAACTTGGTGAATCACCAATCTTATACATGACACTAAAACTAGTTTTTGCAACTCCCTAGGTCCCCAACATGACGCAAAACTGCTTGGGAGTGCAAAAGAGAAATAGATTTCTACTCTTGTTTTGTAGTCAAAAGTTCTATAACTTTATAATAAGTAATTTACATAACTTAGAAACTAAATTAACAGCAACTTAACTCTTTACCATAGCCAAATCAGACAGTTTCTGTAGATACGCAGCAATGAGTTGAGGTTAGTACAGTCCTGTTGTTGTTGTTGTTGTTATTCAAGAATATTGCTCGATTATTTAGTATATAAATATATAAAAGGCCACTATAGCTTGTAGAATTCTCAAACTCACACAGTTCTATAAAATGCAATTTATCATGTTACCTGTTGGCTCTTTACCAAAGTCACAGGTTCCATATCCTGGTTTCACCAACCACGAACTGGAGTGGTGGTACACGCCTACAGTCCCAGCCCTCAGAAGACTTAGTCAGGAGGGTGTGAGGTCAAGGTCAGCCTAGATTACACAGCAAGACCTTGTCTCAAAACAAACAAAAAACAGCAACTGTACTAAACGTGCACACATATTCTCCTTACTATTTCTCAAACAATACATTGTAATGACTACTGAAAAAGCATTTAACAGTGCAGTAGCTACATATTATATGTAATATGTGATTTAAAGTATATAGGATACATGTTACATGCATTTGAATGTTACTATAGAAGAGTCTAGGACATCTACAGACTTCTATATCCCTGTAGAGACAATCAATACTAAAAATCCATACTGAAGAGTGATTATGTGGTTTCTGAAATCTTCTTTTATACACACTTACTTATTAACTTCATATGTTTTTCAAGATCTATTTGTATTTTATGTGCCTGCATGTATGTATTGCACTATGTGGGTGTGCAATGCCTGAACAGGTCAGAGCAGGACATCATATCCCCTGGAACTGAAGTTACAGACATTTGAGAGTCACCATGTGGATGCTGGGAACCCAACCTGGGTCCTCTGCAAAAGCAGCAAGTGCTCTTATCCAGTCATCTCTCTAGCTCCAACTTCATAGATTCTTAATTAACTATCAAAAAGGATGAAATATAAAAGTAATGAGACTTAAAGGATATTTTTAGAATGTTCTTAGATATTATCATTTACTTCAATCACCACCATCCTCACTAATTCCACAATTCACTATTTACCATGTCCCAAGGCTCTCTGTCTGGTATCCAATGTATTTCTCACAGTTCTGTAAAAGATAAAAATAGTGTTCCTTTCTGTTTCATACATGAAAAACTGAGCCCTGGAAAGGTTTGGGTCATGACTGACTCACTAGTGTGTCACTGCCAAAGCCTTTGCATCTACCTGTCTAGGCTAACTCCATCTGTCAGTCCATGGTTTTGGGAAGGCAGCCAACATGATTGCCAATATTTCGTTTTTTGTAAAAAAAAAAAAAAAAAAAGCAGTGCTGCATAACACTGCCCAAACATGTTATCAAAATGTGCCTGAGTCCCAAGAGACAGTGTATTTCTAGCAGCAATTCCAGTCCTTCGCTTTCCCTAAAACAATGTGTCATTTTGCAGTAGACAGGACTGATACCACCTTACTGTAATCCTGCACGGTAAATGCTGGTCTCCTCCCTCTGCCCTCATGTCTAAGAGACTGGCTACTGATGTCGGGAAGTCATCGTCTTCTCTTAGGATGACTCACAACTGGGTTACTTTAGACATTTTACCACAAAGTCTAAATCTGGCCCTTGGGTCTTAATATTTACAAACTGAAATTTAACCTTAGCAGATCTATAGTGACCACGTTTCAAAAATAGGAATTCATTAACTTATAATTGTAAGTGTACAAGTATCAGACTTACATGTCTAGACGTGCTTTCTCTATACACATATGTACAGAAAATCATATTATAGCCAGACTGTATTTGAGAAAGACTCTCACTAAGCAATTCTGTTGCTTTATCACTTTACAAATCAGAGGGGCAAGGGACACAACTCAAGTTGTTTCCACGTGAGAAAGAATTTCAGGGAATAAAAAGTAAGAATTCATCAGCTTTGCAGGTAAATTTTGTTTGCTTGTTTCTAGGATGACCACTGCTTTAGTCTAACAGACATAAAATCTGAAAATCAGATGTATTAACATTCTGACCATATATTTGGGAATTTAAGAGGAAAATTCTCTAATGTGCCTTAACTTTACTTCTGTAAAAAATGCATCACTTCTTAAATATCTCCGCAAGGCAAGCAGGGGACTGAGCTCCGTGCTCAGCGAGACTAGAACAAATGCTTTTCTACTTGATGTGGGTATCTTGCCTGCATGCATGTCTATGCAACAAATGTGTGCCTGGTCCCAACAGAGGTCAGAAGCGGGTGTCAGATCCTCTGGAACTGGAGTTACATGTGGTTGTGGATCACCATGTGGGTGCCAGAATCAAACTTCCGTCTTTGGAAGAGCAGCCAGTACTCTTAACTGGCAAGCCGCCTATCAAGTGTGGCGAAGACTCTATGGAGCTTGCCATGTCAGGACCGATGCCATTGACGGCTGCTTACAGAGAGAACCAATGGCAGAGGCTTAGGGGAAATTTGAGAGTCGCTCAGCTGCTGAAAACGAACACAAAAGAAAATGTAGTAAAAACATGCCTGATTTGGACATGATGGGAAGATTATAATCTGAAAAGAAATTTGCAGCACACTTCCTGTTGAGGGAGAAATAATTTTTTTCCTAAAATAAAAAAAGCTACCAAAGTAAAGTTTCACCACAGCGAAGGGTCAGAGCTGTTAGTAAGAAACTCTGAGCAAATCACTTGTTTACTTCATCTGAGTTGACTCGAGTCATTAGGCTGCAGAAAGGGCTGCGCTCATCACCTGAGTTGATGGGAGGGTTTCGGATAACATCAGTAATAATCTTCTGAACCTCTGGGGTCAGGCCCGCTCGCTCCATATCCAGGGGATAGCCAGCTTTCGCTGCCTGGGCTAAGTGCATGCCAATTGCTGTGAGAGGCAGAAGCCTATTCTCAGCTATGCTGTGCTGCAGGGGAATAGCAAAAGAACCAGAGAGTTAGAACTTCTCCCGCATCTCACAGAAAGAAAATATCTTCAGGCAGCAACTAGTCACTGAGAAATAAGCAGTGGACAAAATTTTCATTTTAAATATTTCTTTAAAACTACTATACATAGACCACCACAGATTCTACTCTGTATACTGATTAAAACAAAATCAGCCAACTTTAGCCAAAAATCCAATGCCCCCACCTTCCCTCTATTCCCAAAGCGGACGGGGCTGGCCATCAGCCACTTTATAAGTCTGATAACTGTTTCAGTCCTTTGAAAACATAGAAAGCTGTACTGTGATGCTCCTGAGATTGGACATGGTGCTTTGGCTACATGAATTTCCAAGAAGACAACCCTTCCGTGCTCAGCAATGCTGCAAGACTGCAGAAACACTCTTTGGAAGGATACTGAGAAGACTTCAGTGTTTTAAATAGGCTCTGTTCATAAAATAATAACTATAGTTTAATAAAAATGCTTGTTCACCCTTATCATACTACTGAACTTAAGATAATAATGACCAATTTTGGAAAATGTTTCTATAAAGCTTTTTAAACATATGTGGTTCCAAATACACTTACAATTTGTATTAGCTAAAAATGTTTCTTTAAACAAAAAGCATTGGTACTCAATTATGCTAACAGTCATATTTCTTTCACTATATTTAGAAAGTCTGTATTTAGACTGTATGTGTGAATGTTGATTCATTCACAGAGCAAACCATCTAGGGCACTATTTTCATCCTTCACAAGTAGGTGTTGAATTGCTTTCATTAAATTTCCACTATCTCCATTAAAAAATCTGTTCCATGTGTGTATATTATTGGGGTTATTTGATACTAGGCATCAAATTACCTCCAACTAATTGTATTATTGCTCATCACTAATTAGTCCTCAGATGCATTTAATTTTGTGGTTAGCTAGCAAGACCCTCTTAAGACTCCAGGGAGGTATAGATAATCAACAATCATTTTTCAAAATCAAACACTTCATAATACAGTAAGACATAAATAAAAGATATTTCATTCATCACATAATGAATCATAAAGTGTAATGTATTTTAAATATTATTACTGAGTACCAGAATATACTTTATTCACAAAATCTGGAGCCCATTCCAAACTTTCTTGGCAACTATATTCAGTTACTGTATATCCATTGTCAAATCATACATATATGGTATATTCAACAAGTACACAGTAATGTTTATGTAAGAGTCAACTTAAATTCCTATTAACCATGTATTTTATTTAAAAAGTAGCTAATGGAATCACTTGCTTTCTTGGCTGGTGGCTTTTTCTAATTTTAAGTGAGGAACTTGGCTACCTAGATATTCTACGTTAAGGCCTGGGCATCCTTCTTTCCATCTGACCATAAGATAAATAAAGTGTGTCCTGATGCATGCGGACAAGAAAAGCAAGCCCTGACCCACATGAGCTGCTGCGAATCAGTTAAGTATCAGAGAGGTCAAGGATGCAGAGCAGGGGTCTCATACTGCCCTGTTCTAGTGACATACTCTTCATCTTACAGAATAAAAACTCAAGAGCCATAAAGACTATGTTAGAACAAGGAAGAAATCTGAACTATGATCATTTTTCACAGTAATAAGATTGTAAAAAGAGTGGCCAAGATAATTTGGGAGGAGAAAATGGAGTAGTGCATGCTGGAAGACACAGAATAGAAAACAAATTCTTAGAAAGTTATTTTCGGATCTTTGAATAACTTCCAAAAACAGTGTACACATCATGCTTTCACAGCTTTGTGCTTTGTTTCTGTCTAACTTACAGGATTTATTTTCTCTGGCAGTGCTTGGATAGAGCCCAGGGGTTCCCACATGGTGGTAAGCGAAGGTGCAAGAGACTAAAGCCTACAGACATTCACAACGCAAAACTTCTCATATTTCATGGTTAATGATATAAAGAATGATGTATGTATATTAGGTATGATTTGGTCATATTTTAGTTTTCTATTTATTATAATATATACACTGATAGTTTTTTTTTTTTTTTTTTTTTTTTTGGTTTTTCGAGACAGGGTTTCTCTGTGGTTTTGGAGCCTGTCCTGGAACTAGCTCTGTAGACCAGGCTGGTCTCGAACTCACAGAGATCCACCTGCCTCTGCCTCCCGAGTGCTGGGATTAAAGGCGTGCGCCACCATCGCCCAGCCTACACTGATAGTTTTAAACTGGCTATAAAATGCTTCTACAGCACTTGCTCTGAGCTACTGCTGTGTTCTCCCTAACTGTGAGACAGTCTCTGTTAAAATAACCGTGGTCACACTAGACTTGCTCCTGTTACCTGACAGAGACAGAAAATCAAAGACGAGACTCACTGGATGCCAAGAAGTAGCAAACCCCGAGTCACAGTTTCAATACTAAACAGCTGAGCAAGCACAAGTGCAAACTCACTGAAGGCACACTTACTTACCAAGGACATTTTATTTTCCTGGAATAAAGCGTACGTGACAGCCACAGACTGGGGGAGTGAGCATTCTCCATTTTTCACTTCCTGACTTTTCTGGTCCTCTTGAGGTTTTGTACTCGAAAAGAGGTTTGTCTACAGAATGTCAGATGCAGCACACATAAGAACAATAGTATGGCAGACATAATAATACCGTAAGTCACCAGAATGATGCACATGTGTCCGTGAGGCATGACAGGAACACAACACAGAATCTCTAAATAACAAGGTTTCCATGGGTGACGCAAAAAGCCGTTGAACTTTTTACATGTCGATTTAAAAGGCTAAATAAGCTAAAGACCATGCAACAAATTTTCTCATTTCCTCTTTGGCTCATAAGAAAGACTACGTAAGAGCTATATAATGTTCTAATTAATACCTCTAAATTAATCCCCTAATCCTCTGGAAGTGAACACTGAACAGAATGAATATACGAGTTTGCATGTTATAATCACACAATGGGCAGACACACATCATACGGAAAGATACCCTCACTATACTGGTATATGTATATAATTGGTGTGGGAGCTCCTTCTGTCTATGTGTTAATTTTATTGGTTAATGGATAAAGAAAATTGGCTTGACCTATAGCATGAAGGAGGAAGGCAGGGTTGGAGAGAAGCCATGGAGCTGCCAGAGATAGATGCTGTGAACTTTACCCGGTAAGCCACAGACACGTGGTGATATAGTGATTAACAGAAATGGGTTACCCAATAAGAAGCTAGAGCTAATGGGCCAAACAGTGATTTAGATAATACAGTTCTGTGTGGTTATTTTGGGTCTAAGCTAGCCAGGCGGCCAGGATGAACAAGTGGTCTCCCTCGAACATATAACTATATATGTATATATGTATTCATATATATGCATTTATGTTCAAACATTAAATAATTAGTTGTAAAACATACAACCCAACTAGAGCTCTGGCCTTTAAGCTTCATATGAAACCTTAGCTAGAGGGCTGGATAGATGACTCGGTGGATAAGAGCATGTGCTATTCTTCTAAAGGACTTGAGTCTTATTTCGAGCACCCAAATCAGATGGATCCCCCCCCTACACACAGATACACATACACACACACACACACACACACACACGATTAAAAATAATAAAATGTTTAAAATATTTTTTTTTAAAAAACCTTCTTAGATATAGTTTTCCATGAAATACCCAAAAGAACATGTTACTATAAGCACTGATGTAAAACACCTGAGCTCATTGTCTAGCGTCCAGGCAGATTTCACATAAAGGAGAATGTGTTGCTTCTGACGTGGTCAAAGGTGTTTGCTCTAAAAGCTGCTGTCACTCGAGGGCTTTACCTGAACACTGTTCACTTGACAGAAATGTTTGATGACTTCCAGCAGAGGGGCCAAGAGAGCAGCCTTGCCTTCCGAGACCCCATCGATCTGTTTCACATCTTCACCAGTAGTTGGTCTGTTGTTTACAAAAGAGGAAGGAAGAGCTGTGAGGAAGCCACTGAGACAGAATCACTCCAAGAACACAGCTGATGCTCAGTCTCACACTGTACTGGATAACTGTAAACATTTCTGCAATCAAAACCAGAGCTTTCTACAGATGGTCATGGCACATAATCCCTTTCTTCACCTACAGATCTGCTGTATAAACAATTAACAAATGAAAGCGCCACTTCACTTCTAACATCACAAAAACTCAGTGCAGGTATTAAGTATTAATTAACAAGCCATTATTAGAAACAAATAAGCTAAAACCCAGTGCTCCACTTGGTTACCATATTACTCTCAGAAATGAAAACCATGAGGCTTGGAATGGAACAGTAAGGAAGGCTAAGAAACTCAGAAAGTCTCACTCATATTTCTCCCCTGTGAAATGTCTCTGGTAACAGCAAACGGGCTCACCAGGCCTTTAACTCAATGCGTTTGAGTCTTTGCTTCTTGAGTTTCAGGTCTGCTTTAAGTCCACACTGCTAATTAGAACATTTACATACTAAATGTCCTTATCATTCTATAATCTCTATGCTGCACCTCTAAATCTAAACAATACCCATAGAATCATAGAGCTCATTTTTTTGATTATGTCCAATATATCCAAGACTACATGATGTCTCCTTCCTAAAATCCACCAGTGATTACTCTTGCCATCTCTGCATAGTAGCCATCTTAGAGTCTGTATTTATTTACTTAACAAAATACTAACATGTGAGTTACTGTGTGTTATCATTAGAACATCCTGCATTAAAGTTATTCCTATTAAGTGAAATTTAAGAACAGAAACAATTTTATTTATTTATTTATTATGTATACAATGTCCTGCCTGCACATATGCCTGCACACCAGAAGAGGGCACCAGATCTCATTACAGATGGTTGTGAGCCACCATGTGGTTGCTGGGAATTGAACTCAGGACCTCTGGAAGAGCAGCGAGTGCTCTTAACTTCTGAGTCATCTCTCCAGCCACAGAAACAAATTTTTAAAGGAACCAATAGACAATACTTTGAAAATAAGTTCTAATTTATTTAGAACTAGCTGAACCCCTTGTGTTTCTTGCTAGGTGATATCAAAGTCAGAACGAGGTGGGAAATTGGTAATTTTACACAGAGTTTAAGTTCTAATGTATGATATATATTTACAAAAAATTATACAGAAAAGTAAATGAAGCAGTCTTCACCATAGAAGTATCTTTAGCAGTCACCTGAAAGGCCCTGATAAATTCAAGGGAGAGGAATTGGCTGATTAACACGATGGGAGACACCATGGAGGAAACAACAATCCAGCCAGACCTTGAGGATTTCTTCAGAGGAACTGTGAGGAACCAAGGAATTCAAGGCAGAAACAACACACATGAAAGGAAAGGGGACACTGCCTAGAAACACTAAGCAATTCCAGATTCTGTACTGAAATGAAAAAGTAGTTTTAAGTCAACAAATAGAAGGGCTTGAATTCAAAGTCCAAGAAGTCAAGGTCATGTAATTAGTTTGTTATTAGCATATCTGATGTGAGGGAGGGGTCAGTGGAGAGGCTTCGTCAGTAAAGCAAGTCTGGAAAGGTCTGAAATAACCGAATATGAGGAAAGGCACAGCCTGACAGACACAGGAGTGCTGAACGGAAAAGAGAGACTCAGAGGAATGAAAGCAAAAACAAGGTTTTAAATATGGCATTAGGAACATCATAGTATAACTAAAAACTTTGAAATATAGAAAGAAGAAGGGTTCAGGTGACCACTGGGTACAGAGGGGGAGTTGTGATAGATTTGGTTTTATAAATATTGAATATGGTTTACTCACATGGAGATACAGAACTAAAGGCACCTAAGATCAGGGCAGCAGCATGGGGGAGGTGACAGTCACATCGCAGGCTGAAGTCATGGTCATACTGTTACCTAGCAATAATACCTTTTGGAATATATTATATGAGAGAGATTGGAACATAAACTGTTTACCTCATTTTGGCCATATCTAGTAGAATCTTGTTTGTTGCCAGAATAGCCGGAGGCACATCCATTTTATTAGCATGTTTCTGTCTCGCTTCTACCAACTTGGCATATAATACAGTCTAGAAAGAAACAAAGAAACAAAGGAGCTTTTGAAAATGCAGTAAGAAAGAAGTTGCCTTTACTTTTAGAATTCCAGGTACCGCTTTCTTCCTTAAGATGAGACAAGCGGATGCCCATCCTAGATTGTTGGCCACCCACTCATAAGCTGATCACATGTCAGACAAGTCTTACCCTTGTATCCAGCTCTTGGGCTGAAATGATGGGTTCTGAGGAGCTGGAAGATTTTCCTGGTGATTGCGTCCCGACACTAAAATATTTAAAAGAAAATAAATATACTTTTCTTCTTCCCTCGTTTACTTTTTATTCCATACATCAAATAAGAATCTTTCCAAAACTAACATTTACTCTTCACAATATAAGTAAGACGATTTGTGCTTCAATTGCAACAGCCTCAACTTTAAGCATTTTGGATGAGATAATGCACGATAATGCTATAGCTAATAGTGCCTCTTAGTTCTTTCACAGTGCCTTAAGGAAAGTATCTACCAGTCTTCCTTCTCAACATGCACTGTTTATCCACAGAGAAGATAATGCTTTTTTTTCTCTTATCTAAAGTTCTTTTTTTTTAATTTATTTATTTATTAAGGATTTCTGCCTCCTCCCAGCAACCGCTTCCCATTTCCCTCCCCCTCCCCCGATCAAGTCCCCCTCCCTCATCTGCTCAAAGAGCAATCAGGGTTCCCTGACCTGTGGGAAGCCCAAGGACTGCCCACCTCTATCCAGGTCTCGTAAGGTGAGCATCCAAACTGCCTAGGCTCCCTAGATAATGCTTTTTAACCAATGGGAAAATAGTCTGTTCTTGCGGTGAAATCACTGATGCTGGTTAGCAAGCAACGACAGCAAAGAATTAATAGTTATTAAGATTTTTTTTCAAAATCAAACAAGCAAAAGATACAATTTTGTTTTGAATTTTCAAAAGCTGTAGAGAATGTATGAAATTATCAGAAAGGAAATGTACTGGGAGGCAAACCAGATATCTCACGAGAAGCACTTCTCACTGATCGGCTAATTACAAATAAGAAAAGCTGGAAAAATGAAATTGTATTAGATAGACTTCTATAAATGATGTCAGATTTTAAGTTTCTATTTCTTGAAAATAAGAAAGTAAATGTATTTAGGATTCTAGAAACGTTTGTAAATTTCTTTGTTCCAAGAATTCATAAATTATAGTAAAAAGAATTCATCCCCACATTTATCAAATCTTATTGTACCTGACAAAACATAGGCAGCCCAAAGAGATATTGCGTTAATCAAGAAAATTCTAACTGTTCTTTAATTTGCATTACTTTATTTATTGTGTAACGTGCACACATGCCACAGTGCATGCACGCAGGTTTGAAGGCAGTGTGAGGGAGCCAGTTCTCGTTCCACTTTTGTGATCTTCAGGAATCAAGCTCAGGACATCAGGCTTATATGCCATGCCTTTACCTCCTCAATCATCTCATTGGCCTACTTTAACTTTTACCTTGGTTTTCATTGAATCTTCAAAATGACAGGCTATTAGCATAGTGACTTTTAGAAAACCAAAATTTTACTATCCTATTTTCTTGAAAACTTCTGAGTGACATCATTAACAGAAGTGTAGACAGAAGAAGTTGGATAAAAATGTGCTATAAAAGGCAACACAACTGAAGCCCTAATATCTGTGATGGTGACTGGTAACTGAACAGGATCTAGAGTCACGTAAGAGATAATCCTTTGGGTATTCACTCAGAGACTAGGTTAACTGGAGTGGGAAGATCCACTGGAATATGGGGGCACCACCCCATGCACTGGGATCCCAGACTATATAAAGAAAGGAAGGGAGGGAGGGAGAAAGAAACAGAATATGAATATTCATTTGCCCTGCTATCTGACTACAAGTCAGATCAGCTGCCCAAGGATCCGCTACCATGAGCTTCCCACCTGACAGGGGATACCCTCAAAGTGAGCCCCAACATAAACTCTGACTTCCCTAAGTTGCTCTTGCTAGGTATTTTGTCCCACAAACATGGAAAATAACGAATGCAATCTTCTATCAAAGAAAATCCCAGAAGCAGGTAGATTCACTGCTAAATTCTACCAAATCTAAAACAAACAAGCATCAAAGCTTTGTTTTATACAATATAAAGAGAAAGAACACTACCAAACTCATTTTTATGACGCTAGCATTACCCTACCATGTAGGATAAAAGAAGATAAGGGCGTGGATGTGTGGATGTGTATACATATGTTTGTGCGCACGCACACACAGAGAATGACAGAGAGAGACAGAAAGAAACACACAGGGATAGAAAGACACAGAGAGACAGAGACAGAAGGACAGAGAGGCAGAGACTGAGAGAAGCTATGAATTGAATATAAATACAAAAATAAACTTACAAACAAATTTCAAGAATACACAAGGTTATATACCAGGGTTACATTTCAGGGCTACAATGATGGTTCAACATATGTAAAACAGAATATATAAAGACACAAGGATGATCTTCAGGACACACGATCATCTTGACGTATACAGAAAAAGCCACTGACAAAGTTCAACAGCCCGTCATGAGAAAAGCCCTGAAGAAATTACAAATAGAAGGAACATACCTCAACATAATGAAGGCTACATATTGTAAACCTACTCTCAACATTCTAATAAATGAGGAAAAATGAACAGATTTCCTCTAGAATCAAGAAAGAGACAAAGTTCCTACTTTCTTCATTCTTATTCAATATAGTGCTAAAAGGCTAAGTTAGGTAAGAGAAAGAAACAAAGGGATAAAAAAGGAAAGGAAAAACAAATTATGATCCTATTCTTAAGAGATCCTAATGATTCTACCAGAAAACTCTCAGACCTGATAAACACTTTTTCAACGATGACACTAAAGCCAGTACCTTCCCTATGACTCAAATAAAAAACTTGATTAAGAAGCTGGGGGTAGGAGGGCCTCACTCACATTTGCTCAAAGCCTAGGAATAAACCTACCAAAGAAGTAAAAAGCCTTCTGCAACTTTAAACTTTGAAGAAAAATGTTGAAGACATTAGAAAATGGAAACATGTCCAATATACACAGATTGGCAAAATATGGTGACAATAGCTAAATTACAGAAACATCTGAGATTCAACATAATTTCCATCAAAATCAAAGTATGCTCTTCATAGAAAGAGAAAAAAATCATAAAATTCAAAGAGAAGCACAAATAACTCCAAATAGCAAAAGCAATCCTAAGCAGAAGGCAAATTGGAGACATTACAATAACTTATCTCAAATCATACTACACATGTACAGTAAAAAAACAAATCAAAATTAAACAGGGCGCTGACACAAAAGTAGACACAGGGATCACGGGAATAGAGTGGCAGAGTTAAAATCACAGCCATAGTTATTTCATTTTTAATAAAGTCTTCAAAAATATACAGTAGAGAAAAAACAACAAAGGATGCTAGAAAAAAACAGATACAGGTAGATACAGATAAAGATTTAGATACAGAAAAAAGGAAAATATGTCTGTATTTCTGACCCTGCACAAATTTTTTTTTTTCTGAGACAGGGTTTCCCTGTGCAACAGTCCTGGCTGTCCTGGATCTCACTCTGTAGACTAGGCTGGTCTCAAACTCACTGAGATCGGCCTCCCTCACAAGGGCTAGGATTAAAGGGCACCTGCACAAAATTTTTAATAGACCTAAAATTCTGAAATTGTTATAAGAAAATACTTTGTGGTAGAGACACAGGCAAAGACTCCACAGAGCAGGACACAACCACACATGAGGTTGAATGAAATCCAAAAGCTTCAGTAAAGCAAAGGGAGCAATCACCAATGTAAACAGAAACCTGCAAGACAGGAGGAAAATCTCAACCAATTATTACATTTAACAGTGACTTACTATCTAGAATACATAAAGAACTCTCAAAATAAAATACCAAAAATCAATAGGTAAGTAAGCCAAAGAACTGAAATGACAGATCTCAAAGGGTTAAAATAAAAATGGCAAATAAATATTTAGAAAGAAATGTTCAACATCCTCAGCCATCAGAAAAAAAAAAAAACAAACCTGTTCTGATATCTCATCTCACTCCAGTAGAATGGGTATCATCAAGGAAACAAACAATCAATGTAGACAAAGATGTGGGAATAAAGAAAGCCATATTCACTGCTTATGAGAATATAAATGCAGCCACTATGGATATCAGTCTGAATATTTCTCAAAAAAAAATAGAACTACTATATGATACAGCTTTGGGATATATATTCAAAGAACTCTAAATCATCATACTACAAAGACACCTGTTCATCCTTTTTATTGGCTTCACTATTCACAAAAGTCAGGCTATGGAACCAAACTAGATGTCTATCAACATTGAAGGGATAAAGAAAATGAGATACATGTATACAATGCAGCTTTATTCAGCTGTAAAGAATGCAATTACGACAGTCACAGGACAATGGATAAAACCAGAGATGATCATGCTGAGCAACATAAGCCAGACTTATAGTGATAAATGTGTTATTTACATTTTCTCTCATATGCAGATTGAGATCTCGTGCGCTCTCTCTCTGATGTTAAACATTTCTTTCTAAATATTTATTTGCCATTTTTATTTTAATCCTTTGAGATCTGTCATTTCAGTTCATTGACTTACCTACCTATTGATTTTGGATTTTTGGTATTTTATTTTGAGAGGTGTGTGTGTGTGTGTGTGTGTGTGTGTGTGTGTGTGTGTGTAACAAAAGTAAAGCACTATGAGAACTGGGGCAAGGGTCTGCAAGGTGAGGGGAAGTAAACATAGTAAATGGGATCCAACTGTCAGGAAAGCAGGAAGAATCCTAAGGAAGACGAAGGGGTCCTAGCAAGAGAGGAAGGAAGCATAGAGGAAGTGAGGCAGGTAGAGAAAGGAAGTATGGAGGAAGTGGAGCAGGTAAAAAACAATGAAGTACACAATACAGGTACAAAAATAACCTAAGGAAACTCATTTATTTGTATGCCAAACAAAACCTAATCTAAAAGTGTTGTGCATGATTATTACAAGCACACAAAGAAAAGGTCGAGGTGACTACAGAAAACATCAGTTAAGAGCAGATACCTCGTCCTTCAAGCACCACATTGTTAAAGAAGCAGGAATAAGTTTACATGTGACTGTAACTGAGAGGCTGAGAGGTGATAGTGAACAATAGTTTTTAGAAACGAAAATCTGATTACAAAAATCCAATCTTCCCTAAATAAGAGCAGATAAAAGGAAGCTGCAAGAAAGCAGACAGACCAAAGGGGGTTAAATAGAAGAGAAATGAGTAAAACCTAAAGTCACCTCAAGAAAAAAAACAACACTACTATTATTATTTGGTTTTTTGAGATAGGGTTTCTCTGTAGCTTTGGAGTCTATCCTGAAACTTGCTCTGTAGATCAGGCTGGCCTCGAACTCACTCCTGAGTGCTGGGACTAAAGGTATGCAACACCACCACCCAGCAAAAAAGAAAAAGAAAACCAGAAAAAGAAACTAAAGAGAGACAGTTATTAATATCAAGAAAGATACACCAGGCAGTGGTGGCGCACGTCTTTAATCCCAGCACTCAGGAGGCAGAGGCGGGCAGATCTCTGTGAGTTTGAGGCTAGCCCAGGCTACAGAGCAAGTTCTGAAACAGCCAGAGCTACACAGAGAAACCCTGTCTTGGAAAAAACAAAAAGATAAAAACAGTGTCAGTCAAAGTAATACAGTTTTCGTATTCTATTTGTAATATTTGTATATTTACAAAATTATAAAAAAGAATAATGACAAACATTATGCTTAGGGAACTGAGGAAAGGGAAACTCACCATAATAAAAAGCCAACCCCCTATTATATAAAGTTCAAAAGTGTTCAAAAGTGCACCATTTAGAAAAAGGGTTGCAAACTCCAGAGAGATCAGTTAAAAGATTTGAGAATGACTTCTAGTATAGAAGAGAACAAATTTGGGGGGGGGGGGGCATGAGCTGTTGTACTTTTTATAAGCCTCAATTTATCAACTGACTTTTTATATGTGCTATTTAATGAACACTTGACTATATTATCACATGACAATGGAGGCGCTGGGAAGAGAGCTTAGCTGGTGCTCGGCATGCAAGCATGATGACTGAGTTTGATCCTCGGAATCCACACACTGTGAAGGCCAGGCGTGGAGGTGTACATTTATTATCCTGGCACTGGGGAGATAGAGACAGTGGATCCCTGGAACTCACTAGTCAAACAAACAGCCTAGCCTACTTGATGAGCCAGAGGCCAATGAGAGAATTTTAAAAAAAAACCGGATGGGTCCTAAGCAATGAACCCAAAGTTGTCCTCCAGCTTCCATATGAGCATGCACACATGTGAGCTTTCCTCCCACAGGAACACAGAAACACACACAGAGAGCTGTAGATATGTTACCATCCTGCTTACTCCTGTATGCTAAGTCTCTATTCTAAAATGAGTTTCTGGACTATTCCATAGGTATCCAGAACTCAATATATCCCTAAGCTCTTCTTTTTTAACCTTAGTCCCTAAGTATCTACATCTCTTCAAACCATTTCTTATGCTGCCCACTGAAAAGAAAGACAACATTATCATCCGGTACTAAAAACACCTTCAAGATCTCCCTTTTCTCAACCCACCGTCTCTTCAGAGTCCTAACACTCTATTTCCTCATTTACAAGACTATTGTTTTCTCCTCTGTGCCCACAGCCACATTCCTCCTCTTGTAAAAACACTGAAGTTAACATCCCTGTTTGTGTTTTCACCACAATTCTGAGCTGTCTACAATCTATTCTTGACAGGAATGATTAAAAAATTATCACCCCAGGGACCACTACAAAAACCCATTTATTTTACTTAGACTTACAGGTAAAGAATAAAGATCAAAAGAAGAATATTTTATAGCATGTTAGGTTACACAGACTTAAAGCTCCAATGTCTCTAATTCATGTTTTCTAAGAACATAGCACATTAATTGCCTTTTAAATTATCTATGGCTGCTTTGATGACAACTGCAAGGAAGAACCATTGCAATGGAAGCTTTGACCTCAAAAACGAAAACACTGCCTGACACTTTACAGAACAGTCTGCAGCCCATGTCAATATGTCACTGTTGGCAGAACACTGGCACGTCACTGCTAGTTTACTGAACACGTGTCTTATCTCTCAGCTGCCTTCAGATCGACCTGAGTGCTTAGCAGGGTCCAGACATGCTGGCCTGTATTTACTTCTGCAGACTTCAGGTGACTGTTCCTACTACTAAGTCATCTCTAAGCCGCTGCTGAGCTGTGTAGTAATAACACATGTTTTATATTTAACTAATGTTTTGCCTGTGAGTATATACGTATGTGCACCACATGTGTGTCTAGTGCCCACAGAGGTTAGAAGAAGGCATCAGATTGTCTGCAACTGTATCTACAAACAGTTGCCAGCCACCAGAGGGGTGTTGGGAACTGAACCCTGGTCCTCTGCAAGGGCCATAGTAGTCTAAATCACCAGTCCCTCTCTCCACGGATTGTAGTTTTGTCGTTTTATGAACCTTTCTCTGGACATCCCACTGGATTGTTAACATTGGGGGAATGTGGTAACAACACTGTAATTCCCTTTGAGTCCTGGGCCTCAAATGGTGTCTGCATTACAAAGCAGGCACGTGAAAACACAGTTAACATTTCAATGTAGAAATGCTTCACGATACTGGGTGGACACTGTCATACATACTTCTCAAACTATCTAAATAAAACTTTAGTAATTGCATATCACACAGTCAAACAAGAAAGAAATTGTTTGTGATAAGGAAATTACTACTGTGATAGATGTTCTGTCAGATCTAAAGGAGTGCTATATAAATGATCGAAGCACAGGAAGTGTGTGGGTCTTACAGCATGTTCACTTTAACCTCATATGAATATAAATATAGTTCATTTGATCTTTGTATATAACATAGCCATGACACTTCTCTTATCTGGTCCTCAGACAGGATATTAGATTCTATACAGTTTCCATACTTCTACTATGTCAGCAAGTCACACAGTAAGATTAAAAACATGAACAGCTGGGTTTGTAGCGCAGCGATAGAGGGCTTATCTAACACAAGCAGGTCCTGGGCTCCTTCCCCAGCACAAGAAAACAGCAAATTAAAACTACAATGGGCATTTTAGCTTTATTCTCTAGCAATTTTTACATTTCCAGTCTTATTACTATAATACTTTTATATGAAAATGGGTTGGGAATATATATTATATATTATACATTATATAATATAATATAATGTATAATATAATAACAGTAATTAAAAGCTAGAGGTGGGCAAATATAGAAGTGGATCAGCAATCTCATTAGCTATATATGCACAAACAGGTTAATGGCCTGACCCTTGATATATTTAACTTCAGAATGAGAATAATTGTGGCCACCTCACAAATGGTAGATATCAAATGCACTGGGAACAAAGATGCCCAAGAAGCATGATCCACTACCCGAACTTCCCATTTGTCTCTTTTACTCATTCTTGATCCACAGAGACTGTGTTCTGATTTTCACCTGTTTTTGCAATGAAACAACCCAACAACTAATAGTCATTTTTCTTTAGGAAAGAAAGTAAAATAGTAGTATCAATAATATTAGCAAATATAAAATATTAAAATTGGAACTCTGTACCTTTTTTTAAGAATGTCACTCCCAGAAGATTTTTCAGACGCTTTGTACGAATACATTCTCTCCAAATTAGACTATTTTCCACAAATAAAGTCCATCAAAAAGAAATTAAAAAGCATTTAAATACAAAGAAAAGAAGTTTTTTTTTAAAAAAAAAAACTCACAATAACAACTAAGTAACCAAGTCTTCAAAGGAATAAGCTGTCAACATCACCACCTCTGAAGACTTTAAAGGCAATTTAAAAAGAGAGAGCTCCAAAGACAGTCCTAAGACACAAAAGCCTGAGTTACAGGAGTGATTCAACTCCACATTGACACTAACAGGCGGGAGTGGACACTAGGAGACTTAATTCATCATTTGCCCATCGTCATGATCTAATTAGCTAAGGACAGCCATGCATAAAGAATCTGTAGTAGTTACTAAGAGACTAGCAAAAGAAAAAAGTCAATATGTGTCCATTAGCAGATGGGATGGGTGTGGGGCTTTAGTGAGACTATTTAGAAAACGGGTTTATTTATTACCAGTAAGTATCATCATATATTAAAAGTCTCAGGACAAATTATTTATAAAATAAGCATTAAAAGAAAAATAAATTACTTTGTGAAATACTTCTCTGTTAACCCAAGAAGTCGCATCATATTTTTATTCTCGCCACATCATTTCTCCCTGTAGTTTATGCTTTTTCTATGTGCTGTTCTTCTAGCTAGCAGCAATGCAAACATAGGATTTTAAACCAGGAGTGGTATCCATGAATGAAATACTAAGAACCACCTTGAAAACAAACCTGCTCGGCAGTTAATCCAATTGGCTTGACATCAGAAGATACAGGAGTAGAACTGAAAAACGGTAAAATTAAAACATCTAAGTTAAACTGTAATCAAACAATTCATGAGTCATCATTCTACTCTGAAAACACTGATTTCCCAGACAAAAGAGATTCGAAGAAAAAAACCTGATACGTGATCACTAACATTTGCGCTGATACTAAAAAGCAGGCGCAAGCATACTACCTTCCTACATGTACACTAGGGAGGTGATTCACCAATTCCTTATCTTCACCCCATGTTGCCTTAAGCAACAGGCAAGAGAACTTGCTTGTTCTTCCTTTGATTTTATATGGCCGTGGGGGGACTGTAATTCGTAGCTTCAATGTAACAGCAGTATGTACAAAACCACAGAAATGTATTTCCAAGTCCCTTTCCTCTTTGCACCACGCGACACTGCACAGTTACGGAAGGTGAAAGGATCTCCTCTAGCCCATTTTCTTCTGTAAGGGACACGTGTTTAACCTTACCTCTGAAAGCAGCTTCCTACGGATTGCAGTCGGATACCTGACATCCTCCAGGAAACTGTTCTATAGCCTACCCTTCCCTAGCACTCCCTTCTACCACTCACGCTCCGTGAGACAACTGATTTTACCTGTACAGTGTCTATAAACCGCTAGAATTTGACTCACTTAAGTGAAACTAGAAGATTTCAAGTTAATGGAGAAAAAAAAAAACTGAAGGAAAAAAGAAAAGAAGAACCTTGGCAGCCGAACCTTCCTTGGACACATCTCTTCATTAGCCTGAAGGAGAAGACTCGGAGGAGACTGCGTACTGGCTTCGCAAAGCCATTTTCTACCCTATCAAAAGCAAGAAGAATCTTAATGCACCGTGCGAGGGACTGAGACAAACAGGTAGATCTCTGTGCTGTTTACCTTTTGTGTGAGGGAGCAAGTCTTTACAAACTTGTTTTGCTTGGGAACTTCTACCAATAATCCTTCAGCTACGAGATGGTGAGAAAGGGCCTTCCACCAGCTCTCTGCTCGGTCTTTGCCAGCGCCAAAAAGCTTATGACGGCGATATTTATCGGCAAGACGCTGAGAATTCTGAAATCGGAAAGAAAGGGTCTAAGAATGTATATTCAAATAAACAGGCCAAATAAAGCAAAAAGCCTACCTAGCAATTCTTTGGGTTTAAAAATAAATTTCAGCTTTTAAACCTCTTGGATTTTTATGTCCCTCCTTTTCGTTCTGAACACTCAATTGCCGAATGTGTAATGAAAATAGTATTCTGTCTTAAATATGGAAAAATCTTCACATAATTCAGATGCACTTCCCAGTGGATGGGTTTGGGTATGTCTGGAATATTTCATCTTTGCTATGACTAGAAACTCTGAGCAACAAGTGTCTAAAAACGGACATAATTTTAGAACAGGAGTGATAAAAGAAAATATGACCAGATAGTCGAGCAAAAATCCATGGTTCCACCACGTGGTTATTTCTCACTGCGTGGCTATTTCTCACTGCGTGGCTATTTCTCACTGCGTGGCTATTTCTCACTGCGTGGTTACTTCTCACTGCGTGGCTATTTCTCACTGCGTGGCTATTTCTCACTGCGTGGCTATTTCTCACTGCGTGGCTATTTCTCACTGCGTGGCTATTTCTCACTGCGTGGCTATTTCTCACTGCGTGGCTATTTCTCACTGCGTGGTTACTTCTCACTGCGTGGCTATTTCTCACTGCGTGGCTATTTCTCACTGCGTGGCTATTTCTCACTGCGTGGCTATTTCTCACTGCGTGGTTACTTCTCACTGCGTGGCTATTTCTCACTGCGTGGCTATTTCTCACTGCGTGGCTATTTCTCACTGCGTGGCTATTTCTCACTGCGTGGCTATTTCTCACTGCGTGGCTATTTCTCACTGCGTGGCTATTTCTCACTGCGTGGCTATTTCTCACTGCGTGGCTATTTCTCACTGCGTGGCTATTTCTCACTGCGTGGCTATTTCTCACTGCGTGGCTATTTCTCACTGCGTGGTTACTTCTCACTGCGCTTGTGCTCCTAGCACATACAAAGCCTACTTAATGCCGATCACCTGAGACACCTACACAAACAGTGCGTGCCAAATAATTGATCTTGGGGTAGTGATACTTCTTCTGAGTGATGGTGGAACTCTTAGGAGAGACTCTTTAGCCGTTAAATTCTAGAAACATGAGTTGTCGTATGCCAGTTTACTGCCCCATAACAGAGGCGACTCCACTATAAAGTACTCGTCTCTTCCCTGCAAGCTCTTACTGCCAATTTCACTCATTCTATCCATTTAACTACTTTAACAGTGCAGGGTAGTGTGTGTCGCACAGCATCACAGAAAATTACATGCGTATAATGTCATTGAGATGACGGTGATGGATTAAAATTCATCTATCATTACCTCCGTCTACTGTGCCCTCTGTCACCCAACTGGAAAGTCACAAACATTTCTAGCTTCATCCAGAATTCTGACCGTGATCTGAGTTCTGTTAATCAGATGCTATCATTTGCATGACAAGTGCAGGCAGGATGGGAGACAAAGCCCACTCCCGTACAATATGTGCAAGCACGCATGGATACAGAGGGTCGCACATAATTGTGACCCAGCCGTGTTAGGATCTCAACACAGAATCATCGCTCACAGGCTTATGCATTTGAAAAACTGGTCCTCAGCTAGAGATTCTCCTTTGAGAGGCTGTGGAATCTTTGGGGATGGAGGCATGGCAGGTGAAATGGATCACTGGTGGCAGATCTCTGAGAAGTTACAGCCTGGCAAAACTTCTAGCCTGCCATTGCTTCCAGCCTGAATTCTTCTGCTTCCTATAAGCTATGGTGATATGGTCAGCTGTACATTACCAATATTATGGACAAATCCATGTTAATCTATGTATCCCTTGAACCATGACCCCAAAATAAGCTTCTCCCTTAAGTTCCTTCTACCAGGCATCCAGTCATCATTATGAGAAAAGCAATTAATGTAGGTGGACGTGGCACTCTTTCCTTACTAATAATCCTCGTGGATGCCAAACCTCATTGTGGTCAGTCCAAGTAAATGTCTCAAGTCACACGCACGCCGGCTGAATTTGTTTTAAGCACTAATACATAACGTGGAGATGACAACTATTGAAGTGTACTGTAATCGCCTCTGACAAAAGAATGTGTTTCTGTCCATGCCAAATAAACAGCAAAACTGTGGGAAAGATGTTATTTTGTTTGATGAGAGCAGCCATTTTGATATACATGTAGTCCACAATACTCTGCCTCGGTATGCAGTCAGGTTTCCCTGATTAGCCATGAAGAGCTGCTGGGTAGTAGGAGAGTCTATTGTTTGCAATTAACACCAAAAGGATTGAGGTGCCTAACTAGCATTACTAGTTCTCGACACTAAAGATGATTGATTACTCTAGCCTTTTTTTCTTCCTAAGTGAAAAAAAAGACTAAATAGAATGTACATATTTACTGGGATGGAGTAATGAGGCTTTTCTTGATCAGCAACAAATATATCTTCCCTTTATGATCAATAATCATTGTGAATATGGTGTACTATAAATTTACTGTGTAAATACATTTATGTAACCATGTTTCCATGGTAACCACCAGGCAGAGATCGAAGCCTCTTTATTCCTTGATATGTTACATCTTTGTTTTAAAACAATCCTACGCCTGGCACAGTTAGAAGCTCAAACTAAACTGAGCAACCTGTTTCAAAACATCACAATAAAGAATGTTAAAAATATTTATTCTTTGTTTTATTCGTATCAGTGTTTGCCTGTATGTATGCATGCACGCATGTATGTACGTATGTACATATGTGCACCATGTGCACGCAGTGCCTACGGAAGCTAGATGAAGGCATCAGGTTCCTCTCAATCTGGACTTACAGAAGATTGTGAGCTGCCATGTAGGTACTAGCTACCCAATCCATGTCCGATGTAAGAGCAGAGAGTGCTCTTAATCACTAAGCCACCTCCCCATGACCACAATAAAAATTTGAACAAATACTTGATGACATCTGACTCTAAGCAAAAAATCTGCATTAACTGCATAAATGTTCTAGTTAAGCTGGATGATGGTGGTGCACACCTTTAATGCCAGCACTAGGGAGGCAGAGGCAGGAGAATCTCCATGAGTTCAAGTCCAGTCTAGTCTACAAGAGCTAGTTCTAGGACAGCCAGCGTGTTATCCAGAGAAATCCTGTCTCAAAAAAACAAAACAGAACAAAATGTTCTAGTTAACTTACCAAGTTATCCACTGGATAAGCAAAACTACTCATCAGAGATAAAATATAGTATCTATTTTATTTTTAGCCCTGAGAGCCTGTATGTACTCCGGGGAATGTAATCTTGCAAAGGAAATTTTCATACTATTCTTTAACTTTAAAACTCAACTTGAAAAAAAAAATAAGGTTCAACAAGTGGACTTATTACAGAGTGTAGAACCCAAGAACTGATGATTAAAGCTAGAATAAAGAGGACCAGGGCACCCCACCCAAGGAGTGGGCAGCTGGAGAGGCAAAACCTTTGCACTAGCATCTGATACAACAGAAAATGGGGGAGAAAAAAATGCTTCTTCTCCAAATTAACTTCCTCAAAAATCAAATTGCTTTTTGTAGTAAATTTTTTCTTGTTGGGAATAGCATTATCTTTTATCATTCTTCCCTCTTTTCATGTTCAAATCTCTACATGAACTATATTCTTCCTACAGCCTCACAAGACAGAAACTTCCTGTTTCCCCCTTCAGAAATTCCCTGACTCCCCTATGCGGGCTCTCTTCTGACTTCAGCCGACCATCCATGTGTCCCGTGTCCCTTTCTGTACCAGGTTATACTTATTTTCTCCCACGCAACACCGTCTACACTAGGTGTTGACCCTCATCTAATTCAGTACTCTAGGCTCTACAAAATAAATGTAGTGCCTAACACAAAAATAGATGTTCAATAACTCAAGAAGGCTTAAGTTTCTAGCTAACTCCTCCTCCCCCACCATTCCTGATTCCAGTTCCTATAATCCAAAGACACTCACAGCTTACATTTCAGCGGTTCAGTAGGTAATTCTGTGTGAACCAAGGGCCTTGTGCATTATAGACAAATTTTCAGTACTGAGCAAACCCAACACACAGCGATATATTTCAATCATATGAAATAATTCGTCTAGAATATTAAAATGCACAGCCATTTCCTGTCATATAATTTTAAAAATTTGGAGAGTAAAACTACCAACAGTTACAACTGACTGTGGTATCACATGCCTGCAATCCACGTGCCCAGGAGGTTTAAACAGGAGAATCACAAGGGCCAATCCAAACATGATCTTGTCTCTAAAATGCATACATACAGACATACTTACATGACACAAGCATGCATGCACACATGTATGCACACACACATAAATCTATCAACATTCCTAACAGCCGCACAGGTCAAATCTCTAAACTCAGTGGATAAAGGACTTGATGTCTAAATATGAGGACCTGAGTTTATGTCCCCAGCTCCTATATAGAGAGTAGATACGGCAATTAATTAAAAACAAATCAAATGTCTCAATGCTAGACTGAAACTCTGAAACATCTACAAGAAAGAGTATGGAGTACAGGTGAGAATACAAGCTCGGGAAACAACTTTCTGAAAAGGACCCCAGTCATCTAGATAACAGGATCCCTAATCGACAAGTAGGATTTCATGAAATAAAAAGTCTGCACTACAAAAGAAACAGTTATTCAACTGAAGAAGCAGCCTATAGAATGGAAATACCAGCCACGCATCTGACAGAGGGTGTGTAGAGAATATACAAAGATTTCAAAAATTAAACACCAAGAAAACAAACAAAAAGTAGGCTACAGAACTAACCAGAATTTTCAGAAGAAAGACAAAATGGCTAGGAAATGTTTTTAAAATATTTACCATCCTTGGCCATCAAAAATTCAAGTTGAATCTACTTTGAGGATAAGATTTTTTTAAAAAAGACAAGAAATGCTGACAATGATCTGGGGAACCCTTGTGTACTATTTGTGGGAATGAAAACTGGTGTTAAACCTCTTTAAGGGTGTAGCCCCTGGTAGGTATATCACATTCCAGCAGATGACCCCATACCCATCAATAGGTGGGAGGAGGGCATAAAGCTGGGATGGGGTGCAGAGGTGCAGAGATGGATCTGGAAAGAGTTGGGAGAATAGTGGAAGGTGATTATAACCAAATTACAGTCTCACTTACAAGTGGATCCTACCAGTGAACATTTAGAATAGTGTGTTTCATTTGGAGATCTGTAGAATCCAAGAAAATAGAGAGGGATCATTAGTAGGGGTGGGGGAAGGGAGGAAAATCTTAGCAGAGGGGGATAACAACACGTGATGTAAAGGGGGAAAAGTGCAGAGTGGGATGAGAAGGTAGGATGGAGGAGTAGCTGGGGAGGAAGGTAACACTAAACATTGTTTTAAAAGCCCATATGAAAACTTACTATTTTATAAGCATCCTACACACACACACACACACACACCAGAGAGTAACTGAAGTTACCCTACACAGGGGCTAATCTACTCAAGGAAGCCACAGGTCACCAACCAAAGAACCCAGTGTCATGTGTGGGACACCCCGTCTCAAACTGTTGCTCAGTTTGTCCTATAGATCCCCCAAACAATACAGGCCACTGCCACTCTTAGTTTCCCACCAGAACGTGGGTGCAAGGCTGCATTGCTAAAGACACCACGTGCTTTGGCCACCGGCCATGGAGAAGTCAAGTCAGTACTGACCAGGAAGCTTCCTTTTTCCTGGCTAGCTTTCACAGTACTAGAAGGTGTTATGCAGCCTGCTAGGGGAGAAAAAGGCAAGTCCTACCCAGCTGTTAATGCTGTGCAACTAATATCTGGCATGTCCAGATGTGCCCAAAGGTACAATAGTGGCATGAATATAATAGGGTTAACCAAGCACTTTCTGACAGGATTTAAGCATCTTCCTTTCCCTACCACTCCCATACCCACTCCGCAGGAGGAACTACATCCATGATAAATCTGACCAGAACCTTTGGTCAGGGAGCTCACAGGTCCCAGGGATGAATCTATTACTATTATTTTGCTAAACAGACATAGAATAAAACTCGCCTCTAAATTCCTATCCCTGTACCCGCAGGTTAGTACCACTCTCAAGCCTCTTCAGAGGTTCTTAGTGCAGTGGATGGTGTTAATGCAGACACTCCCAACTGCTCCAAGTACAAAGAACATGTGTCTGTGGACTGTTTATCCACAAGCGGGACATCTATGTTACACTCCTTCCTGCAAGGCTCCAGGTTCATCCCAAAAGGGGGTATAAACATTGTTAGAGTCAGAGGTCATACAGGACTGGAATTGGAATAAACAGTGTCTTTTGGGCATGACAGACCACTGCACCCATTAATTCACAGCATCTGTGGTTGTCTGCACACACTCAAGTTAGTATAATTTTCAGCATGGGGTAAAGAGGTTCATGAGCCCCTACTGAGCACCTATTGAAAGCTGATGGCTTTGGAAGGAGAGAATGATTCTTCTTTAAGGGTGTAGCCCTGGGTAGGTTGGACACATGCCAGTAGATGGCCCCATACTCATCGCCAGGGTTTGGGGAGGGTATAAAGTTGGGATGGGGTGAAGAGGTGGAGGGATGGATCTGGGAAAAGTTGGGAGAATAGTGTATGGGGGGGTGATTATTATCAAAATACATTGCATACCTGTATGAACTCTTGAAAAGATAATGAAAATATCTAGTTAAGAAAACAAGCTGGGTGCATGTGAAGCATTGCCTACAGCTATAGCTCTGGGTGGCAGGAACTGGAGTTGGGACAATGTCAAGGACTCCAGGCAAACCAGCCTATCCAAAACACTGGGCTCCAGGTTCACTGACAAACTGTCTCAAAAGAAAAATAATAATAAGAGCAAACAGGTGAAGATACTCAAATTCCACCTCTGGTGTTCACACGTGCACACATAAGTAAGAGCATTCACACACATACACACGTGCACACACACAGAGATGTATCCCAATATAGTGTCTAAGTGCTATCTAATTCTGAGGCCATGATAAGAATGAGCACTTTGATAAGGCATTCAGGAAGATGGCAATCTTATGGATGTAAATGATCATGTTTTTCTTTAAATTACAGCCACTGACTATGTTCTGACATGGTCAAACAATGTGAGAGGTTTTTACATGGTGAGCTGTTGAGTCAGTGAATACAAAGTTCTCCAGGCAATACTGGTGACTTCGTAATCAGGCACATTAAAACAAAAACTGAAACTCCACTTTACAAACTTATGGATAAACTGAGTTCATAATATTTAGAAAAACATGTGTGACCAAATCAAGCCCTACAGAAACCATACGTATGTTCATAAACATCATCTCTTCAAAGTCACTCCAAAACTGGCAGCTATATCATCTTACATATTAGCAATACCTACAAAGGTATTAACTTGTCCTAAATTGGAACAACTTGCTTAGTTCTCGAGAGAATTACAGTTATAATTTTCCAACAATATCCCAGTAGATACCAGGATCCGTGAACTCAGAAGCAGGTGACTCCCCTTATTCTGGCTATCGTTAGCACTCACGGATTTCCATTAAGTGATACTTTTTCAAAGCTTTCCACTCTTAGCTAGCAAGGGTAGTATAAAGTTTCACTGAGGGCGAGCTGCTTAATTTGAGGACTCCCAGAAGGCACTGTCAGTATGAGAGGTCTGACTTGGTTTTCAAATAATAAGTGAAACCCGATCCCTCTTGTGACCACTTGAAGTCTGTCTAGAAACAAACTTTATTGATATTGGATATAGCTGGATTATACCAAATTAAAACAAGATAGTTTTATAAATTGCTCACATTGGATATAAGGTTTTAAAGTGACAAGGATAGAAATTAACGTATAGGTTTAAATTATTTGAGCTGATCTGCAAAGCTGATAAAAGTAAAAATTCCTTAGCAACACTTCTATTGCTAAAAATTTAGGCAAATTTGCCATTTAAAACCAAAATCTTAAAACCCTTTTATCTTGAAAGCATCGAGATCTGAAAAGGTAATATAAGTTTTAATGAGTTTCATTAAAAATAGTTCACAACTAATCCCATAGAATACTTACTAAGCAAAAGCAAAACCATTTACAGGAAGCATTTGACTATTTAACAAGAAAATGTTTACCTTAAGGATTTTAAAATTCTATATAAAAATGAACTTTTATTTTTTACTATAAAGCATATTTTTTAACCAGGAGATATCTCTGCAAAGTATCATGCCTTCTACTCTTGGTTTACTTAAGTGATATTAATATACAGTTCTTAAGTTCACAGACTTTAATTCAGAAATAAAATTACCATATAAACAGAAGGACTAGAGAAAAGCAGGTTTGAAAGTGTGAGGGTTGGGTCTTAAGCACGTTCGTGACTGATATTTGCCAGCATAATGAGGGCACATGAATCACTCAAAACAGAAAGTAGTTCAATTAAACTCAGTTATTCAACTTATAAAGAACCAAAATAAACAAAACCCTCTTCTTGAAATGTTAAGTACTTCCAATTTGAGATACAATCAGAGCCAAGAATATGCTGCCATATACTGTTACTGAGCACAGCCACTTACAAAATAATTCCCAAAACTAAAATTTTGTACAAAGAACACAATTGTACCTGGGCACCAGAAGATACAATTTTGATCTACCAATCCCTAGATACAATGAAAGTTAACTTTCTTTAATTATCCCAAGAAACCCCAGTCTAGTGATTAATGCAATTGCAGTGTGGTAAGCTAATACATTATTTCCAGTCTGCAGTGCACAGCTGAACACCACCAACAAAACAGCATCTGATGGGATACAGGAGTTGTTCAAAGCAACAACTTCAGGGTTAAGCTGGAACTCAAGATGACTCTGAATTGCCAGTAAGTCATCTAAAGCCAGAGTTACAGTCACGGCAGCAGAAAGCACAGTCAGAAACTGTCGCAGGAGTCACTACAGATACACTTACAGATCCTCGAAGAAACAAAATAGGAATCCCAATTCCAAACTTCTCCTCTAAGATGTCCACAGCAGAGAGCAGCTGGAATGCTTGTGGACCAAAGTCTTGGAATGTGTCATCTGGGTCGTTAGTGGGATAGCAATGACTCAATCTGAAGAAAAGTAATAGCATACTAAGAAAACACAGACAAAGCATGCTCCTTTAGAAATAAAGATATAACAATGAACCATGTTAAAAATATCTCAAATGTATCCAATGTTTCTGAAACCACAAATAAAGCTTATTACAATCAAGAGGACGTGGCATTATCTAAAACACAGAAATCAGATTACAGCATCCCAGAGAGTGCTTTCTTATACCTAGAAGCTAAGTTTCATGGAGGCACTCAAGAAAACAGTGCTGTAGGATCCCAGCTCAGGCAGCTCCACATAGCCAATGATATAAATACTGGACGCTTGTGTTAATTTACACCAGAAAAGGACGCTAATGAAAAAGTTTTTAACTTAAAAAAATTGTTATGCATCAACATGCCAGTTTGAAACTTAGTATTTTTTTAAATATTTATTTATTTATGTATACAATATTCTGTCTGTATGTATGCCTGCAGGCCAGAAGAGGGCACCAGACCTCATTACAAATGGTTGTGAGCCACCATGTGGTTGCTGGGAATTGAACTCAGGACCTTTGGAAGAGCAGGCAATGCTCTTAACCTCTGAGCCATCTCTCCAGCCCCAAAACCTAGTATTTTTAAAATACAACACAGGAGCTTATGAACTTGTCATTCTGGTACATTTAGCAGTTAAATTCATTAGTTTCTCTCCAGGTTGATGCAAAATTATCATTAATGCAAATAAGTATTATTTAGCTTGAGAACAAAAGAAATTCTCAGAGGCTGTCAACTATTATATTTAAATTACCAAATTCAACTACTTTCCATGTCAGACATATCTTTAAATAGCAGTGGGAATGCAGTCAAGATTCCAGATAGAAACATTCTGTTTGGATTTAAGGAAGAAACGCCCTGCTTAGGTTTATTCTCTCACTTACCTCCATGGTAGGATGCTATATGACTTTCTCTTCAGAGTGTCTAAAGTTATTATGTTTCCATAAACTATGATCCACACTTTATCTCGCCACTTTAAATGTATGGTATTATGGTTATCACTAACCTCTAAAAGTTTTTAAAACTCTTACCCAACCCAAAATGCTGCTTCTGACATATAGCTACTGCACCCAGAGACACACCTAAGTCAAAGAAGGACCATCTGTGTTTCTTCTCTGTAGAGTAGAATACAGTCAAACTGTGCATATCCTATAAGCAGATTCATCAAACCTTCGTCACAATCAAGATCCAGCAAACACACTGTTCTCAAGTCCATTCTCCCTGCCTTTAACCTCTGCCAGCTGCTGAGCCTCCCTACAGTTCTGACTTTCAGAGAAGACACTTGTGGAACCACACTGTAGAACTGGGCTATAACTTCATTTAAGTGTGTGCCAGAATTTGTCACTGAAGCCAAGTGGGCTAGAGGGGTTCTAAAGGAGAAAGTCAGTAGTCCTTATAGTGGTTAGACAAGCATTCTGGATACATTTCACTGTGGCTGGACACTGCCCACTAGAGGACACTGAGAAACTGGCCCATGAGATCTGCCTTACTCAGTTTCTGAAAACTGATTTTTTTTCAGAGTCCCTTTGTCCCCGTGATTATGGGGTTTGCAGTAAAATTCTTTCACTTCGATACTGATAATCCGTGCTCCCCTTTTTTTCTGTCAGTCTTTTATAAAAAGGTTTTTTAACTTTTATAATGAACTTTGGGGTTCATGAATTTCCTCTACTGCTTCTGTTTTCTGTTCACTGAATTATGCACTTATTTTTATTACGTACTTCCTGTTAAGTTTCCTCTTAATTACCTACTTCTTTTTTCTTTTTGTTTTTTGAGACAGGTTTCTCTGCAGCTTTGGAGCCTGTCCTGGAACTAGCTCTGTAGACCAGGCTGGTCTTGAACTCACAGAGATCCGCCTGCCTCTGCCTCCCAAGTGCTAGAAGGCGAGCACCACCACCATCCGGCTTAGTTGCCTAGTTCTTAAAGTGAATGTTTTGTTATTTGTATGACGTGTATACTCCTAAATGTTGCTTTTAACACTACAAATTATCTTGACAGAATCATACTAGCTATATCCCAGACATTTCATATTCTTATTACATGGTTCAAAAATGTCTTCTGATTTGTTGTATGACTTTGACTCACAAATTATTTAGAAGTACATTGTTTTATTTCTAAGGGTTTGGAGAGTTCCCTTTTCTTCCCACTGCTGCTTTCTAAATTAACTTTAACTCCACTAAAGTAAAAAACATATTTTATCCAAATAGAATATTTTCATTTGTCAGGGCTTGTTTGATGACTCAGAGGAAATACATGTGCCCAAGTATTCCAGACGCCCTTGAAAAGAACGGATGAAAGGCTCTTAAGAAATTAATTAGAGCTGGTTTGCTGTTTGTTAGTCTTCCTGTCTGAACCCTGAGTCCTGCGATTACAGGCATGCCCATCACTCTTGGCGTTCCTTACCCACTTTTGTCCACTAATTCTATTAATGACTAGGAGTTGATATCACCAAATGCCCCTGTGGGTTTCTGTTCCCCCTCTTAGTTCTGCAGGTTCTTGAGTGAGGTCTGTGCATAAGCAGGATTATGACTTCAGGGCTGTATGGCTAACATGTCAAAAAGGCTATGCTATGGGGCTCAATTGTTTGGTCAGACAATAAACTGGATGCCACAGCAAATGTATTTTGTAGATGTGAACACTACTGATAAACAGATGACTTTAAATAAGGAAACTATGCTCGATAATTACTCTCTTTGAGTTAAAAGTCTTAGCAAAAACAGGCTTGCTGTGTAAGAATTCTGTTGAACGCTGTAACATCAGCTCTTGCCTGACGTAGTATCCAGACCACTGGCTTACACTATAAGTTTTAAGACTTGCCAACAAGCCGGGCGGTGGTGGCGCACGCCTTTAATCCCAGCACTTGGGAGGCAGAGGCAGGCGGATCTCTGTGAGTTCGAAACCAGCCTGGTCTACAGAGCTAGTGCCAGGACAGGCTCCAAAACCACAGAGAAACCCTGTCTTGAAAAACCAAAAAAAAAAAAAAAAAAAAAAGACTTGCCAACAATGTCCAATATCACCCCCTTCTCTGTTCTTTCTTTCTCATCCCTCCTTTCCCCTTGTGCCCTCTCGCCCTCCTGCACGCCCTCGCTCATGCCCTTGCTCTAGCCTTGATGCCATTTCTCTGAAGAACTTTGGCAATTTTGCATTGTCCAGTGTCCTTCTTTATCTTAGATAATATGCTTTGTTCTAAAGTCCCCACTGCCAATACTAAATTAGTAACTTAAGTTTTTCTTTATTAGTATTTTCACAGTATTTTGTATTTAGTTATTTTTAACCTATCTGTATAACTTTACTTGCCCTTACGGAAAAAGATCAGATAGTAATCTTTTGAAATACACTTTGATAATTTATACCTTTAATGAGTACTTTAAGGTTATTTAAAGTAACTGTTGACTAGCTAGACTTACTATTTTCTGACTTTATTGTATAAAAGTAAACCTCTTTACAATGTTTTATTTTAAATAAAGTAACTATGCCATTTTTAAAAACTAATGAAGCATGATTTGAGGAGAAGGAGAAGACAAGCATCTAGGACTCCTCAAGGAGGAATGCTTACCTGGCCCTGCAATTGTCACAGCACTTCTCCGTCCCCAGAACATCCACGGAGGCCCTTTGCAGTCGCTTGTCCTCAAAGTGGGACAAGATGATTCTGACGAAGAGGAAGTTTTAAATTAAAGAACAAATATGGACATGTTAAACCCACCACCCAGTGAGGTACATACCACCATTACTGCAGTTATTCGGGACCCCATCACTTCATATCAATTTATTTAAACACAAATAAACCCGTCCTAAAATTCAGCATGTATACAGCAATTATTCTTTAAAAATACTTTAATTGACTTTTTTAAAGTGCCATCTAAAGGTCTATGCTTCTAACCGATAAAACAAGTAATACATACTGCCGCCTGCATCGACTGGAATGAAGATATTTTTCCATTTTCGCTAACATCTTTAATTTATACAATCGGAACTTTTCGTTGTGTATCTCAAGAAGATGATGCCTGCAAATTGAAAATCACAAGAACATTTAAAATTATCCTGTCAATTTTGTTATTTGAATTTTATAACCCACAGAATCCCCCACTGCATCACAATTTCTGTCTCCCTAGGAATGGCCTGTATTTTTCCCAGTCATGCCCCCCAACAGGAGAATTTCATCGATGACTTTGAAGGTTTTCAGTTTGATTTACAGACCACATATGTCATAGTTTCTAGTGAGCTTTCGAACATATGGACCCTGAACATTTTACAGGAAATGTATCTTTTGTCTTAATGGAGGTTTTATGAGAAAGTGGAAGCATCTATGTAAGGAACACTGAGAGAGGCTCATCACTGCAGTGTGAACCTTCCTCCCACGGGCTTTCGGAGGACAGCTCAGCCCTACGTTTTCCCTCTGCACTGTGGGTACTTAGAGCAACAGGGAAGTGTTAGAATCAGGTTTCTTCCTTGGACAGTCACAACTAATCTTTGGGCCACAAAACTGAACGTGCTTCGGACTGTGAGCACTTGTTTGCATCTGTAAGAGTCAGTGCTGCTACAGCTCAACACAGCGGTTACTTTCTAGCCTTCTGTGAGCAGATTCCACCAATTTCAAATATCAGGTGATGAAATCTTCCAGGCAGTATTACACATCTTTCCAAGAATTAAAAAAAGTCTGTGTGAAGTGGTTTTTAGATTTTGCAATATGAAATTCTGATTTAATATATAAGAACTAGATAATAATGCTGAATCTCATCATTATGGACTACACTCACTAATGTTTGCAACACCCACCCTTCTGATTACTCAAAATATCCTACACAGTATTCAAGGGGTTCTAGAAAGTCTGAATGTACAATGATCCATCATTCAAAACTATTATCAATGGATGGCACTACTCACAATGTATTTTTTTCTCCAAATCCCCTAAACTAGAAACACTGATTCCTGTGAAACTATCTAATCTCATGCTTACTAGCTCATAGATTTTTTTAAAAATCAGTTTTATTTAGTTTCCCCATCCTTCTGAGATAGAATGAACAAAAAAAAATATCTATACTCAGAACTCTATCTTAGTACATTTGGTTGGGATGAAATATATTTGAATGATCTATCTCTTCCATGTTCATTTCATTTGAAAAAAGGAAACTCAATAAAATATTTATTATTTTTATTTTGCTACTACTAAATAATTTAAATACATTATTTCACAAAAAAGAAATTTTAACAATTCTAAATTCATTAATATTAAGAGAAATCAGTTGCAGATAGTCAAGGATTCATTAGATTGAGATTATTCTCCAAATTGTTCTCTTTGAAGCAAAAGATGGCAGTAACTACTGGATATGAATATAAAAATAGTAAATATAATCATTGGGACACTGCCTGTGTTATGACTCTGCAGTAAGAAATACAAAATCACATAATAAGGAATATCAAATTACATAATAATGACTGAGGCTGTGGCCCTACATATGCTTGTCTAGAATGAGTGAGGTCCAGATTTGATACCCAGCAGCACAGAATTAAACAAATAAACAAACATCAGGTAGCTAAAATCACTGCATGATCATTTAGACAACTTTCTTTTCTCAGTCACAGAATTTTAGCATAAGATAGCCTAAAACTTTTATAAATCACATTGACCCTTGCAGCTAAGACTTAGCAACTCTTTGTTTTCTTGTGTAAGTTCAATATCTTGACAGTACAACTTCATCCTCAACCCTTGTTCTACTCTATTGTATCCTTACCCTAGAGTTTTTGCCACTTTGTCATGGACACAGAGCACTCTATCTGTACTAAAAGTTCAAGCATCTCATTCTTTGCACCCACTAACTCAGCACTTAGGGATTCGGTTAGCCCCAAGTTAAACCCCTATCAGACCTAAAGATGGATGCATCTGAACTGAACATGCTGAAACACTTTTCTTGTCATTATTCCAGAAACATTTTTATTATAAAACAATTTATCCATCTTTTTTTATAATAGATATTATATGCAAGCTAGAGACAAAGAATACAGGAGAGTACACAGCCTGTATACAAATGCTGTGCTGTTCTGTACAAGAGACTTGAGCATGGTGAGAATTCTGGTATCTTGAGGGTCCTAGATCCATGGATAATAATTGACAACTGTATGGGTGTTCTGGAACCACTATTACTTCCTGATCAATCCTAATGAGATAAACCTCTTAGCATACCTTTTAAAGCCCAAGTAAACCAGAACTGTAACTATTGATGAGCTTGCATTAGAAAACCCAGGACTATAATGTTTCCAGCATGTTAGCACAATGCACAAATAAAATAAGTTCTGGTATTAACCAACTGCTATTTGATATATTCCAAATTTAATAGTAGCTTTCACAGATGTGTTCTATCCAACATATTTAACATTAGTTTCAAAAAGGCTTGATAAAGACAGAGATGCCTAGCCTGGAGAGACAGCTCAATGGTTAAGAATGCTTGCTTACAGGGAACCAGAGTTCAGCTTACATCTTACAAAGTAAAATACACTGACTATTCCTAGAAGAAAGACTTAGATTTTATCACAAAACTTCTGACTTCTCTATCCCAACTCTTGAGCTGTTACTTCTTCAGGGAAGCATTACCTGACTTTCCAAGTTGGTAAACAGCACACTCCACTCTAAGCAAGTTTCTTTCATAGCACTTAACAATTAAATAAATACATTTATCAAACTATCTGGACAACCTTTAATTCTAGCATTCCAGAAGCAGAGGGATGTTTACAAGTTCAAGGCCAGTTTGGTCTATATTCCAGAGCAGCCAATGTTACAGAGTGAGACTGTCTTAAAACAGACAATAAGAACAAAGATACATTTATATGATCTTTTAAAAAAAATTAATAATCGACACTTCCAAGTACAAAATGAGAATAATAAAAAGAACACTATGCATGCGTATGTACACAGTTCTCTAGTTAAGATCTCCCACTCCAACTAGATGGAGTCTACAAAAGCAGGCAGCATGCCTCCTTTTATTTAGCTTTGTATCCTTGGCACTCTGGCCATGGTGTTCTAAAAGGAAGATGTTCTATGATGAAGATGAACAATACCTGCATTGGGTAGGCTCAACCATCATTCTATTAAGATGAACTAATGTGTCCCCTGAAGATTCTAACTTACTCATCAACCTGGAAGAACATTTGAAAGCTCCCTCATGTTAGCAGGCTCAGTTGTTGAGGTGTACTGGCCTCTTTCCCTGGTCCCCCATAGATAAAGAGGTAAATATTACACCTAAGATTTTTGTAAGTTGGAGCTGTTCTTTCAAATATAATCTAACAGAACTTAAGTGACAACTTACTTAGTATTTAAGTTGTTTTCCTTTTCACAAATTTAAACAGTAAACACTTCCTATTTTATGATAGCACTCTGTCAATATACTAGGACATGATTATCCATATATAGTTCACAAGGCAATTTTCACAGTCTATGAGCAATGGCATGCGCTTATGAAACTAATCATGGAAACAATAGTAAATCTGGAGACATATTATTTAAAGGGCGGGTATTGCTCACTGCCGCACAACAGGACAGTATACATAAGACCTAACCTGTCCAGGAAGAGTCCTGACCTTCTCAGTTTCTCATGCTAACTGGATATTGGTAGAAATGGCTCATCCCCTATATGAGAAGACCACGGTGCTCTTGATGGACGTTCTGTTAGTTTAGCTTACTTTTCAGTTGGGACCCCTTTAAATATACTCACAGATCCCCCCAAAATTTGGACACTACCTCCAATATTTTATTGGAAAGTAAAAAAGAAACTTGTAAGGTGAAAGCAATAAGCATTTTTACCTAGTTAAGTTGAAGTCTGCTGGAGCCCAGAGTACGTGACAGGAACTCGGAAGTCCATCCCGGCCAGCTCTACCGATCTCCTGGTAATAGGACTCCATTTCCTTAGGAGCGCCATAATGAATAACTTTGCGAATGTCAGCTTTATTAATGCCCATTCCGAAAGCTATAGTAGCGACAACACACTGAGAATGCAATAACACAATGAAAATCACATTTCAACATAACAAAAACTTAAAAAATAAGAAAATGCTCATTCACTGATGCAAAACTGAATTCAGTATAACTTCAGCCAATCACTTACAGACCAAAAGATTGATTATCTATCCAAATACAGATAAAGGCTAGTGATCATAAGGAGTGATTTCTGTTTATCTCTGTGAGAAACAGCCAATAAAGAAGTTTCTCTGGATACTGCAGCTATGGGAAACAGTTGCTACAGTAAATAAAACTTGTGTATCATGAAGTTTCAGGTGTTCTGACCTGATAACAGAATGTCTTATTCTAAGAATTACACCATTCACGACTGTAGAGTAAAATGCAGTTGTAGTAGCAGTTGATGCTACATCTTTTAGATGGGCACAATACCAAGAAGATAAAACTGTCAAAAAACATAATATGAATAAACCTAGGAAAACACCATTTATATGGCTAGGAAAAAAACTCCCAGAAGAATTACTGTTAAGTACATAGAAAACAAAAATCTCTAATAACAAGAATACAAAACAATAAGCAAAAATGTAGCAATATAAGGATTAAAGTAAAATGTTTAGGTTAATAACTATATAACAGCTAACCCAAATTATGATGTAAGCCAACAGGGAAGGAAAGGGGTCTAGGTATGCACAGACATGGGAGGGAAAGGGCAATAACACATAGGAAAGACAGAAGAACTTGCAACATTTTATGTGGGGAATCAAATAGAAAATCATAAAAACTAACAAAAAATTAATATAGCAATGTAAGCAAATTATGGGGAGGTAGAGCAATAAACACCTACAGGGTCAGTGGGGCAGATTAGGAAAGGAGACAGGAAGATGTCTCTCTCACTGAAGACATAACAGAACTATCTGCAAGTACAGATTAAATTAAAGCATTGTTAATAACATGTTCTAGGATGGGCAGGGAGAATGACAGAAAAGGAGGAAAGGAAGGATCTAGGAAATCAAACTAAAACATGCAAAATAAAGATGAGAAAATAGTAATAAAGGCACAAGGGTGGAAAGTGAAAGTTTTGGCAAAGAAAACAAGTTTGATACAGCTAGGAGTTAATAAGCAATAAAATACTAATCTTAACTAGATTATTGTTTCATTTGATGTCAACTAAACTACTAACCAGATTTTCAAACTACCCCTATAAACTTTCAGGCATCAATTAAAGTTATTTTACCAAACAAGTTATTCATAATTTATTTCAACAAAAGGTATCTTAAAATATAGGAAGAACAAAACTAAAAATCTGAGAACAAACAGTTACAAAGAATGGAAAGCTAAACACACTTGTGATTTGATCTGAGTATATACTACATTTAAGAAAAGTCTATCTTTTTCTAAAATTTATCAAATAGAAAATGATTCCAAACATCAGTTTAACATATGGAGAGCTACAGCTACAAAGTCCAGCTTCTGTGGCTGCCAAAGAACAAAAAGCCATCGTAAAATGATAGAAATGACTAAAAATGGTTACACTGGCAGATTCAGCAGGCACTCAATAAACACTCAACAGAGAATAATCAATTCTAAGAGACTCCAACAATGTACACAAATGATAACATGTATTTCACCATGTTAAGAAAGGGAAAGGTCTCAAAACATATGTGAAGCTTTTGACTAACGGCCAGGAAGGATTCTACAAGGCCAGCAGTTAGACAAACACTACCAAATGTTTAACTAGAATGTCCACTATTGATATAAACTTTACTTTTTCTAAGATGGACTCAAATTAGTGACTTCCTGCATTAGAAAGGACCACTGAAGATTGTTAAGCCATCTTTTAAGATATCAATGCTCCAATCAAGTTATATATTGGCAGTGTGGTTTGACTGAGAATGGTCCTTGATGTGGGAATGTCATATATCAATCTGTTGATTTCATTGGTTAAGCAATAAAGAAACTGCTAGGCCCATTTGATAGGCCCACCCTTAGGTGGGTGGACTAAACAGAACAGAAGGCTGGGAGAAAGAAGCTGAGTCAGTGAGTCGCCATGATTCTCACACTCCAGACAGAGGCAGGTTAAGATCATTCCTGGTAAGCCAGATCGTGGGCTACAGCAGATTATTAGAAATGGGCTAGTCCAGGTGCGAGAGCTAGCCTAGAAGAGGCTAGATAGAAATGGGCCAAGCGGTGTTTAAAAGAATACAGTTTCCGTGTAATTATTTCGGGTAAAGCTAGCCATGGGGGCGGCCGGGTGCCGGGGACGCAGCCCGCCGCTCCTTATTTCAACAGGTCCTCACAGATTCATGTTGGATATTGATGGTGGCAGAACTGTTTGCAAAGAATTAGGTGGTGTGCTTTTACTGGGGGAGGCAGGCTTTGCGGCAGGTCCGGAAATTTCGAAAGCCCACGTCATTCCAGTTAGTTCTCCCTGCCTGGTGCTTATGGATCAAGATGTAAGTAAGCTCTCAGCTACTGCTCCAGAAATATGCCTTCCTGCTTGCTGCCATGCTTGTCACCATGATGATCACAGACTCAACCTCTCAAACTGTGAGCCCCAGTAAACTGTTTCTTCTGTAAGTCGCCTTCATCATGTACCTTAGCACAGAAAAGTAACTGAGACAGGCAGTAACCAGATGTGTCCAACAAAATGCCCTACCCCTGAAGTAGTAAAAATATTTATGAATGTGGACAAGAATCTATAACCAAGCAGAAGAGCTGTTCCTACCATTGGAAAGAGTAAGGACAAGAATGGGTGCTGTCAGGTGAGAGGCAAGCACCTGTACACCTGCTGCTCCTTCCTGGGGTTCACAGCCAATGCCTTTGCCCTTATTACCTACGATCTATTAACTTGACAAACTTAAGACTCTCCTCAGTTTCCTACTCCTAGACAGCCACTCTCAGGACAAAACCTACTTTGGCAGAGCTAGTGTTTCTCCTCCGTGTTGCTCAGTAACAGATACATACAATTTGTTATTTACACTAAACTGTGTAGTTCACTATCTACTGATTACCCTTATCAGAGTACCTTATCAGAGTAACTACACTCATAGCTGGTGTGGCTCTGCTGGAAGCTTTGAAAAATCTGGTGAGTAAATATTTGATGGATACTTCTATTTACTATAAAAAAAATCAGAGAAAGACAATTGGTTCTCATACCTTAATCTCATCTCTAAGGAACCAATGATGAACATCCTTCCTTTTATTAATGTTCAAGCCTGCATGGTATGCTCTGCAGGCTAAGTTCAGCTTCCCAAGTTCGGCAGTTACTTGTTCTGTCATTTTTCTGGAAGGACAATAGATGATTGTAGGACCTTCAAATTCCCAGGCATGGCTGCAGAGGGGGTGGAGACAGAGAAGGCAAACACGTGTATTATATGTATGCTTCAGGGTAGTTTGGGATTTATCTTGAACAATCTTTGCTTTCTACTAAGTCTTTAAGGAGTCAGCAGGCCAAGAAGCCAGCACTGGAGCTCTAGGAAACCTGACATTGTAAACAAACGTGGAAATGAACCGTGTAAACTCAGAATTCTAGCATTCAAGACTGGCCCAAATTAGAGCTAAAATCAGTAATCTGGCTCTTTTTAGAAGAAAACTTAATTTTTAGAACTTATAAGGTATGATCTAAAGACCTCTAGAAAGGCAGCACAGTGGATCGGTCCTTACTTAAGAGCTAAGTGAAGCTTCATTCTTGCATAAAATATTATATAAGATTTAAAGATAAAATATTACTCCAAATGATGGAGGAGGGTCATTTGTCTATGTATTACTTTCATTGGTTAATAAAGAAACTGCCTAGGCCTTTGATAGGACAGAAAATTAGGTAGGCGGAATAGACAGAACAGAATGCTCGGAGAAAGAAGCAGATTCAGGCAGTCACCATAGCTCTCTGGATGCAGGTTAAGAATATTCCCGGTAAGACACCATCTCGTGGTGCTACACTCATTAGAAATGGGTTAATCAAGATGTGAGAGTTGGCCAGTAAGAGGCTAGAGCTAATGGGCCAAGCAGTGTTTAAAATAATACAATTTGTGTGTTTTTATTTCCAGGTATAAAGCTAGCCTTGCGGGAATTGAGCAGGAACACAGCCCGCCGCTCCACATAACATCCAAAGTTTAGGGATATGTCTCCAGATGATAAACCTGAGAGTTATCTACGGACTACTACATCAGGTAGCACCAAGGATATAGGTATGTTAGGAAAGAGTACAGTAGTCTGGACTGAAAATTAATCTCAATTAGTGGAATTAACAAAAAAACGAGAAGAAAGCATTCGCATAAGATATTGTTAGGCAAACAATGCCAGAAAAATGGGAAAAGACAACATCAGAAAAGAAGATGGGGGAAGGCACTTTTTTTTAAAATATATCTTTAAGAAGGAAGACAGGGGCTGGAGAGATGGCTCAGCAGTTAAGAGCATTGCCTGCTCTTCCAAAGGTCCTGAGTTCAATTCCCAGCAACCACATGGTGGCTCACAACCATCTGTAATGAGGTCTGGTGCCCTCTTCTGGCCTGCAGGCAGAAGCATACAAAATAAATAATATAAATAAATAAATATTTAAAAAAAAGAAAAAGAAGGAAGACGGTCACTATAAGGAGAAATAGCCATAGACAATGAGAATAATGTGTACTGAAAAAAAGACCAGAGATTAGGGATTAGGCAGTGACATAACTATAGAAATGTCCAGTTTAAAAGAAGCCTTTGACAAGAGAACTTGTCCCTTTACTATAATAGGAAAGTATAGTACAATGTATTCAAGGAGATGCTAGAGTAGCAAAACACTAAACATATATAAATAAGAAATAGGAAAAAATAAGTAACTTATTTAAGAAGAATTTTTTCTGTTATTAGATCTTTACCTTGACTTTTGGACAAGAAATGGCTTTAGATCCTGAAGGATATTCCCTGTTTTTCGGCCAACTTCTAAGTACAGATTTGGTCGATCAAATCCAGTACAGGTGATCTGAGGGTTTTTCAAGTTTAAGCAATGTATGATATCTTCCCGGATTGAAGAACTTGCAGTAGCAGAGAGTGCAATGACTGGAACCTGGGTAAATACAATATAAATGGATTTTAAAGTGACAGGAAGCCCATTGATTTTCACTGTCTTCCCACAGACCAACAGTCACGACAACACGGGAACTATGGCCAAGACGTTCACATGATTGCCTTATTTAAATATTTATTTCTTTTTAATCATGTTGGGGATGAAACCCAGGATCCTGGGCATGGTATGTGAGTGCTCTACCACTGACCTACATGCCCTGAGTAAGAAAGAAAACTGTTTACAAAAGAGAAAATTATCTCCTACTTAGTAAATTAAACAGTAAATCCATAAGATTTCAATGCAATTTATCTTACCCCATTAAATTGAAACTATTTATTAGCCATCTATAATATAGTGCTGATAGAAGCAGAAATTATATTTGCTTTTTAATAATCTGTAATTAACAATCCATAAGCCCTAGCAGGGTTATAATTTAACAGCCAAGCTATATATAATTCATCTTTTGTTTGGCATGAAGATTCCATCACAAATTATACTGGCATACGGTTTTTCAGCTATAGAAGCAATGCTCTTAACAGCCTTGACGACTTGTCTTCGGTTTCACTGAGTGGTCAGTGCCATGCTGTACATAGCGAATATGCAGAAGGTGAAACCTGTACTAACTGATTCCAGAGACACCAAGTCATTGTCTATTCAGTTTAGCAGTTCTTGACAGGAGGCACAGTAGATAACAAGAAAAAATTAGTATTTCTTTCAGAAATTCACGATACCATTGCTTTATCAGAAAAAATAGGTTGTCTTAAAATTTATTTTTAAATCATTAGCCATTCTATTGCTAAGAATACAACTTTCTTTAAAAATGCTTTTTTACCTGTTGGAGATAGAGGAAACAATATCCTCATAAAATTAATTACTCAAATATACTGTGACTCCCTCACCAACTAATTTAAGCATTTATCTTGTAGCTAAGTATAAATGCATGTGCAGCTTGCCAATTTGCAAAGAAATATGCATACAATTTGACTTAAAATTAAAACAAAATACAATTTCTTGGGGAATGAGTGTGACCAAAGTTCCATAAATACGTTATGGAGATATAATGAAACCCATTATTCTAAACAATATAAATTAATAAATTAATTATTTATTAATAATTTAATGATTTATTTATTAATAAATTAATTTAAATAAAATTAAAATTAATAAAAATAAAAATGTTCAATATAAAATAAATATTGCCAGTAAAAATACTATAGATTAAGATAAAGTTTCAAGTATTACTTAATTTTTGTGAGGTTAGAAAAATAAAATTTAGCCAGCTGGAGCACACCTTTAATCCCAGCACTCAGCAGGGCCGGCAGAAGCAGGGGATCTCTGTGAGTTCAAGGTCAGCCTGGTCTATAGACCAAGTACCAAGACAGGCTCATAAGCTACACAGAGAAGCCCTGTTTCCAAAAAGAAAAATAAAGCTCATTTTCAGTCATACACAGAGAGGAACAGTTAAATGGCTGAAGTGGAGCTCAGTGGGAGAGCGCTAGCTTAGCATGTGCAAAGTCCTGGCTTTGGTCCTCAACACTAACTAAGAAAATTTTGGTCCTCACCACTAAGGAACAGTTACTCTTAAAATGAAAATAACTTAATTGAATTAAAACGAATCTGAAGTCACATGAAACTAACTCAATGAAACCAAGCAACTGGAATCATTTTTGTGTTGTCTATTATTAAATTTTGTAAAACCACTTCCAAATGTAACCCAAATTAATTTCATTTATTTCAGACTAATAAGCAAACTGTTCTCTGTATATGCTAGTGACTACGTCACAGAAAGCCCAGTTTTCAAAGAAATTCATTTGTTTAATCAAGCATTAAAATGGATATATCTGTGTTAACATAAGACCCTAACAAACAGGAGTCTGAGACTAAGGAATGACAAGTACCTAGAGGACCTTACAGGTGTGGTGGCACAGCCTGTAATTCTAGCACTCGGGAGGATGAGGGAGGAGGACAGCAAGGTTGGAGTCTGGTCCCAGCCACACCGTGAGAGTCAACCAAAAAACAAACAAAAGCCTTAATTAACATTTAAAAAAGGAAACATTGCAATTTCCTATGAATTTACGCTTTTAGCTTACATGTACAAAAACTTTATCACCATAAAGGTTTTTAATCAAACACTTTATAAATGTACTAACAAACTCCTTTCTTAACTATACATGCAGATAAAGATAGAAGTTTTGAGGATATAGCCCATTTTAAAAAAAGAAGACAAGGTGTGCTTTTATTAAAAAGAGACCAGGCTGTCTCTTATAAAGAATACAATGTATGAGTGGATAACATGTTTATAAAAGTAAGGGAATGATCATAAATACAAATCAGACAAAAGCAGGCACAGTAGTGAAACAGTCTAAGCTGGGTCCGAGAACTAGAGCTCAAGTTCTGCTTTTGTCACTCCTCAGCTGTGGGACTCGGCTGTTTATTGCCCTAAACTGCAGTTTCTCTCCTCTGTAAAATGGCTGTAATCAAAGTATCAATCACATCATGCTGTAAGTAACAAATGAGACAAAATGTGCTAGGCAGGTGTGGCGGTTTGAATGAAAATGCCCCCATCGGCTCATAGTGGCCTTCATGGAGGGAGTGTCAACTGGGGTGGGCTTTGAGGTTTAAGATGCTCAAGCCAGGCCCAGTGTCTCTCTTCCTGCTGCTTCTGATCTGGATGTAGAACTCTCAGCTATTTCTCCAGCAGCATGTCTGCCTGCACACTGCCATGCTTCATGCTATAATAACAATGAACTAAACCTTTGAACTATAAGCCAGCCCCAATTAATTTTTTTCCTTTATAAGAGTTGCCATCATCAGTGTCTCTTCACTAATTTTTGGCAAAATAAGCAACACAATGTAATACAATACAAATTAATCTTATGTCACCATACATTTAGGCATATCTTAATATATATACTTCATGACACAAAGGTTAAAAATACGGCTATTCTGCTTCCAAACTGGATCAAGTGACTAGTTCACACTGTAAAACACACACCGATTTTAGGTATTTATTCTCTTGTTCTGGTTACTCAGTGTCTACTGTGTGCTCATATTTTTAATGGATCCTTAGGACAAAGTAATGGGACAAGCCAATGTGTCTCATGGACTTCAAAAACACTTCCTCCTGGTTGGAGACACATTTTGAAGGGGAAAAGGATCCTCAGCCCTTACTTGAGGAACAAACTGCCAGGACTCTCAGCTGAAGGAATATGCTGCTTAATAACTGGAAGAACTAAAAATGATCTCATTATGTCTAGAGCTAGACATAATAAAAGATTTAATTCCACCTTTAGAGTATTCAAGAACTGCTTAAAATATTTAAACCTCCTTGAACACAATCCCAGCATCGAAGGCCTAGGGAAGGATAGCAAAAGCACTCTTCCTGACTTCCAACTGCGTAGCTCTCTCTATCTCATGAAAACATTCCAAATTACTAGAAGCCAGACCTTCAGAGCAGGGCTAGTAACATGCACCATGGAAACACCTTCACTTGCCCCCTTTGTGCTGCTGTGCTATTGCAGTGGTCATCTTTCTGTACGACCTGCACCATTCTATGCATGATGCAGCACTTGTTTCTATTGCCTCTGCTTTCCTGCATGTCTGTCTCAGCTCCCTTGCTGGACTATGCGCTACTGCAGGTTTGCCTCTTTCAGATCATTTGTCTTGAAATCAACACAGCATGCTATGGCACCGCTATTTAATACCCAACTCTTTCATAACTACCTATGTGGGAAAGTTACTTCACTAATTCCAAGCTTTCTGACCAGAATTCATTCATTCATCCAAATAATTACTGACCAACTGTTATAAGTCAAGTACTACCCCTGCTTACAGAAACCCAAAGAAACAGAAAAACTCCCTCTCATTATAGTTTAGACACAAAATTAGTCTTATCCACATGAAACAGACCCAACTACTGAGAGGTGACTGGATCATGGCGGCTCTAACCTGATCCAGTGATTTAATCCAGTGACGGATTTCATTAATAATCTGATGCCACCATTGGAACATGAAAATGAAAGCTAACATAAAACTCAGTGAAATGTGGTTACCATCCATTTTTGCCTTTTTCGGTGAAATGGAACACTACAAGAGAGCTTTGCACAGAAGCCAAAAATTTATTAGAGATACTCAGAAGTATCACACTGACTACTGTGCTGAAAAACACTGGAGGTGGAAACCAAGAGGCTGTGATGGCCTAAGAGAAAGAAGAAGTAGGCTACACAATGTAGTGACAGCACGAGATGCTGGCAGGTAGAGAGGAACTCAGGCACATCTTGGTGGTATTAATCCAAGACAGGGATGTAAAGGTGAGGATTCTCTGTCAATGGATGGTACTTAAATCTGTACGCTCCATTAGACAATCATGAAGTCGAACACAGAGGAAAGATAGACGTCTAAAGAGTGAGGCACTGGACACGCTAACCTTAATAAAACAGAGAGGTACAAAGCAACAGAAGAGACTTGAAAAGGGCATGGTGAGAAATCCAGAAAAGCAGGGAAATGTACTATCCTGCGACAAATGAAAATATGATGATAAAATGGCTATCTTGACAAATGGTCCTGAGGTCATCTGAGGCAAGAGTGCCGGACCCAAAGCCAGACACGTACCTAGACCTTGAACCACATCAGTTTTATTCTCCTTCCTATTATATCTGCTAGTGGGAACATTAAGTTTTTACTATTGTTGATGATTTGTTTTGTTTACTTAATTACTGCTCAATCAAATCTTTATGAGAAGCCCAAACAAAAAGAAGTATTTTAAAAGGTAGCAATTTGCTACTAATATGTAAGATTAGTGATTAGTGAAAGTGAGACAACCTTATCAAAAGGATGACAACGTTCAGTGTTTTTCTGTTTAACCCACTGAACTGTGAAACGTGATCAGGAGGCACCACTGTCTTTCTGTCACCAGGATCTAAACATAAGTCACTTTGTTTATTCAATCAAAACTAGTAGAACGGACTAGAGAGCAAGAAACAGACTGACATAAATACATTCAAATGATTTTCAACAAAGGGGCTAAGGCAACTGAGTAGACAGAAAGCAGACTTTTCATCCAGTGGGTGGGGGATTCCTGTTTCTACATGTCACAGCATGCAAGTAGACATACGCTACTACGCTTTATATGGATCCTGCGAACTCAAGCTTATGTATTCACACTTGTAGTATGGTAAGTTCTTTACCCGACATGTCTTCTCTGCACCCTCTTAGACCTAAATTAAAACACACATTTTAGGAAAACCATAAGAGCAAAATTTCAAGATCTAAGATTGAGGAACAAAATCCATAAAGAAAAAAAATCAATACTCTGATTTTCATACAGATTTATAATTTTTTCTTTATAAAAGACAATGTGGATAGGCATAGTAGTGTACTTGAGAGGCGGAGGCAGGTCAAGGCCAGTCTGGACTATAAACTGAGTTCCAGAACAACAAGGACTACACAAAGCAAGCCTGTCTTGAAAAATAAAAGACAATGTAAAACTGAAGAAAGATAAAATAAAACTTATAAATATTTACAAGCTAAATATCTGACCAAAGACTCATTTATAAACAGTTTTTTACAATTCTTTAAGTTCACAGAGGGCTGCGGAGACGGCTCAGTGAGCATGAGGACCTGAGTGCAGATCCCCAGCACCACGTAGAAGCCAGACACAGCACACACGTATAACCCCAGTTTTCAGGAGCAGAAAGAACCAGGGGTTTGGCAGCCAGCCTGCTAGCACAATGGTGAGCTCCCTGAATAGTGAGAGACTCTGCTTCAAATAAAGTAAGGTGGAGAGCAACAGAGGAAGACACCACCATCAACATCTGAGCTCTGCAGGTGCTACACTGTAGAGTACACCACACACACACACACACACACACACACACACACACACACAGGCACGCAAACAGAAATCCGAACTCACTTTCTCTTCCCCCTCCCTCTCTCCCCTTCTCTCTCTCCCCTCTATCTCTCTCTCACACACCCTTAACAGAAAAAAAGTTTAAAAACACAAACCAATTAAACTAGGAATTTCACCAAATCAGTAAAGAAACATACAATAAGATCTTCAAAACCACAAGCTATTAGAAAAATGCAAGTTGAAAATACAAACTATCACTCCACTCCTATCAAAACTACTAAAATAATACATAGTAGTAAGACAAAACAGCGCAAGAATGAGAAGAAATTATTGCCCATATGCTCCTGGGCGGGTGGATACAAATCACTGTAGCCATTCTGGAAATCTTCCTAAAATTCTGTGGATCTTTCTAAAATTGAAACAAGGACCTTCCATGGGACTCAGCACCCACAACCCTGACATTTCTCCCAGAAAACTAAAACCTTATGTACACAAGCTATGTAATCATTGACCTACTGAAGGACTTCGCCGGTATATACAAATGTTCACAGTATCGCCATTCACAATATCCCAAATCCAGGAAACAACCGAAACGTTTTCTACAAACTGATGACTAGGATGATATAGTGCACAGCTCATTTTACACTGGCCACTAGTGAAGAACACAGAGCAACTACAGTCTTGTGGAGCATTTAAAAAAAGAAAATGAGAGAAATATATGTCAGAGCCACATATATTTCTATATACCTGTCCTCTCCTACACACTGGCTTTGCATGGTTCAGAGCCCTGTGGTGAACCATATTAAGTGGAAACAATTCATGTCTTAAGCTCTTCACCACTCTGAGGAACATGACGGCATTTGCACTGTGTTTCCAATGTTGTCACTCCATTCTCTCCAAGTTCAGAAGACCCACGCGATTCATGTCTTTCACCAGCTAGCCATGTACTAACATCTCATTAACAAGACAAACAGTCAAGCTAGGAAGCACGGTGGCTTGGTACCCCTTATTCTACTTAAGAATGATCCTCATGGTCAAGAATAATGAGGTGGGCATTTTTATTATAGTATATCATCATTGCTATTCATTTTTTAAATTCTTCCACTATGCCTAATTAATAACAAGTAGGTAGACCCAGGCACCCAATGGGGTTCTTGGAACTGTGTCCCTGTCACTAAGGAGTAATAACTGCCGTTTCTAACTGATATTTAAAAACTTGTTTGCCGCCTCTTGTCCCAGGGAGGAGTATCCAACCTGCGCTCTAACAGCTAGGAATGTAACACAGCACAAAACAAACACTGAGATAGTTTTGTGATCATTTTTGTTTTCTTAACACAAGTTTACGGTTCTTGAGAGTGAACTTCACAGATGACAATGGAATAGCTCAATGTCAAAGGCTGCACATTCCAGTCAGAGAGCATACATGCCAACCTCCAAAGGAAGCCAATGTTAGAATTTAAACACATAAAGAAATTCGCCTGCTTACATCTGGCACCTTCTCTTTCATAGAGCAGTCTTTAGCTCTTCAGACATTACCCAGTCCTGAAAAGCACTTCCGGACAGTAACCCTGGACTCAAACCTCACCTAGGATGGGGGTGGGACAATCGGATCAGGTAAAGCTTACCAGTGGGAGCGCTGTCTTAAGAGACCCCAGGGTCCTGAATGAACTTCTAAAGTCATGGCCCCACTCAGAAATACAGTGAGCCTCATCCACAGCAATAAGTGTGATTCCTACAAAAAGAAAATATACATGGAAAAATAAGGTTCAATAGGAAAAAAACCACTATCTAAGTCAATATTGCTTTATTCTATTAGAATTTATGCCTTATAGAAAGTATAACCCAAATCAAAGTGTTTGGAACACATACACACATAAGAAGCATAAATGATACCAGATAATATCAAAACTCATAATAGAGGGAAGAAGAAAAATGAATAAAAGGCAACCGAATAAAGGAAGTTTTATATATTAATTCTACCAACATACTGTACTTCACCACTAGTCCTTAAAGACAAGAACTGCTTCCTATTGCTCTGTTCCACAATTATCACTTATAAACGATCTGCAACCATGTCTGCTCAAAAGAACTGTTCCATTTCTCTTTGGCAATAATGTTAATCTTATCTCATAGATTAGCTATCAAGAGAGATAAATAGTCAGCACATTTCTATTGAGATTAAGTGCATCATTATCCATGATCGAGCACATATCATATTGCAGGAAGTTCCTCTGAAAGGCCAGTGCATGAAGACATGACGACATCCACACTGTCGAACATAAAATGGAATGGAAAGAGCTAAATCCCATTGTGTACAAAGTAGGTAACAAGAAATATAACTCTCCCCTCTGCCCCATACCATACACTAAAACAAGATCAATAGTGCCTATCAGAACATCTTCAGGTATTTCAAAGTATTGACTAGTAATGCCTTACCATTAATTACCAAATTAATACTGTTAAGAGAAAAGCAACTTTCTGCTATTTGCTATTATGTTCTATCAGGGAGGTGACTACAAACATGTGCTCCACAATCAGACTGGCTGTGCACAAAGCACTGAGCAAGTTATAAATCTTTCCGGTCCTCAGTTTCCACAAAACTGCTGCGATGGCTCAGTGGGCCAAGGTCTTGAGAGCCTGACAAATTGAGTTCAACCCTCAGAACCCACAGTGGACAGAAAGAACTGACTCCTAATTGTACTCTGACCTCTACAAACACATTGTGGTGTCTGTACACGCACGCACACTCACACATACACACATACCATCGTCATCATCACCATCATCCTAAATTAAAATAATACACAGTAGGAAGTAATAGCACCTAACACTTCTTACTATTCTACTCTAAGATGAAGTTAGAACAGTCACATAAAATGCGCAGATAAGGCCTGACACCAATTGGAGCTTAACAAAGCTATACCACCATTGTTATCATAACATGGCCATTATGATCAAAAGCCTTTTCAGGAGCCAATGTGGCAGAACGTGAAGCACATTCCAGCGTCAGGGGTTCAAGGCCATCTCCAGCCACGAAGAGAGTTCAAGATTTGTCTGAGCTATAGGAGGCCCTGTCTAAAGGAATTATTAAATTAACCCTTTTCTAGATAGCCAAGATACATTTGTCCTCGAAGATTTCACAGTTCTTAAGAGGAGACAAAAGAAAGACTGGTGAGTCATTAAGATTATGAGCTACAGGCGGCGGTGGCGGCGGTGGTGTTAGCGGCGGCTGCAGCAAAGCATCTGACGAGATGTCTCACACCATTTTGCTGGTACAGCCTACCAAGAGGCCAGAAGGCAGGACTTATGCAGACTATGAGTCTGTGAATGAGTGCATGGAAGGTGTTTGTAAGATGTATGAAGAACATCTGAAAAGAATGAATCCCAACAGCCCCTCCATCACATATGATATCAGTCAGTTGTTTGATTTTATTGATGATCTGGCAGATCTCAGCTGTCTTGTTTACCGAGCTGATACACAGACGTACCAGCCTTATAACAAAGACTGGATCAAAGAGAAGATCTACGTGCTTCTTCGTCGACAGGCCCAACAAGCTGGGAAGTAGTTGAGTTAGAAGCATTAAGGGCTGGGGGTGGGCTTGGAACAGGTGCATACAGCATGCTGTAGTGAACATTTTGTATGATAGTAATCCTGTTTCCATTTTGTTACGCTAGAGCCAAGATTGAATGTATGACATGGAACATGAATGATACTTTCATTCTGAAAACCACCATTATTACCCCTTTACTCTTTTTCTTTTCTTTTTTTTTTACTTAAACATTTTTATGATAATTCAGAGAGTGTTCTTTGCCATTTAAGGTTGGTTCCAGTCCTTGAAACTGTTGGTGTCTGCTTTACAGCAGTGAGTGCACTAACCCCTGTGAGGGGTGGGGTGGTGACAAGCTTAGTTATGTCCTCTGGGAAAGTCTTAGTGAAAATAAAGAAATGTTCTGTAGTTGTATTTCTCAAAAAAAAAAAAAGATTATGAGCTACAATGAAGTCCTGAGTGTGTGTGCACGTGTGTATACTTCCTTGCTTTGTATATATGTGTGAGTGTTTATATATAATACATATATATGCAATACCAATGAGTGTTGGGAAATTTCCAGTGTTACTCACACACTTATTTTCACTTTAGGAATTAAAATGACTAGATTTTAAGTTAAATGCATTAGAAGCCTTCAGATACAGATCTGGAAAGCTGTTTAATGGCGTTGAACTTTGGCGTGCATAGTTAGTTCAGTTAGTTAAGCTTTGGCTAACATTCACTTGGAATGCAAAAGTTCAAGTGTCTTCCCAGGTCCTATACATATTTCATTTAAGGATACCTGTCACTCAAGCCTCATTTCCAAAGTTAAAAGACAATTACAAGTGCAGCTGGGAAAAACTCCCTTATAAAAGTATGTTTGCCATTTCTGTTATAGATCCAGACGCCTTAAAAAAAAATTTAACATTTACCTAAAAATGACAAATCTGATTACTTAAATGTCAGACTACTGTACAAATAATATCCTGGGTACATTCATTTTGTAGGCATTTTACAATTTCCTGCAAGAAAAGCCTAAAGGAAATATTTCAAAAATAATTTTCATTTGTCCTAATCCTTTTACTAAATCACCGAAAGAAAACATTTCCATCCATTAAAAGCAAAAAACTTCACTCTGATGATGAAAATATTTATCCACACTTTTGGGTGTGTTTATTTGCTTGCTTGTTTTTAAAACAAAAGGGAGCTCAGACTATGAGCTCAGAAAGCTCAGCTCGTGACCTTTCTGAATCAGTCTCCTGGAACTGAGATTGCACTTCCATACCTAGAAAATGCTTCCTTCTTTAAAAAAAAAAAGAAAAAGAAAACCACAATAAACAAAGCATATAATGTCTGGGGAGAACAAGAGGCCTCAGTGTGTGAAAGCCCTTCCTTTCAAACCTAATAACCCAAGTTTGTAATGTCTGCAACCAGCATGGCTGAAGGAAAGGGGCATCTCCCCTTCTCTTGCAAGTTATCCTCTGACTACACATGCACTCCAACACACAGAATAAAAATTAATTAAAAAAAAATAAACATGCTGTGTGATGGTGGTGCATGCCTTTAATCCCAGCACTTGGAGAAATCTCTGTCTCCAAAAACAAATAAACAAACAAAAGTTAAACATAATGAGGTGTGAACTCAGAGAGCATGCTAGGCAAACACTATCACTGAGCAATACCCTCAGCTCTGCAGTATTCACAATCTACCCAGCATAAAAAGTTAAAAAGTAAAAAATCTAACTACTTGTAAAAAGCATTTAATGTTGATTAGCTTACAATAATTATTCATTTAACATAATCATAAAACTGAAACAAGTACTAAGGTGGAATAAAATATACTCAGGATACCAGTCATGGATACCAATTTTTTAGATATAACTTCTGTGAGATAATGTCCTTGTACACTATAAATATCTGTCATTTGTATTGGTTTAATAAAACACTGATTAGCCGGGCGGTGGTGGCGCACGCCTTTAATCCCAGCACTCGGGAGGCAGAGGCAGGCGGACCTCTGTGAGTTCGAGACCAGCCTGGTCTACAAGAGCTAGTTCCAGGACAGGCTCCAAAACCACAGAGAAACCCTGTCTCGAAAAACCAAAAAAAAAAAAAAAAATTGGAAATAAAACACTGATTGGCCAGTAGCCAGGCAGGAAGTATAGGTGGAGCAGCCAGATTAGGAGAATTCTGGAAAGAGGAAAGGCAGAGATGTAGTCATCAGTCAGACACATTGGAAGCAAGATAAGAATGACTTACTGAGAAAAAGTACCAAGCCATATGGCTAAAATAGATAAGAATTATGGGTTAATTTAAGTTGGAAGAGCTAGCTAATAATAAGCCTGAGCTAATAGGTCAAACAGTTTGTAATTAATATAAACCTCTGTGTGTTTATTGGGGACTAACGGCTACAGGACCAGGTGGGACAGAAACTTCCGACTACATATAACTATAAAATTGATTTATAAGGTAATTGGGCTTAATACACAATGAAGTGCTCTAAAGAACTTTTATAGTTTAATAGGATACATCTCAATTTTTTCCATTACAGGCAAAAACATGCCAATAAGAGCTAAATAGATTGTGTAGGCACACTTTGATAGCATAGGTCCTTAAAGTAATGGGCCCCATTCACAGTGGGCTGGGCCCTCCCCACAACAATTACTAATTAAGAAAATGCTCTATAGGCTTGCCTACATCCAAAGAAGGCATTTTCCCATTTGGGGTTCCCTCCCCTCTGATGACTCTAGCCTGTGCTAAGCGGACATAAAACTAGCCAGCACAGTACAATACCGAAAACACAGCCTATATGAAATTACTTAATACCTCGTTCTTCAAAAAGATCCTACAAACTGGATAAAATTCAAATGAAGATTTCAAATATGGATATTATTTGTCTTCCTTGGAATTCTCAGCTAAACCTAACCACCACCAAACAAACAGAAACATGAAAGTGCCAAGTCCTATACTAAGAAAACAGAAATGAAGAACGGTATATTTGTCTCTAAAGAGTTTATAGTGTAACAAGCTATACATACATGCATGTACACAGTCATAACACTAACCCTGGAGTCCACCACGATGGAATGAGGAGTTATAGGGTACTATAAAATGGGCAAACACAAAATGGATCAGAATGTTCCTGGAGAAGCAAACGTTTGAAACCAACCTTACGGAATCTAGTCTCATCCATGGGTTTACTTTGTATTCACAAAAGTCCTAGGTTGTTACTTACCAGTATTAGAGTCAAGTTGCTGGAGTAGGCCCAAGTTACCAGAACAGAATTCTGGAGTCATGTATATGATCCTGTATTTGCCTCTGTAAAGACAAACCGAAACAGAAACAGAAAAGGAAACACCCCAATAAAGACAGCAATCAAGGCAAGAGCAACATATTAAAATCAAAATATGTGACAAAGGAATGTTATACACACACAGTCATGAGTGTAAGTTCTTTAATTTATCTCAACTCATCAAAATAAAACGCAGTAATTCCTGTCAGGGAGTATTTGCCACAAAGGTTGTATTACAAGCCAGATTCTGATATCTAACAGTACAGTCCCTGCCCCCTCAAAATGCCCAAGCTAGATGATCAAGTCTTTGTAAACTTTTTGTGTATATATATATATACATATATATATATGTATATATATATATATATACACACACACACACACACATGCAATTACAATTAGTGGGGAAGTTATACATGTGAAAGAGCAGAAGAGGGGTATATAGGCAGGTTTAGAAGAAAAAAAGGAAGGGGAAATATAAATATGTTACAGTTTACCCATACCTAAATAAAAATGTACACAAAATTCTCTTACACTATAAACCTCTTACAGTGTGACCTGAAATCATATAAATTACTCACAATTTAATATCTCCTAGAACATTTTTTGATTGTGCTGATCCAAGTAAACAGGCTGAAATGTTGGACAGTCTATAAAAAGACACAAATACTCTGCATCAATAATTATATTACAAACACTAATTTAATTCTCAAAGAAGAGATGTAATAATATATATTCATCTTCTTTCTAATATTCTTTCTTTTCATGTCTTGATAACTTGATATATTCCTTCAAGAGTCTAATGAGAAGGCAACTTTTTAATGCAAATCTTTCAAGAAGAAATTGAAAGGTCTTTCATAGATTAAAAAGTAAACTTTAGGGTTAGAGGAGGGGTGAATATAATCAAAACATGCATAGAATTTTCAAAGAACTAATAAAAGCATAGTTTTAAAAGTATTATATTCTTTTAATACAACTCACATAAAGCTAAAGAGCCCAGACAGCAAAACAAAAGAAAAATTCTGAAAAAGCCATAGTAAACTAGCATAAAGCAACAAATCTTTTTACAACATGATCAGGGCAGTCTGGTAGCCTTGAATCAGAGAACTCAAGAAGGGACATAAACTCATCCACCAACACTTCATTTGCTACTAATAAATGCAGCCATGTGTGGTAGGACATGCTCTGTGTGCCCAATGGTTGCAGGGCAATGCAAGAGGACAGAGTGACACCATCCTCAACTATGAACAGCAAGACTCTATCTCAATAAACAAACAAACAAACAAATAAAGGGAGAAAGCTAGGCAAGGGGGCACTGAGCTGAGAAGAATGGGGGTTTTGAGGCCAGCTTAGTCTGAATAGTAAAGTCCAGTCTTAAAATGTGCTTGCTTGCTTATCAAAAGCAATGATGTAGCAATGAAACCATTACTTACTCAAGCTGGAGAACTTGGTCTTCCATTAAAGAAATAAGAGGTGAAATAACAATGCCAATCTTGCCTGCATAAACAGGTGGGTACTGGAAGCATAAACTCTTCCCATAACCTTTATAAAAATCATACACAAGATAAAAATAATCTCTTCATGTTTTGCTTTCTTCTTACATCTTATATAACAGAATAAATACTTATAAGGTAACCATGCATAAATATAAAATCTTTGCCATGTTCACTCTCTCCTATATTTAAGTTTGTGAAAGATTAAAAATGCCTTTATGATTTTTAATGATTAAATTATTTACTTTAAATGTAACTTACCAGTTGCCATGACAACAACATTATCTCTTCTTTCTTCTAATACAGAATGAATGACTTTCCACTGAACCCTGGAAAATAAAAAGGAAAATGCTTTATCACTAACAATCCAATGTTAGACCTATTTAACTTCTGCTCTCTAGTCAACTCTTTCTGACTTTTTTGAGCTTCCTATGTAAATATGTGCAAATCCTAGAACTTTTAGACAAAAAAACACCATTTGATCACACTCTCATTCAGACTGACTGAATAACGAGGAGCTGCCATGTAGCTAACGGCTAAAATCAACTCCCAGCCTCACACTATAGACCAAGAGAACCAGTACTGCAGAGTACGGGAGAGGACTGCTGTAGGTGTGAAATGAGAAGCCTGTGTCAAGGTGATTTCAAGGGGGAATCGACTGGATATGAGACCTTCTGCTTATGCAGATGACAACCTATTCTTATTTGAGTGCTGTCTCTACCAGCATGCTGAGTTATCAGAGCTTACTTCTCTGTACATCTATTTGTGTCCTTCTGTACATAGGATATATTTTAATTTAAAAAAACTAAATTTAAAAAAAGGAAGAAATGCTTTAATGGATTCTATTTTAAATACTCAAAACTCAATCTAGATTTTTACTTTCTTACTGGACTTATTCAAATTTACTTGTTACTAATCTCACTTTTAATCATCTCACTTTTCTAGTTTTTAACGGGCCCTTGTGGTTCGGATGAAAATGGTGCCCATAGGCTCATAGGGAGTGGCATTATTTGAAAGGATTAGTTGAAATAAGTGTGGCCTTGTTGGAGGAAGTGTGTTACTGGAGGATGGGCTTTAAGGTTTCAGAAGCTCAAGCCAAGACCAGTGGCTCACTCGCTCTTCCTGCTGCCTACTGACCCAGATGTAGAACTCTCAACCATATAACCAGCGCTATATCTACCTACATGCCACCATGCTTCCTGACATGGCAATAATGAACTAAGCCTCTCAACAATAAGCCAACCCCAATAAAACATCTTCCTGTATAAGAGTTGCCGTGGTCATGGCGTCTCTTCACAGTGATGGAACACAGGTATTTGTATATGTTAAAACAGGAAAATACCACTGTCCCTCAGATTGGTCTCCTAGAGACTTAGGACAGGGTGCTATGGGACACTTGCAGAAAACAGGAAAGATATTCTCTCCAATTTTATACTTAATAAGAGGTAAATCAGCAATGAGAGAAAACTTATTTCTTACTATGTAGCCTCTACATAGAACCACCCAGTTAAGGAAAAAACAATGTTTCCTTTCTTATTAAAAGAACAAAGAAACGTCTATAATTAATACTTCAAATAACTTTGATGTCACATATGATATACATTTGACACGTATAACCACAGTAAAATTAGGCTGTTACTGTGAAAAAGATTATTTACTTTTATCTTGGTAAAAAAAAGTTAAGCACATAATGTAATTAATTGAGATCACACTCACGGTTTAAAACTGGAATGGCCGAAGTAGGTCTTGAGGCAATTAATTTGCTTTGCACTGGGTTCCGGCAATAAGTGGTCTTAAAAATAAGTAAAACAATAAAATTGATATTTATGTTCAAAAAACAAATATATCATATAAGAAGAAGAAAATTTTCATTTCATTGGCTTCTTATAAAGAACACAGTGACAGGTAACATGCTAATTTCTTTCCATTCTAATCAAGTTTGATCATCTAGGTATCGGTCAGAACACCAGTCAAGTCCTTTCACTATCATTAAAGTATCATAATTGTTCTTATGAGTCATACTTTACCAACTCTGGGGAGAAAATGCCCATTGTTTTCTAATTAGGTACACTTGCAAGATCTAGCATCTGGAGTGAACCAAACCAAAGCAACCAATATGCCAACAGAAATTTCATATTAAAAACAATTTTCAATTCATGGTAATATAAATTATATTAGTATCCCAAATTAAGTATATAAAAAAGTCAAATCTTCATTTAAGTTGTCTAAAACTAAATCTAGTTACCTAAATTTAGTTACCTTGATCTAATTTAGTTATCTATCCAATTTAGTTAGGTAAATATAGCTACTTAAATCTTTGGTCAAAACTTTTAATTGCGCTGCACCGTGACTACGTTAGCTCTGCCAAAGTGCCCACCGCTGTCCATCCTTACATGCAAAGCCCCACACAGACTCTAAGTAAGCTACCACTAAACATATGAAAAGTATTATCTCACATCTTTAACAACTCTCAAAAGAAAAATCATACAGATGGTTGCATTTATTAAAGAAAGCAGAGGAAAATACTTTATCAATATATTTATGAATACCTTCTACCTACAAAATGTCTTGAAGTTTCAAAGTTTTCAACAATAACACAGTCTGAGTATATTGAGAGTTCTACTTGTTGAGAAGACTCTACAAGTTGACAAACTGTGATTATTTACACTTAAATGAGAACTGCCCCATTTGCACACTCAGTGGTGCCTCCTTTGCTATGAGAAAGTTCCCCGGTGTGGCTCCTGGGGACAGACTGCATATAACCAGATGGTTCTCAGTGGTATTCAATATAAGCAGCTGGTAAACCACTTCACCACTGTCACTAGGACAAAACCAAGCCTATAACTGAAGGATGAAAGGTTTCCTTCACCAGTTTCCTGAGAGACAAGAGTACCAAGGAATTAAAGGGCTGCCTTATTGACCTAGTAAGTAACTATATTCCACCAAGTTGTTAACTCAAATCACTGAAACACCGGCGGGAAACCTGAAGTCAGTGAGAGATGAGAAGCTTCCGGTCTACTCTTACCCTCCTCTTGCCACTGCTCCTCGATGACTTCACTCCTGTCTTCATCTTCCCCCTCGGGAGGAAGACTCTGATGGCTTTCCATTTCCAACCATCTAGAATGAGTTGGCTCCACCATGTCACTATTCAGGTTTTCTAAAGACTGAAAGTTTAAAAGAAATTGTAAAAGCAAAACACTGACAATACCGTATCTTTTTACTGAGCACAAAAAGAGTGTTATTAACAAAGCCTACAATTTTGTTGAGAACTGGCAGATGTGCAAGCAACAGCACAAAAGAACATGTGTGCTCCTCTATAAATACGTGCTGGAGAATGGCTTCAAGGCATAAGGCCAGGATGGAACACTGCCAGCATAAACAAGGTTCATTAATAGCATATAATAAACTGCCCCTGGGAAATCTATCATAAATTTTAAATTTGCATAATTTAAACAGTTTTCCTTATTGAACTTCAATGTTTTAGATTCCCAAGAGGTAAAATACAAATTTTAATGCTATTTTTATAATGTTTCTCTATATTACATGTCAGTCACATTTTTAGATTACAAGCAAGCAATAAATGTGCTTTGGAATTGTCCAAAAAAAAAGATTCAAATAATTTAAGTAGCGAAATACTCTTTATGTAAAATAAAGTTCTTTATTTGACATATATTTTCTCCCCGTTTCAAAAGCATTAGTACATTTGAAATTACTTTATATATGAAACTTTTTACTAAGAAGTAAATTAGAAGATTCATTTAATCAAAGTTCTTCTCTTCACTTTTTATGAGGCTTCTTTTTTAATTTGGCTTTAAGAATGGCTTTAAAAGTATAATATTTCAATCCTATAAAAGGAAAATGAAAAAAGCCCAGGTAATTCTGCTTCGTTAACTCTACCACTATATTTGGAGAGCAAGGGTTATTTAATGTATAAAATATTACAGATGCCCATGAGTAGCATGTTCTGCAGCACTTGGACAGAATGCACCCGAGAAAGGACAACCAGAAAAGGGGGATGATGGAGCCAGGCTCTGTGGGGAACTCTTATGGGAGCACCAGGAATCAACAGAAAGGACAACCAGAAAAGGGGGATGATGGAGCCAGGCTCTGTGGGGAACTCTGATGGGAGCACCAGACATCAACAGAAAGGGAGGATTCAAATCTGTAAGCTAACTAGAAATTTATATCTTTATTATCTCTGTGATTGCCACTACTAGCATTCAAAACTAAAGAACTAGAAAATCACTATCATTTCACAAAAAGAAAAATCAAAATAAAACTGATAGATAAGAAAGCATACTTTCATTTCTTTCTTTCTTTTTTCCTTTTTTTCTTTCTTTCTTTCTTTGTCACTTGATTTAACTAAACTGTGCCTTTCCCTTTTCTCTAAGCCTGGTTTCTTCTGTTCATATATGATTCACGACACTTGATAAACTGGAAGTTTAGTAAGGGACAGAAATTGCACAAATTTATACTTCAGCTTTGATAACACAACAAAGTAAACAACCATTACAAAATTACATATAACCAGTATTAAAATCCCACAGTCAGAGAAACCAGGAACTGTAAATGATTCAATTAGTAAAAATAGAACATCTAAAATGTGGCAAGTACACAAAGAACAAGAAACCAATTTCATGCTGAAGTGCTTGGTCACTGTTCAGATTCCAGAGACACGGAAGGAACACAGAGCATACGTGAGAACTCATGACATTATACCTAAGACACTATTTATATATTAGGAAATATAAACTGCAAAAAAATATTGTCTAATATTAAATTATGGGTATGAATTCATTATGACAGTATCTGATTGAGAAATGAAAACATTTTAGTTATGTAAATGCTCTTTTAAAAAAACTTGGAGTAATTTTCTTCTTAAGTTCAAACATACCTTAAGCATCTCCATTTCCAAATCTTCATCACTTTCAATTACATAAGAGGAATCCTTTTCATCATCAGCGGGAGATAAGTGCTTTTTAAAAAAAGTATTTCAAAGATTAATTTTCTGTATAACTAATTCTATACCCTCTGTCATATTCACTAGAAGGATTTACCATCCTCCTCTCCTTTAATAGGCAAATGTATAAAGCATAATTATATCTTTACAGGATGAGAGACAAAGGAAAGGGAGAGGAAGAAGAGGGACTTTTCAAATACAACCAACAAGAAAGAGGCTGCATGGTTAAAAAGATAGGCAAGTTAAATAAACAGATATGAAATAAAATCTACATTCAAAATAAGACCAAAAGTGCAAGTTCTAAGGTCAATCAATGTCAAACTGAGTCTCTCCACCTATTGAATACACAAAACTACACAATGTTGAAAAACTTCGTACAAACAAAGAAAATTAATTGTTCTTTAATATATTGACTTAAAAATACCAAAGACTAATATATAATAATTATATTATTTTTAAATAAATCAGCATTAGTCTATTTGAAAAAGTACCAGATATATTATTTACTTGGTCTGTTGCTGGTGTTTGGAAATGAAGAATTTACAATATTGGCAATCCCAAAAAATCAGATGTCTAAAAAGATGTGAATCCTCCCCCTACCTCATACACACACACACACACACAAAGAAATCAAGTAGAAATAACTCCCCAAATGCTGAATATTTAATTTGGAAATGGGAAAAAGAAAATAATATTAATTAATATGATAATTTAAAGCTATTAAAGATATTAAAATGTTTTTTAACTGAGAAAGGTTTATTGCTTCCTAAACAGGGTCTTAAATAAAAAAATAATGCTAGTAATTTAAATAATAAAATAGCAATAATTGACATAAAAGTATTAGTCAAATCAAACTCATGACAATAACTCTCTGGTATATAAAAATATTAAAGTGAAATTTTTCTACAGAATTAGAATAAGGCAGATGTCAGCCAAAGTCAGTATTTTCTAAAGAGAATCTGGCTCACAAGTGGTTAGAATAAAATTATTTTGAAATTTTTAAAACATTTACATGCCTGGGGGCTGGAGAGATGGCTCAGTGGTTAAGAGCACTGGCTGCTCTTCCAGAGGTCCTGAGTTCAATTCCCAGCAACCACATGGTGGCTCACAACCATCTGTAATGAGATCTGGTGCCCTCTTCTGGCGTGTGGGCATACATGGAGGCAGAATGTTGTACACATAATAAATAAATTTTTAAAAGAAATTTACATGCTCAACAGAAACAAGAAGAAAATATAAAACCCAAGGAATATAACTAAGATTGGGTTTCCATTTCTATAACGAAATTAGGAGATATAATTCTATAAAATCACATCAAAATCTAAAATAAAATTTGTTATTGCAAAAAATTGCAAAACTCTATAGATTCTGAATGTCTCCAGTAATTTGTAAGCTAGTGAAAATTAGGAAAGAAACAAGAGCTCATTGACTCTCCAGGGGACAGTACAGATGCCTGTAAAATAAAGCACCCTTCCATCTTCCACCCTCGCAAATACTTTCTACTTGTAGGAAAAAAAAAAAAAACCCAAATCAAGTTTGAATGACTAGATATTTAGGAAGAATCCACCAAAAAGCTATTACCTGTTATGAAAAAAAAAGAAGAAAAAAAAAGAAAAGAAAGTGTAAAGCAGCGAGCAGCAATTCCAGCAAATGTTCTCTTGACAATACAAACTCTTTAAACTATGCAGTGGTATTTATTGTACTAAGTGGGTCTCACGAGTTAAGGTGGCCCTTCGTTTGTGTTTGTAAGTAAAGTTTTATTGAAGTACAGAAGGTGCACAGCTCTTTGCAAGTGTCTATGGTTACTTTTCAATCCAACAGCAGAACTGAGCAGCTGCAACAGACACTATGCACACCACAAAGCCTAAAGCATGTGCTCTGTGTGCATTTATACAACAAAGTAAGCCAGCCATTGATGGATATATTATTCCCTCTCGATTTAGTACCTCAGAAGGTTGGTGAGGAACATCATTACATTTTGTTCCTTCAGTCTGCTGTTTCAAAATTTGAAGTTCATATTCTGAAGTATCTGCCATCAAACAAGTTCTTTCCATATCACCTTCCGGGAGCTTATCTTCTGCTTCATCTTCAAAGCCACCTTCTTCTTGCTTCACTTTATTTCTAAGCATACCGACTTCACTGTGTTTCACTAGACTTTCAAACTCTGGATCCCATGCCTCTTCTTTAATTTTATGAAAAGTCCCACGGTCTCCAATTTGTTCCTCTTGTTCTCCCACAGCAGCCGAATCCTCTGATGACTTTAGGTTAGAACCACTGACCTGCTTCAGTTTAGTGTCGGTGTTTGCAGAGCCAAATAGCACCTTTCTCAAGGAACACAGATTTTCTGAAATATTCTTCAATAGTATAGGAACCCTAGAAAATTCAAGAAACATTATTCAAGCTTCATTTTATAAACCATAAAGACAAGCTTTAAAGGTTCTTGCTAAACAAAAGCTTACAAAGAAGACCCATTGATCTAAAGCTGTTATCTCCCCATGGCCACATGAGATTAGGATTAGCAGTCTACTTGCTGGTCTAATTAGGTACTTCTGATCCTAGCAGTCATCTTGCATATTCACTAAGAGTCAGTAGTTTGGTCCCAAAGTTATTTATGTCAGCTGTTTCTTTTTCTCTTAGATAATTAATTTAATAAAATATAAAGTACATCAATAAGACATGGCCACAACAACAACAACAAAGTAAAAACTATTTCATTGAATTCTGAACTAAACACACAAGAAAAGATAACAAATTTCTGGGGGAAAAAGTGTTTCATGGTGGACCCAGAGTTCTTTAGTTATTTCCCAAACCCTTTCAACCTTCCTTCTAGTCCATCTCAGTTCAGTGTGGCAACCATCAACCCTCAGAACCACAATACAAAGGACTGCCGCGGCCACACTAAGCTAGAAGCAATCTTTATTATTCTTCCTGTCCTCCATTATATCTCTCCAGACTTACTCTTAGTCCTGCTGTAGCCAGGAGCCCTCAACCCACCTTCATCCCCTTAAGACTGTGCCTCTTGGTGTAGCCCTTAGACCCTAGTTCTTTGCCTGCCTACTTGACTTTCAGCCCAGCCTTTCTTTCTAGCCCCTTTCCACTGCTGTGTGATACCTGCTGACTCCCAGGAACAATCTCTACTAGGGATCCCACAGTTACCAAACTTGGCTAAGACCCAGAATAGGCAACAAAAAAACAAAACACCCACCCAACAAAGAGATATTTACACTAAGAAACATGTCTAACACCGTAAACTCAGAAGCCTAGATCCCAAGACAAAACAAAAAACCCACAAATGTAAACAGCCAAGATAACATGCCTCCTCCAGAAGCCAGCAACTCCAATACAAAAGGAACCAAGAAAGGCAACTTAGCTAAAGCACAAGAGAAGAACTTCAAAACAGCAATTATGAATTATTCAAGGACCTTAAAGAGGATATAAACAAATGCTTTAAAAGAAACAGTACATGAAATACAAACACTGCATGGAAAAAAATTTAAGAAATGAAATTAGAATTTAACAAAGAAATAGAATCACCAGAGAAAATCCAAAATGAAAATGAAAAACATCAGAGGTAAGCCTCACCAACAGATCAAAAGACACGGAAGAAAGAAATTCTGGTCCTGAAAACAAGGCGAAGAAATGACAGTTCAGTCAAATGTTAAATCTAAAAAGATCCAGGCACAAAACATCCAGGAATTGTGGGATACTATGAAAATACCAAACTTACAAAAATAAATAAATATAGATGAATGAGAAAAAATCCACGAAAAATATTTTAACAAAATCATATAAGAAATTTTCTCCAATCTCAAGAAAGAAAAATGTATAACAAAGTACAAGAAGCATACAGAAACTTAAATAGAAAGGACTGGAAAAGAATTTCCCCACAGCACATAATTGAAATACTAAGCAGACAAAAGAAAGAAAGGATATTAAAGGCTGTAAAAGGAAAAGATCAAATAACATATAAGGCAGAGCCATTAAAATAACACCTGACTTCAATGGAGACTTTGAAAGCCAGAAAGGACCTGGACAGATGTTCTACAAGCTCCAAAAGACCACAAATGCCAGCCCAGACTACTATACCCAGCAAAACTATCAACCACAGTAAATGGAGAAAAAAAAATCCATGATAAAACCAATATTAAGCATATCTATCTATCAATCCACCACTACAGAGAACACTAGAAGAAAAACTTTCGTCTAAAAAGGTTAACTACACCCAAGAAAATGCAAGGAATAATACCAAAATAGTATATAACCACAAAATAATAAATTTAAAAAAAAACTGTCCATTGATTGATAACTCAGCATTAATGGTCTAAATTCTACAATAAAAGGACATACAAACACTGTCTTCCATCACAAGGCTGATGCACGTGGGAACTCCCAAAGACTGTGTGATAGCATGCACAAGAATGGCAGAGGTTCAATCAGGACAAAATCCCTGCACCCCTAACCAAAAAATTCTTTGCAATTGATACTACTGGGAAAGAAAAAAAACAGTTTTCTCCAATAAAGTGTCACCGGGCACGTCAACCACATTCCAGGGCAAGCCCCATACCAAGGGCTAGTTGACCAACACAAAATGAACCCCATGCTTTTTCTATAGAATTTTTGCTTTGTGTTGTTTTGTTTGGGTATTATTTTCCTTATTGTTTTATTATTGCTGTTGTTATTTGCTTTGATTTTTGTTTATTTGTTTGTTGAGAGAGAGAGGTTCAAACCTGAAGTTGGGTGGGTAGGAAGGTTATGAGGACCTGGAAGGAGTTGAGGAAGGGGGAAAATGATTAAAAAATATATATTGTTATAAAAAATAAATAAATAATATAACCTATAGTCAATATAATACAAAAGTTCATAAGAAAATACATAAAACTTCTTAGGACTCTGTATTCAGATGACTTCAAGCCATCTGAATTTTAAAGGAACTACAATTAGAAATCAGAGGTAACACATTCTGAGTTCAGCCTAAGTAAGAAACACTGTGCAGAACTACAAGCAGCAGGCCTATGCTTAATGAAAACTCCATGATGCTTGCCTGGAGTGCACAAGGCCTCAAGCTCAATCCTCAGTACTATGGAAAGAAAAATTACATAATAAACCAAGAAATTAGAGAGAGCCAAAGGAGTTTCATAAGCAAAGAGATACATTTTATTATAAAATAAGAGCTTTTGGGGATATGTATTCTATTTTTTCATTATTTAAATCAATGATTTATACAATCTGAAATGTTCATGTACCTCAAGGAAATTTTTATGTTAATGGTGCAAATGGAACTTAGCTCATCCATGAAAATAAACTATCAGTGTGTGAGTTGATCCAGGAATTGCTTCCATATTATAAACTGCATTATTACAAGACACAGAAAAATCAAGCTAGAACTGACTGGAGGCTTCGTCCTGCCAGCTAGTATCCATACTTGGAGATATTGGTATTAAGCCAACTATTGGGGGAGGGGTGACATCAAAGGAGTACTCAACTGTGTGCCATCCACACTACGAAACCAACCTGCCAGGCAATGTGTGCCCATTGTTGACACAGTGACATGACCGGTTGTGGGGCAGCCAGCAGCATCCTGATGGGATCTTCAAGAGGGAATATGTGACTGGTGCTGTAAATATGGTCAAACCCTTTGACTGGGGAGGTCATGGGTCTTAGCAAGGGAACCTACTGCTGACGTCCTGCTAAACAGACACAGTCATACTACCTTCTAAATCTTTGTGTTTTTATCACAGTGCTGCTCTCAGGCTTGGTCAGAGAAGCATCTTTTTGCAGTGGGAGATGGCTAATGAAGACTCACAATAGTCAGAGCGCTGAGTATAAATGATTGTTGTGTGCTCAGCCTGAGGCGGGCTCTCTATGGTGCCCCTTCCCAGGCCCAGGAAACATCACAGAAAGGATGGAAAGACTGGAAGAGTCAGGAGATGTGGAGGAGTGCTGTAGGAAACACGGCCTTCTGGATATGACATGGCTACTGCAATCATAAGCACACAGCCTGCCGCTGTGGGTACTGCATAGGAGCTGCAAAAGGTAGGGCCTTTCAACATTCACCCCAAGGATTAGGAAGCTCACTAGAGACCCCATCCTCCCCTACGGAGCTCTGCAGTGTATGACTGCCTGGAAAGGAGTTGGCATTCTGCAGCAGTATAGTCACTGGTAAGCTGCCAATGTCCAGTCAACAGCCTCCTAACCATGTTCATACAAATATTCCTAATCAAATTCAGAGTCTCATACACACATGTGTGCACACACACACACACACACACACACACACACACACGAGACTTGGAAGGAGAAAAGGAACTACTTAAAAAGAAGTGATTCAGCAGGAATCAGGGATAAGAAAGTATAATGGGGGCAAATATGATCATAATAAATTATATGGAATCGTCAAAAATCAAAACGAAACTGCACAATTAACAACCCTCCAAAGTTTAGCTCAACCTTAAATTGTCAAAGTCTGTATCAACACAAACAAATTCAATATTAAAATTAAAATCGGGGGGGGGGGTGCTGGAGAGATGGCTCAGTGGTTAAGAGTACTGGCAGTTCTTCCAGAGGACCTGGCTTCACTTCCCAGCACCCACATGGCAGCTTACAACTGCCGGTAACTCTACCTCCAGGGGATCTGACACCCTCGCAAAACACCAATGCATAGAAAGTAAAAATAAATAAATCATTTTAAAAAAATTAAAATCAGGGCTGAAAAGATGGTTAAGCAATTAAGAGCACTGGATGCTCTACCAGAAAATTTAGGTTTGAGTCCTGGCACCAAATTGGTAACTCACAGTCAACTGCAACTCCAGTTCCAGGGGCTCTAACCCTCGTCTGCACTCCTCAGAAACATGGCTCACAATATGTGCATGGACACATATGCAGGCAAACACCCATACACAAAAAATAATATTAAAACGTAATTAGTTAAGTTCAAAATCTAAAAATGGACTTTTTTTTTTTTTTTTTGGTTTTTCAAGACAGGGTTTCTCTGTGGTTTTGGAGCCTGTCCTGGAACTAGCTCTTATAGACCAGGCTGGTCTCAAACTCACAGACTTTTTAAAATAATAAAATGTTATAAAGCTTTTTGTTAGTCAGACTGGCCTTGATCTTGTGATCCTCCTGCCTCAGTCTCCTGAATATAGAGATTACATATATGTATCAACATGCCTGGCAATCTTATAAATCCTACTATATAGACAGCTGCTCATATGTAACAATGTGCATGAAAAATGTGGTAGGAACAGTTATGATAAAATGTAATTGTGAAATAAATGTGCTGCTATAGCAACTGTGACACAGTTCAGCTAACAATACTATAATGTCTATTTATCCTGTACTAACATCAGAGGAGGACATAAGCACTTTAACGCTAAAAGCTGGCCTGTGAAGGCACACAAGGTAGCATACACTTTTCCTCCCTTAAGATTCTTAGCATGCTCACTAGTTAGCAGCAGACAAGCTCAACACCCTGCAGAAGTCAAATCCACCACAGCAATACCGCAGAGACACACTGGATTTAAGATCAATGACTAAACAATACTAAATAACACCAATCCTATCAGGGTCCTCGGAAACAAAAACAACCTTCCTTTCTGCAATAAACCTCAAACTATTCTATCTTGAGTTCTTGATGCTAAGAAGCTTGCTGTTATGAAGCAAACCATCAGGTAAAGCTAATTTATACAAAGCATGTATTCTGTAAAATCAGGAATCATGTTTAAGAAAATCACATTAAAGGTGATTGAAATTGGTACCAGGAGTAGGGTATTGCTATGACCAGGCCAAACATCTTGTTTTGGGGAGGACTAAGAAGGGACTTTGAAACTTTGGGCTGGAAAAGCCAATGAGTGTTCAAAGCTTGGCGAGCTTTTCTATGGGAGCTTGAAAGATAAGGATGTTGAGAATAATGCAGACCATAGAGGCCCAGCCTGTAATGTTCCAGAGGGAAGTTGGAGAGACCCTTACAGACTCTGTTTTGAGCTGAGAATCTGTCTGGTTAGCTGTAGCTGAAAAAGCAGCTGTGCTTTTTCAAGAGGCAAGACCCACTAAAATAAAACCTTTGCATTACTGGGCCAATGGATGCTGGTCAGCTGGAGCTGAGAAATAGTGATGATTCAGAAGAGACCAGCATCAATGAGGTGAAATCTTCTGAGAAATACTGCCTTGGACTCAGCACACAGAAGCTGTGTTCCAGAGGTGGCCAAGGTTTTGCCTCACAATGGCAGCTGAACTTGTTTTAATGCACACACACCAGCTGATAGAAACTTGAGAGCTAGCTCTCCAGTTACCAAATAGCACATGTTGAAGAACTAAAGCTTTTCTGTCGGCTTTGGAGGATGCTTGGAGTCTAGACACATGGCTCAGGGATTAAGAAGGCATTCTGCTCTTGCAGAGGACCTGAGTTTGGTACCTAGCACACACAAGGCGTGTAGGTGGCTCACAACTATCTGAAGCTCCAGATCCAGGGGCAATCTGAAACCTCTGACCTCCGAGGGCACTTGCACTCACATGTACAGGCATGCGTATAGGCATGCACGCACACACACACACACACTTAAAAATAAAATAATTATTTAAAAAACCACAGTATTTCACCTCTGTAGAGTCTCCAAGTTTCTGCAGTTGACAGGAAAATGTGTGGCCAGGTCTCTCATTTCTTCAGAGATTGAGTTCAGCTTTTTCTTCATCTCATTAGGCAGGCTTTCCTCTGCTAGAAAAAAAAAAGAACACTACTAATATTCAAATTAAAAAGCAGAGATTTTATTGAGTCACATCATAATAGCGCTAGTACCAGATCTTCATCTAGTCCCTACAGTGAACCCAAGTAAACACTTACTTCTTGAGTTCCAAATTCACTTTCCTCACTTGTACTTTCAAACTTCTTTTTCAAATTTTTGCTATTTGAAATTTAGAGTATAATTCTAAATTTATAAACTATAAATTCAAAGTTTACTGACCTAGACAGAGGAGAGGAGAAGTGAGATTCTAACTAACACTACTCTGATTCAGAAATCAATTTAATACCATGTGAGTTGGGACTTAAAACTGTTTGAAGTCACTCTTCATTGCCTTAATGAGTCATCAGCATAAGAAAATTTGAACCTTTACATCTGTGGCACCTTCCAGACTCTCAACTTCACCCCATCTGATATGACATTCTGTGTCAACAGCAAGAAGCCTGCCTTCACTTTCGTTTTGTTTGGTTTGGTTGATGGTTTTTGAAAAAGGTTTCTCTGTGTAGCCCTGGCTGTCCTGGAATTTGCTCTGTAGACCAGGCTGTCCTCAAAGCCTGAGTCTGCCTCCTGAGTGCTGAGATTAAAGACTTGCACTGCCACAGCCAGGCTGAGAATACAGATATGGCTCAGTTGTAAGAGCACAGGCTGCTCTCCCTTCCGAAGCCATCTCCTTGATTAGAATTTCTTCACCAATTCACCTATCCCTCAAACAGCCCAGGCTCTCCTGAAGCATACAACATAAGATCACATATCTTTTTATTCCAGACTGCTAGGCATCTTGTGACATTACATCATTTTCCTCACAGATGATTGGTAACTGTCTTTCCCTCCACAATCATTTCTGTGATCATTCCTTTAACACCCACAGAGATGTTCCATCCACGTTGGGAACTCGTATTCCCAGCTCCTCCATTTCCAACGGCCTTTTCCTCATCTAACCTGAGCCTCTCATTCCCACAATCAGAGGTCTGACCTTAAAACTGCCCAATGAAACCACCGCTCACTACCTACTTTTTCTCTCACGAACATTCTGCACTCTTAATACAGATGTACCTGTCACTCTTTCCCCAGTCAACGTGCTGACACTTGAGAATGAAGCCGATTGACCCTGCCCTTTCCTCACCCACACACCATCTGCTCCCCACCATGCTTCCTTCCCTTTCTGAGCCACACCATAGTGTCCGTTCCTTTGACTCTCAACTTCCTTCTTCTTTACGCACCTCCTTATATGGGAGCTGGGTAGGGGGGGCGCCAAAGAATAGAAGAGTGAAAAACAACCCTTCACACCCTAGCTTCACACCTTAGCTTCACACCCCTGAGCTAAGGGTTATAGATTGGCCATCATTGGGCTTCTGTTTTCTTTGTTTTAGTATAAAATCTTGAAGTTGGATTCACAAAATAGGATGCCCTAACTGACCAGACCCAACCTTCTCTTCCAGATTGTTTCCTAGAAATCTTGCTCATCCTCTTGGGTTCCACTCTCTGTCCTTACACAAGGAAAGCAGTTATCTTCGGGGGCGTGGTACTTTCATTTAAGCGTTAGCACCTCTTCCTTTAGAGAGCCATATGGTATTGCCCTTGCTTGTCAAATGGAATCAATACATAATAAACACTGATATATAATAAACACTAGACAAATCTATGCCATATGAACCAGTGATTTTTCCTTTGTGGATAGTTTCTAAAAAATATTATTTATATGCACTTATAATCATATTCCTTAGATTATCTTTCTCCATCATTCAAGGTAATATGATTAGTATGACTGATATAATTTTAGCATGATTTCTACCAACATCATTATACTATTCAACTCATGCTATGCTTCTAATATTTTTGTATTACCAAAGCCTCTGGACCCTTTTTGCTCTAGAAGGACAGCCTCTATCTGCTATACTCTTTTGTCACATAAAACACTAATACAACTAAAGTATTAAAAGTAGGTGGCCAATGATGATTAATTATAGGCCCTTAGTTTGTCAAAATCTCAGCAAAATTCAGAACAGTTGATAACCTCCTCCTACGTCAAATGTACTCTTCCCCTGCTTTCTGCATACAATACTTGTTCATTTCTTTCCACACCTAGGGCAACTGCGATAGTGTCCCCTCCTCCACACAAGGATTAGACACAAGGGTTTTTCAGGATCCTTAGCCCTAGTATTTTATCTCAAACAGACTGTCCTCTGAGGTACAACCTACAGATCTAGGTGTCCACAGGCCACCACCCTCTTGCTCTCTGAGCTGTTTCTCCCTTAACATATTTCCAAGAACTGTAAAACTTCACACCTAGAGCCTGCTCTTAATTACCTGGGTTAATCTGCCAGGCCGCCAAAACTTTGGCACACAACTGTCATTACCTCAGATTCTGTTGACTCTGCTTCTCCATTAGATATATCTTGAAGCTATCCACTCCTGTCAAACCTCGACACAAATAACCAATTCAAGTTCCCATTTCTTCTACAATCCATTTTCTCTCTTTATGGCTTGTTTTGTTGGTCTGTTTTATTCTACAGATTGTTTTGTAAGTCTGTTTTAAATGCATTGCCTTTCACTTCCCTCCACAGCTTCCATTTGCTCCTCGGAAGGAAGGTAGTCTCTCCAGCACATCCTGTCCTCTTTCACTTTTCTGCTTCTCCGACATTACAGTCCTAGTCCACAGTTTGCCATACGGCACAAGTTTCAGACACCTCACCTGTCGCTCTGCACCTGTCTACCCTTTTCCCTTTGGCTCTGGTTAGCAAAGATCTGCTCCTGTTTCAGACATTACCTCAAGTACCTTTTCCAGGAAATATTTTCAAATACCAATGACTATGTAAATTATGTTATTGCTCGGAAAGTTTTCAATTTCAGAGCATTCCAGATTATGTATGAGGAATGCTCAATCTATGTAACAATTCTCTCTGGCCATCAACAGAGGGGCTTTGCATACTCTGCCCCTTTAGTGCTCACAACTAATCCATGGATGGCTTGCTATTATCCATTTTCCAAGCATGGGGAAAAAGACAAGAGAGCTAAAATTCCACCACTGGGCTATGTAGCACAAAAGCTAATGTTTACCCCCTGCTGCTTGACTCCTGCAGTCATTACCCTATCAAAACATCTGACTAGGACAATGAAGTTGAATGAAGAAAACAGCAACTTAAGCACATCTCATACATACTAAAATATTGCATTTAAGACTCTTTAAACCATTTGTAGGGAGAATGTATATGCTTCCAGCCTAGAGGAAGCTGGTTGGCTCACTGATGTTATCAACGACAGTGAGTATCAAGTCTGTGGGATTGAACAGCAGCACCACAACAAAACCAAGGTCCAGTCCTTAATCCTGATGCATTTCCCTGTCACAGCAATACTGTTCAGACATTTAAGCAGCAGCATAATACTTTGCAAAGATGTATTGACTTTTTGAAACAAGTCGCACAAAACAGCAAATTTACATTCCCTTTCACTTTGAGCCATAACACACCTTTGTTTAGAGCAAACACTTGCACAGTATCACCCAAATTTTCTAATTTTTGATAGATGATAAGACCAGCCTATAAAAAAGCAACAGAAAAACAAAGTACAAGTTAAAGATAACCACAATAAATATGTGTGTCATCTCTCTAGCAAAATCTACAAGAATACTTTCCAATACAATCCTAGATTCCAGAACGTAGAGATTATAAATATAAAATTCATCTAAGAACAGTAGCAACTAAATTTGGGCGCATTTTTTTCTAAATTTCCACATTTTAAATATACGTATAGGGAATAAGGCTAATTTAAATATAGAAAGCCTATGATTTTTCTTATTCAGAATTGCTTATATACAAAATACATTATCAGACCATTTGTGCCGGCTAAGCCTCGGCCTTTCGTGATTTCAATAAGTTCACATTCTTTTACACAGAAATTGGACATCAGTATGCTTCATGACAGTGAACAGAACTACCACTACACAATCTATTAATTGGTACTTTGTATTAACATGTAGAATTTCACTTGATGTATTCCTAGGCAATTTTTGATACCAGACTAAAATAAAATATTTTAGCTAATGACACTATCACAGTAAAACTTATCTAAAGCAATTTAGTACAAGAAATTTTAAAAAAAAATGACATAATGAAAGGTCTTTAAATACATACATAAGCATCAGTAGCTGCATACAGTTTCTGGTCGTCAGTGAGGGGGAAATTGTTCCAGTTACTACAGCGGATGGACTTGTCCTTCAGAAGCTGCTTTCCTAAAATGTGTTTAACCATGCCATTGAGGCTCCAAGTCTCCGCACACCTCAGCTGGAAGTAATGAAAAGGCAATGTAGCAGACATACTTCTTACTGTCAGCTATACCTAAGCCCCACCAAAGGATCAGGCCACAAATAAAGCTAGAAAAGTACCAGAATAAACAAGCTTCCCATCACTAAAATCTCATTTATAGTCTACATTATGAATTTAACTCTGAGATTCCCTAGTGTGGGAATTAAAATGCTTAAACTTTAAAGATACCATTCCTAGAAAGCAGCTGAGTGGTTTAGAACACTTTTTGACTTCCTGGCCAAATGAATACTTGGCTAAGTATGAGAACTTAATTATTTCATTTATTAATATTGGAATATAGGTGATGGTGTTAACGGTCAAATTGACATGCAGAGCTCTATATCAGAAGCTGCACTGCAGTCTTCTTCACAAAAGAGCTGGATAAATGAGTTTGAAATACAGTATTCACATGTGCTGATGCATGAGCTGCAGTAAGATGGAGAAACATTGGTTAGGCTACTGTGTATGCTGAGACAAATCAGAACTGGAGGTTTTCATTACCGTAGTTTGAACTTCTGTACTGCCACGGAAATCAACATGTAGCTTATATTATGTTTGTAGAAAAAAAATATAAAAAATGCATATTCTGTGAAATTCAGGTTACCATGTTCAATAAATAATACAGATATCACTTCTACCTTTTCATTGGCAATATCTGTCAACTCCACAAAACTCTCCAATTTGACGTCAAAATCACGCAGAAGTTTCCACTGGTCTCCTTCAATTCCAACGCCTGCCTTCTTAATTGATTTATTTTCTAGCAGCATTTTTAATCCCTGGGGGAAAACTAAAACATGAATGATTATTTCCATAACACTGTTATTTATAATGGATTTACTATTCCTATGCATATTATATGTATGTTAAACTGATGCTTATATTTAGCTTAAATTTAGACTCATCCATCTTAACTCTTTACTTTCTTATCTAATGCAGAGTCCTGACTGAAAATCCACTAGAAAAAATGAGGTTGAGTGCCACGTCTACTAACAATTATGGTTATTATACCTCTAATAATTATTGCTAGACTATGTACATGTCATTATACATATATATAGTTAGTTAGTTAGTTAGACCTAATATATATTGTTACACTTCTAAACTTCAGTTCTCTGTTCTCTAGCACAGGAAAAAGATATAAAGGTCAGGTAAAATACAATTACTTGAGTAAACACAAGATCATGAGAGAAGAAGGCCTTTTAATGAAAGAACTTAATTTTACAGGAAGACGGTTGATATATTATTGTCGGCCACACAGATACCAACCTGACATAGAAGAAATGTGAAACAAGTAACACTTGCTCTCAGACACACACAGCTGAATCACAGCAACTCGGCTTTGCTTCCCTTGTTTGTATATGGGCGGCCATTCCATGTCAAATCCAACCACACCTCTGTCAGACAGACGCATGCTATCAAAGGAAAAGTTGTGTGGGTTAACTGCATGGGCTTTTGTTGTTGTTCTGTTTTACTTTTCCATAGCTAATAACATCCTTCACAAATTAAAGGACAAACCAATGACTGGAGAGTACTATAGAGAAAAAGAACGAAAATTATTAAACCTACAAAAAAGAGAACCCCAAGCAGGATAAGCACAAACCTCAGTACACAAAGGTATTTCATATGAAATTGTTGAAACACTATGTAAGACACTACCATCTTACACCTGTCAGAATGGCTAAAATAAAAAACACCAAGGATAGCCTTTGCTGGAGAGGTTGTGGAGAAAGGGGTACACTCATCCATTGCTGGTGGGAATGCAAACTTGTGCAACCACTTTGGAAAGCAGTGTGGCGGTTTCTCAGGAAATTCGGGATCAACCTACCCCTGGACCCAGCAATACCACTCTTGGGAATATACCCAAGAGAGGCCTTATCATACAACAAAAATATATGCTCTACTATGTTCATAGCAGCATTGTTTGTAATAGCCAGAACCTGGAAACAACCTAGGTGCCCTTCAATAGAAGAATGGATGAAGAAAGTATGGAATATATACATATTAGAGTACTACTCAGCAGTAAAAAACAAGGGCTTCTTGAATTTTGCATGCAAATGGATGGAAATAGAAAACACTATCCTGAGTGAGGTAAGCCAGACCCAAAAAGAGGAACATGGGATGTACTCACTCATATTTGGTTTCTAGCCATAAACAAAGGACATTGAGCCTATAGTTAGTGATCCTAGAGAAGCTAAATAAGGAGAACCCAAAGGAAAACATATAGGCATCCTCCTGAATATTAACCTTCATCAGGCAATGAAAGGAGACAGAGACAGAGACCCACATTGGAGCACCGGACAGAAATCTCAAGGTCCAAATCAGAAGCAGAAGGAGAGAGAGCACGAGCAAGGAACTCAGGACCGCAAGGGGTGCACCCACACACTGAGACAATGGGGATGTTCTATTGGGAACTCACCAAGGCCAGCTGGCCTGGGTCTGAAAAAACCTGGGATAAAACCGGACTCTCTGAACATAGCGGACAATGAGGACTACTGAGAACTCAAGATCAATGGCAATGGGTTTCTGATCCTACTGCACGTACTGGCTTTGTGGGAGCCTAGGCAGTTTGGATGCTCATCTTACTAGAACTGGATGGAGGTGGGGGTTCCTTGGACTTTCCACAGGGCAGGGAACCCTGATTGCTCTTTGGGCTGAGGAGGGAGGGGGGACTTAATTGGGGGAGGGGGAGGGAAATGGGAGGCGGTGGCGGGGAAGAGACAGAAATCTTTAATAAATAAATAAGTTTAAAAAAAAAAAGAAAATTATTAAACCTACAAAAAAGAGAACCCCAAGCAGGATAAGCACAAACCTCAGTACACAAAGGTATTTCATATGAAATTGTTGAAACACTATGATCTAAAAATATATTTAATCACTTTTTTTAAAGATTTTTTTGTTTATTTGTTGTTGTTTGTTTGTTTGTTTTGTGGTGTGCTCATGCACGTGGAACTCAGAATCAGTTCTCACCTTCCACCATGTGCCTCTGGGGGTGGAACTCAGATCCTCAGGCTGGGTGGGAGGCCCCGTTACCCACTAAGCTATTTAACTGGCCATGACGTAAAAATATTTTTAAAAATTTTTATTTTTCTAGTTAGGCATGTACGGAGGAGGGGTGCATATATGCAAATGGGTACAGGTGTCTATGGAAGCAAGAAGAGGAAACTGGAGTCATAGACAATTGTGAGCCACCAATATGGACGCTGTAAATGCTCTTAATTGCTGGGCCATCTCTCCAGCCCGATGCAAAATCTTTAAAATGACAAGATGAAAGGGAATGCAAAACAAAATCTGTCTTTCATAAAATGCACACGATGCTTCAAAACATTATATAATTATATAAATCACTTAAACTTACTACCCTCAGCTAGTCTTGACTACATTTGGAAACAACTAAAACACAATCCCTGGACCCATCTGTGAGGGACTTTCTTAATAGGATCATTTGATGAGAGAACATTCACCCTAAATCTAGGTTATACTTTCTAGAGGCGGCCTACATAAAAGGACATAGAAGAAGGCAGCTTTTGCCTGCTTACTCTCACTCTTGCTGGCTAGCTCATCTATCTTACTGCTGAGGCATTCCTTCACTGGTGTTAGGACCCACTTCTTCAGGATTCTAATCTAGACTGAAGACCAGCTGAGACAATCAGCTTCCTGGAATGAGCAACTATTAGATTCTTGGCCTTTCTGTTGGGACGTAATCATTGTTTAACCAGAGAAACCACACAACCTGTAAAGCTACACTAATGAACCCTCTTCTAAGATATAAGCATTCACTCTATCAGTTCTAGTCCTCAGAGAACCATAGGACAAGATCTGACATACCATAACGAGACAAAAGGTAACATGATGAGGTTACTATGCAACCATACACAACGGAGTGACCTATTCTGTGAGTCTAATTTTACTCAGTAAATGAGCCCTGGAAATAACCAGATACCTGGAGTGGAAATAAAGGGGACACCTAAACGCTCCTTCTAGATTACATTTACCTCCAGGAGAACACTGACCGACAACTTCATTTACTTCTGCCTTATAAAACTCAAATGTAAATAGATAAACATCAAAGGACAGTATAGTTATTTCAACTAATTCTCTACTTCTCAATGTTAACTGCTTCAAGAGGCTTAACCTGCATCACTCCAGTATCCCAGTTTTACAAGATGCTAGGATATGAGTGTGGCTAGGATAGTAGCCACACTTCTGGTTGATATGTAATCCTCAATGCAATACTGCTGGGAGGGCAGGCCTAAAAAGAACTGTTTGGGCCCTCAAGGTTCTACCTCCTGAACAGACATTTTCTGGGGGAGAGTAGGCAGCTATCCAAATGGGCTTAATTTCAACCCCTCCTGCTCTCTGCCACATTACAGATACAGTACAAAGGTCTCTTTCAGATGTCAACCACATTCTCTGGAACTCTACAGCCTCTAAAACTGAAAGGAATAAATTTACTTATAAATTTACTACATGTTTGGGTTTTTTATAATTTACTCAGGCCACAGAATTTTGTTATAGCCCCAGACTATGAACCAAGACAGGCAAGTCTTAAAAGTACTAACAGTAATTTCTAATGCTCATTTTATGGACCATTTGGAGTGACTGTCACTAACTAAACATAATGGCTTGAGAGATAGCTCAGCATTTAGGAGAACTGGTTGAGGACCTAGGTTTAATTCCCAACACCCAAATGGCAATTCACAGTTGTCTGTTCAAGGGGCTCCAAATCCCTCTTCTGGCCTCCATGAACACTATATACAGGTGGCATACAAACATACATCAATCCAAGCATCTAAACACATTTTAAAAAGTTAAAATAAAAACAAAATTTAAATAAAACAGAGAATCATAACCATCACTTAATATATTGACGTTTTAGTAAGATATAAAACTATAGTTAGAGGTCAAATAATATTTTTGTTTTTACCTACATTGATAAACAATGTTCAATATTTTACCTGCACATTACATCTCAAGCACTAAAAGAAACAAAACTTAAATAAAAGTAGAAAAGATTAGTAACTAAGAACTAGGTAGCTTACTAATTTAACTTAATGAGTTTCTTATATTTTAAAAGGAGAATGCAACTTAAATATGACATATGTAAAAATACTTCTGAAACATACTTCCACTTTCAAACTTAGATATGACATATGTAAAATTACTCCTGAAACATACTTGCATAGTAAAACTTAGATATGTAAAATTACTCCTGAAACATGCTTACATTGTAAAACTTAGATATGACATATGTAAAAATACTTCTGAAACATACTTCCATTGTAAAACTAGGCACTCATAAGTTTCATCTGTTATTACTTACAAGTATCCTATAAGGGTCTAAATTTAATAGCAAGAATTTCAGATCCCTTACCTAATATCCTGAGATAGGAAAGAGCAATCACTAGATTCATAACTGTACACAATGGATCCAGGAAATTCTAAGAATGGAAGATCATCTTCAAGAACACTCTTCTGAATGTGGGCCTTGAGTTAAACACAATTCAAAATAGGCGCAAATAAATATCACAACAGTAGTTAGAAGTCTTCACTGAAATAATAAAGCCGGTTGAAGAAATTCATAGCACTGTTACATTATAGAGTAAGAAGCCATAGGTCAGTGTAACAAAGGTAAAGCTGTAGAATTATTCATCCATAACTTCTATCTTCAAACTTCTAAACTTCTTCTCATAAAGACATTTAATTTACTCATTTTTTCCTAATAATTGCATTAACATCCTAGAAGCAATAATGTGGCCTTAAAATGTTAGCAAATTACCAGCTCTTCAGTCTCCAAGAACATGAACTATGTTAACCAAAAATTCACCAACATTAATGTTGTCCAAATTATTATATGAAATGGAATAAATCAATAACATCAACCATGAAAGCTAGATATAGAAAGAAAATATAAAGTAGGGATTGTCACTTTAAAAACTTATGTAAAATTGAGTCCCGTTTGCCTTTCAAGAACTTTGTCCTGTCTTGCTCACACCGTAACAGAAAGTTTACCTAAGCAATGACCTGAAGCTTAAAAGCAATGGGTGACTCGCTGCACAGCCATGTCAGCAAAATTTCCCACCTACCTTCTGCTCCTCTGCAGTGCAGCTTTTCTCCTGCACAGACATCCATGCAGGAACTCTCCTCTGCAGTGACGCGGCTTCCATCTCATTTCCGTTCATTTTTTAAACGCCCTCATTACAAATCCCGACAAGCAATACCTATGAACAGATGTGACAAACAATTGACAGAAAGCTCAGAGACCGCCCCACACATAGGACTGAAAAATGAAACAAATGTACATATCTAGTGTAAAATAGAACACCCAGCCTCAAGAACAGAACTTGAATCACAGAGGAACAAATGTAGTAATCCAAGCTTATTAACTATGCATTACTTCTTCCTTTCAAAACAAAACCCCCCTAGATTGTTCACTCCTGGGTGGTCCCAGTTTGTGGTCCTTCTAGGAACCAGGTATTGCCTTAGGGTAAACTACTGAGATTCAGGCCTCTATTGAAAGACCCCCGTGGCTGGGTCCTATAGAAAGATTGCTGACAAGGTCATTGTACGCTCAAACTCACAGAGGCTGTGACTACAAGCACAAGACCTGCAAAAAGTTAAGCCAGCCAAATCCAGCTTCACCTCCAAGGCTGCCTCACTGGCACCCGTGTTAACTGCTAGGTGGGTGTAGGAGCCCTGGCCCAGGCCCTATCCTCCCCTGGGTGATGCACGGCAGGGGAAGATGTGAAAATGAGGAGACCCACACACAGAGTGCCTGATCTCCCAGATTCCTTCTCTTCACTGCAAAGTTCCCTGCTCTGCCCGCTTGCCCCAACTGTCAACCCCAGGGGACCCTAGGCCCCAACCCTCACCAGGACCTCAGCAGCTCTTGGTGTGCAAATAAAATAAGATAAGCTTTAAAGTGGATGCAGTCTTGGAGTTGACAAGTTACTCCTGGCTGGCAGCCTAGCCCTTATCCAACAATACAGCACCACTCTCCACAGTGAGAAGATTAAGGAATGAAAATAGACCCCCAAAGAGGATCCACAACCCACTCTAGACTTGGTGGGTTTCAACACAAGCTTCTCTGTTTGCCTCTTTGTTCCTTTCTTTAACAATAGTTTTAGTATCACCTTTATTTTTAAAAGCTCTATCGTGGTTTTTTTTTATTAATCTTTATTTAATTTTTTATGTTTTTCTTTACTTCATTATTGGATATTGATTTTTTTCTCTTCGTTTTTTTTCCTTTTACTTAAACTTGCTGCCTGTTCCTTTGCTTTATTATTTTATTAATAATAATTTTATTTTAGTGATTCCTTTTCAGCAGTCTCACTTTATAGCTCACGCTACAATAGAATTCCCTGTGTAGTCTAGGACTGCCTTGAACCCACAGTGATCCTTTGGTTTTAGCCTTTTAAACACGCTGGGACTACAGGCATGAGGCAGAACACCAGGCTCTCTCGCAGCTAATTCCATGTGATTTTGCACTTCCTTTTCTATGATTACTGCCACCACAGCAGTTGTCTTTTAACTGACACGGAGAGTTGTGATGGTGGTGTGTTTTCTCCTCGCTCAGCACTTCGAGAGGCACGCACTCACGGAGAAGGGTGCTCATTAAGAGACTGCCACCATCTAAAACCCAAAAATCTAAAACCCAAAAAGTTATCTCTCCAAACAGACGCAAACTGTAATACAGTTACACAAGAGACATGAAAAGGCAAGGGATATGACTCATAAATATGGAAATGTTAGAAATGCCTGATGACTTAAAACACTGGTTCTAAAATCATCAATGAGCCCAATAAATACATGACTAAAATAAAGATGCCAATTCAAGACTTAGAAAATAAACTTGGCAATTTGAACAAAAATCAGCAGAAAGATTTTAAAGAAGAAAAAAAATGAAAATTAAAAAGTTTACCTCAAATAAAAAATACGAGTGAAAAACAGAATATATTACAAATAAACTATACAAAGCAGAAGATTAGAAAGTTAAAATAAGTTTGAGTAATTATTACATTCAGATAGCAACAAATAAAAAGCAGTAAGCATGATTATAAGACTAATGACACACTATTAAGAGATTAAATCTGGCATATAGAAGAAAGAACAAAGACATAAAACCTATTTATTATATTGTAACAGAAAACTTCCCAAAGCTAATAAAAAAAGGAATAGACATTTAAGTATAAGAGGCATGTAGAACCCCAAATACATACAACCAGAAATATCTCTAGTTCACATTATAGTTAAACGTCGAGAGTAAGGACAATAGAAGGAATGATGGAGCTGAATAAGAGAAGCATCAAATTACTTACAAAGACAAATCTATGAGAATAAAACTGGATTTATAGTCAAAATCATAAAGGCTAGAAGATAACAGACTGATATATATCAAGCCCTGTAAGATTAGTATTTTAACCATCAAAATCATTCTTTAAAATAAAAGAAAAAGGGGGCTGGAGAGATGTCTCAGAGGTTAAGAGCACTGACTGTTCTTCCAGAGGTCCTGAGTTTAATTCCCAGCAACCACATGGTGGCTCAAAGCCATCTATAATGAGATCTGGTGCCCTCTTCTGGCATGCAAGCATACATGGAAGGAATGTTGTATACATAATAAATAAATAAATCTTTAAAAAAATAAATAAAAGAAAAAACACCTTCAATGATATGCATAAACTAAAATAACTATACAAGCATCACAAAGATAAGAAATACAACATACAAAAGAAGAAAAAGATATATATAAAAGATAATTAAAATAAATATCAATAAAATAAGTAAGAGTTAGGAAAAGAATAAAACGTTATTACCCCAGTAAACAAGTAAGAGTCTAATATAGAAAGTGGAGAAATTTACTTCAAATAATAACTCTAAATACAAATAATCTTAGCTCTCTAACTAAAACATTCAGAACCTCAGAATCAATGAAGGAATTTAGCTCAGTAAGTAGAGTGCCTGCCAAGCATACAGAACACCCTGAGTTTGATCTTCCAGGCTGGGGAAGGTGGGTGGGCGGGGATCCAACTGTTTGCTGTCTGCAAGAAACTCATCTCACTAGCAAATATATACATAGACTTAAATAAGAGCAAGGATGGAGAAACAATATTCTAAGCAAATAGAAACCAAAATTAAATCAAACAGAAACAGCTATGCTCACATATGACAAAGCAGACTTTGAGTCAAAATTAAAAGGCATAAAGGTCACTACATAGTAATATAGAAGGAAGTCCACCAAGAAGACAGAATGATTCTAAATGTACATATGTGTGTATGTGTGTGTGTATATGTGTGTGTGTGTGTGTGTGTGTGTGTGTATAAAGCATTAATAGGCCCAATCTCACAAAAACACACATATACACACAACTGGATATAATGGGATAAGCACATCTAGATCCAGACTGCATAACTTTAATACCCCACTCTCATCAAAAGATAGATACTTCAGACCAAAATATCAGCAAAGAAATTTCAAAGAAACTGAGACACAAATCAAATGAACAGACTTCCACAGAATATTTAAACCAACATCTAAAGAATACACATTTCACTCAACAGTCTAATGAGCTACCTTCAAAATAAATCACATTTTAGACTCTTTGGTGGTTTGAAAGAAAATGGCTCCAAAAGAGAGAGGCATTATTAGGAGGTGTGGTTTTCTTGGAATGGGTAAGGCCTTGTTGGAGGAAGTATGTCACTATGGAGGTAGGCTTTGAGGTCTCATAAATGCTCAAGCCACACCCAATGTCTCAGACAATTTCCTGTTGCCTGTGAGTCAAGATGTAAGAACTCTCAGCTTCTCTAGCACCATGTCTGCCTACATCCTACCTAGCTTCCCACCATAATAATGGACTAAACCTCTGAACTATAAATGTGTCACCTGAATTAAATGTTTTCCTTGATAAGAGTTGCCATGGTCATGGTGTCTCTTCACAGCAATAGAAACCCCAAGACAGACTCCACATTTGAATAAATAACAAAACAACTGAAATAACTCAGAAAATGGAAGAAAACTACAACTCAATAGCAAAACTAACTACAGAAACTATACAAGCATGTGGATATTGAATAATATTTTTTGAATGAACAGTATGTCACTGAAATTAGGGAGAATGTAAATTAGTGCAGCTATTATGGAAACTGGTTCAGGGTTCCCCCCCCCAAAAAAAACTAAAAATAGAACTAATATATGGTCTAGCCCTACCACTCCTAAAACATACTTGAAGGAAGGAGAGTCCACATGTAATAGACTATACACTTACATGTATCATAACAATATTCACAACAGCCATGTTATGGAATCAGCCTAGATATCCATAAACAAATAAATGGATAAAGAACATGTGGTGATCCTAGTTTGCTTCTCTGTGGCTGTGGAAAAACACTGAGCAAAAGCAACCTGGAGGGGGAAAGGGTGTATTTGCCTTATAGGTTACAGGTCATTATCAAGGGAAGCCAAGGCGGGACCCTCAAGACAGGAACCAAAGGAGAGACTTTGAGGAACGCCGCCTACTGCCTTGCTCCTTCTGGCTTGCTCAGCTTGCTTTCTGAGAACACCAGAAGACCACCTGACCAGGAGGGGCACTATTCAGTGAACTGGGCCTTCCCACATCAATCATTAATTTAAAAATGTTCCACAGACTTGCCCATAGGCCAATCTGATAGGAACAATTCTTCAACTAAGGTTCCCTCTTCCCAGATGGCTACAGCTTTATACCTTTAATTACAGCACTTGGGAGGCAGAGGCAAGTAGATCTCTATGAGCTCAAGGTCAGCCTGGTCTACGTAGTGATTCTGAGTCAGCCAAGGGTTAAATAGTGAGACCCGTAGCAAAACAAGTAACAGAAAACTAACTAGCACAGTGGTCCATATACACATAACGTAGTATAATTCAATCACAAAAAAAAAACCAACAAAATCATGTCATATGGTGCTAAGATCAGAGAAGACAAATATTGTGTATTTCTCTCATGTGCAGAATCTAGAAGAGAGAAAGAATGACATGAAATAGAAGGACTATTCGGGATGAGGAAGACCAGTGCAAGGATGACAATAAAAGGCAATGGTGCTATATGACCAAAATACATCATAACACGTGTGTGGAGTGCATGTATTAATATATAGCTAACACAGGTATTGAAACCTACCATTATGCATAATTAATATATGCTAGTAAAAAAGACAAAAACAATATGGATACAGATAGAGATATCAAACCCAG